AGGCGCCAGTGGTACCTCAGGTTACAAACACCTTGGGTTACAAACACTTCGGGTTACAGACTCCACTAACCCGGAAGTAGTACCTTGGGTTAAGAACTTTACCTCAGGATGAGAACAGAAATCGCGTGGTGGCAGCGTGGCGGCAGCGGGAGGCCCCATTAGCAGGAGGCTCCATTAGCCTCAGGTTAAGAACGGATTCGGGTTAAGAATGGACCTCCGGAACGAATTAAGTTCATAACCAGAGTTTTCAAAGGCACAGCCTCACTTGGCTCTCAAAGCAGCAGTCTCACGGGGATTCACACACACACACACACACACACACACACACACACACACTCGTAATCCCCCACCCCAATTTTACACCTCAAAATAAACATTTTACATAATATTATATATCCAGTGACTTCTCTCCTCCTTCCATGGTCCATTTTGCTTATCTATCATTCCTTCATATTTTACTTTAACCATTTTAATCTTACATCGCTCCAATATTAATTACACTGTTGAATTTATCTTAATGCTGCCAGGGCTTTTGCCCTTATACAATTATTTCCCATATACAGTGGTACCTCGGGTTAAGTACTTAATTCGTTCCGGAGCTCCGTACTTAACCTGAAACTGTTCTTAACCTGAAGCACCACTTTAACTAATTGGGCCTCCCGCTGCTGCCGCACAATTTCTGTTCTCATCCTGAAATAAGTTCTTAACCTGAAGCACTATTTCTGGGTTAGCAGAGTCTGTAACCTGAAGCGTATGTAACCTGAAGCGTATGTAACCCGAGGTACCACTGTCCTCAATACATATTTTCCACTCTTCTTTGAATACATGTTCTACTTGCTCTCTTGTTCTATGTGCTAAACCTGCTAGTTCTGCACATCGTAACACAGGGGTCAGCAAACTTTTTCAGCAGGGAGCTGGTCCACTGTCCCTCAGACTTTGTGGGGGGCCGGGCTATATTTTGGAGGGGGGGAATGAACGAATTCCTATGCCCCACAAATAACCCAGAAATGCATTTTAAATAAAAGGGCACATTCTACTCATGTAAAAACACACTGATTCCCGGACTATCCATGGGCCAGATTTAGAAGGCAATTGGGCCAGATCCAGCCCCTGGGCCTTAGTTTGCCTACCCATGTCCTAAAATCTTAAGTTGCCAATCCTCCTTGCCTGGGACCTCCATCACCTTCCATTCTGGGGGCTAACAAAACTCGCACAGCGTCTCATAGGGATTCAAACTGGCAACCTTAGAATTAGAAAGCATCTTCTCAGGTGTTACTGACTTGAGGATGCCAGATGAATTGACCGGAATACACAATGCTCCTTTAATCAGGTGAGCGTCCTAATCACATACTTACATCCCTGTAAACCCAGGTAGGAAAAACGCCCTACATGAAACAGCTATAAGAAAAATACCAGACAAAATACTCATTGTCTTTCTGCTCTGTTCTGTGTTCTGGCTAAGGGTCGACAACACCCCATTGTAATACCCTGCTGGAACCAGATCTCTCCCCCACGCCGACTCAGTATAAACAGTGCGCAAGGGGCATTAATAAACGAGGAAACGGCAGGAAAGGGAGCAATTTTGTAAATGTAACACAGTATATGCCTTTGTTGAGAAGCCGTTCCAGCTTATTAGCTGCACCTTTTCACCATGCACACTGCAGGGGGTGTAAGACATTAAACCTTTAATAGATGCCACCTTTCCTTGAAAGGCCCAGGGGGAAATAATTAAATGTAGCAGTGATGACCAAGCAGAGATGTACAGCATTCTGATTCATACCTAAACAAAGAAAGCCAGTTAGGGCTCTCAGCGTAGTTAGGGTTCACAATATTACTTATGGCTGGCAGCCAAGAAAGCAATGTATTAATTGTGTCCTCAATGCGCTTAGGTACTCTGATCATCCGTTTATCTGTATGCCACTTTTCCCGCAAGACTGGGCCCACAATGACTCGCAACGTATCAAATGAACAGCAGCAAATATAATATTTCAAAGAAGAGCAATAAGAGAAATAGTTACAGGAGTGTTTATAATGGCTGCCCACATGTAGAGATGGGCAAATCTGTCAATTTTAAAATATTATTAAAGGCAGTTGAAACAAACTGCAGTCAAAAGAGTAAGGTGGGCCCAAAAATATGTACCTCAGATGTCAAAGGCTAAGGTCAAAGGGTGAATCTTCAGCTCAGGGGCTGCCACAAAACATGCCGTCTCCCACCCAAGCCATCCAGGGCAGTGAAACTACCAAAAAGGAATGTTCTTGACAGCAAACCCTCCAACAGTTCGCCGATGAAAATAGGTACGTCCTATTCCATAATGATATTCTTACTATTTATACTCCACACATCTTACTGGGATGCCCCATCCACTCTGGGCAGCTTCCAACATATATAAAAACACCATAAAACATTAAACATTCCCTGTACAAGATTGCCTTCAGACGGCTCAGGGGTTGGATCCAATGAAAACAGGGACATCCTAAGGAAAAGTGGGGTTCCGGGATCAAATCAGAAACGGGGACTGCTTCTCTAAATCAGGGACGTCCCTGGAAAATAGCAACACTTGCTGGCAGACTGACTGTTTTAATAGCTATAGCAGTAGGCTATTACTTGGTAACTTGTCATCTGTACAGTGGTACCTCGGGTTAGGTACCTAATTCGTTCAGGAGGTTCATTCTTAACCTGAAACTGTTCTTAACCTGAAGCACCACTTTAGCTAATGGAGCCTCCTCCTGCCGCCGCACGGCCGGAGCACGATTTCTGTTCTCATCCTGAAGCAAAGTTCTTAACCCGAGGTACTATTTCTAGGTTAACGGAGTCTGTAACCTGAAGCATATGTAACCTGAAGTATATGTAACCCGAGGTACCACTGTAGTAGTCAGGCAACTACTTGGAAGAAAGCAGTGGTTAAAAATGCCCAAATGCAGGCTATGAGGTCAGATGCAGGCCCAGTCAAAGCCATTTTGCTCCCCTATTCCATGTACAGAAGACAACCAGACTGGGAGTTGAGCCTTACTTCAACATTGGCAATGCGCTGTTGCGTCAATGTCCTCCACCACAACAGAGGGCAGCAGGCTAGCTGAAGGGGCGCAGGGCAAGCCAAAAGGCACACACCTTGTCCTGTGACACCTTGTGTCCCTGCCCCTTAGCATCTGGCATCCACAGTGACTGTCTTACTGTGCCTAATGTAGAGATAGCGAACGTGGTGCCCGCCAGGTTTTCCGGACTACAACTCCCATCACCCTCTATCATTGGCCATGCTTCCTGGGGCTGATGGGAGTTGCAGTCCGAAAAACTGGAGGGCACCACCTTGGCTGCCCCTGGCTTAATGGTACGGCCAGCTCTGTTCAGATAACAGGAGGAAAAGTAGTGTTTGCCTAGGGTTTATTATTATTATTATTATTATTATTATTATTATTATCCTTCCTTCCTCCTATTGCATTGCCATCTGGCCAATATTTCTCTGCTGGATTTTAGTGCAACAGACACACATGTATTGTCACATTGTCAGTTCTGCTCATGTTTAGTATGCAAAAGGCATGGCCCGCTGGGAGGTTGCTTCACTTTCCCTCTCCATGGAAAAAGAAAGAAAGAAGTGTGCTTGTTTTTCCTCTTTCCATTTCTTCCAAGTTCTCAGTCTCTTCCCCCCCACCCCGCTCCTAGGAATAAGCACCCTAATTGTGGTCTGCCACACTCTATTTCACAGCCTCCTGTCACCCAGTCAGTCAAGCCAATTTGACTGCAGCAAGAATCCCGATATCCCCGCAAAGGTTACAGGTGCTGTATGCTTGAACTGCGCAACAGAATGGAGGTGTTCCAAATTTAAATCTCCAAACAATTTGCAGGGAGAGGTGTGATGAAGTCAGGAAGGTGGTCTAGAAGAATCACAGAAGATGAGCAGCCGTGGGGCTCTTTTTGTGGTGGGGGTATCTGAAGCAAGTTTGCTTAACAAATGGTTTGCTGTGGGGTATTGAAGCAGATGCTTGCAAGTCCCCTTGAAAAGGCACTTGAGAACCCAGAGGTGATGATATTCACTGCAGATGTTGTGATCATTCATTCACAAAGGCAAGCACCCGTGAAAATGCGTGAGCACAATCTGGAAAAGCGCAGTGGGCCTTCTCCTTGGTGGGAATGGACCTCCTTTGTCCTCCTTTAGGGACAAGCTCAGAGAGCTAATTTCAAAGAAATACAGTGGTACCTTGGGTTAAATACTTAATTCATTCCAGAGGTCCATTCTTAACCTGAAACTGTTCTTAACCTGAAGCATCACTTTAGCTAATGGGGCCTCCTGCTGCTGCTGCCGCGCCGCCGGAGCACAATTTCTGTTCTCATCCTGAAGCAAAGTTCTTAACCTGAAGCACTATTTCTGGGTTAGTGGAGTCTGTAACTTGAAGCGTATGTAACCTGAAGCGTATGTAACCCGAGGTACCACTGTACAAGTTTCTTCAGAATCCTTAGGAACCTTTTGAAATATTTCTTTGTTGGGTGTGTTTTTGTATCCAGTGCTCTCATATTGGATCTCACTCTTTGTGTGTGTGTGTGTGTGTGTAGATATATAGTTTACATAAAAACATTTCTTTAGTACTTTGATTCATATATAACGTCTAGAATCCGTGCCAGGATACAAGTTACAGATGTACATTAATTAAGAGCAATCTTACTTATGCTGGTTAACACAAGCAACTCAGGGTTTGTTTAGCTCAGGTGTGGGGAGCCTTTGTCCCTCCCAATGTTGCTGCACTACAACTTCCACTGGTCCAGCAAGCATGGCAAATGACCAAGGATGATGGGGTATGTAGTTCAGCAACATCGGGAGGGACAAAGGTTCCCTATACCTGTTTTAAGCTGTTGGGAGAACTGGAACTGAAGCATACAATAACACTTCATGCGATGATTCATTAATGTATGGGATTTGATACCATGTGGTTTGGTTATCATCAAATAATAGCAACTATGAATGGATGTTAATTGCAAACACCGTATTAGGAGAACTGGAAAAAAGAGCCAGTGTGGTGTAGTGGTTAAGATCAGTAGATTCGTAATCTGGGGAACTGGGTTCTCATCTCCGCTCCTCCACACGCAGCTGCTGGGTGACCTTGGGCCAGTCACACTTCTCTGAAGTCTCTCAGCCCCACTCAACTCACAGAGTGTTTGTTGTGGGGGAGGAAGGGAAAGGAGAATGTTATCTGCTTTGAGACTCCTTTGGGTAGTGATAAAGCAGGATATCAAATCCAAACTCTTCTTCTTCTTCTCAGAATGCAAACAATGCGTAGGACTTCACCTCCAGAAATTTTCCCAAGTCAATTCCACACCACTGGCTATTTGTTACCCTGGCTTGTAATGTGCAAAGATTTCCACTTGCACAACAGAACACTCTGCCTGCCCCCTAAATTTGTTCTGAAGTCCCACTCAAACCTCTGGAGCCGATCTGGGGGGCTGGGGAATGCTTCTGGGGAAAGAATGGGAGGAAGTACCATTGCGCAAGAGAAAATACTTGTGTTGATGGAACACATTCGCTGGATACTGCCCATGAAGTACAGTCTTACCTCGAGTTACAAACACCTCAGGTTACAAACGCTTCAGGTTACAAACTCTGCTAACCTGGAAGAGTTACCTCGAGTTGAGAACTTTGCCCCAGGATGAGAACGGAAATCGTGTGCCGGCAGCGCAGCAGCGGCAAGTGGCCCCATTAGCGAAAGCACGCCTCTAGTTAAGAAGTTTCAGGTTAAGAACAGACCTCCAGAATGAATTAAGTTCATAACTAGAGGTACCACTGTATACAGAGCCTTCTGGTTTTAAGAAGCAGAATGCCACAGGATACCAGCTGCTTAGAGCAGCAACCAGAGGGGACCTCTGCCCTCGTGTCCTGCCTCTGTGCTCCCTCAAGGCATCCAACTGGCCATGGTGGGTAATAGGATGCTGGACTAGATGGGCAACTAACTGGTCTGATCCAGCCCTTCAGTTAAACATCTACCCTACAGTGATAAGGACAGCCTCTGCGACAAAGTCTGAAAACAAGGGGCTGAATCCAGGGCCTGCAAAAAGGAATCATAATAATAAAAAAGCACCCCACGCAAAGCACCCGAAAACAAAAAGGCATTGTTCAGCAACTTTAGCAGTATCGTTCTCACCCAGGCAGCACACACTCCCACTCAGATTGCTAGCCAGCGACTCAGCGTCTGCCATTGTTTGTGGTTAAACATCATTAAAAAGCCAAAGGGAGATTAAAGTGCCCCGTACAATACAGCTGCTTCTGTAACTCACTTTGCAAGCTGTAAGCCAAAGAGCAAATGCCCTGGGGGCAGGCGGCAGGCGGGGAGCCACAGAAAAAGGGAAATTTTGTTGGCCTTGCCCCCTCAGAAATATTCCAGTCCCTTTCTCTTAATTTCCAGCTTTCGGTAAATCGCATAAGGGAAAGCGTGCAGGCAGCATTCTCCCCAGCTGCTCACTAAAAGTAGTCACACCATTCAATATGAGGCTACCTGTATTTCTACAATGGATGTTTCACCATGATTCCTGACTGCCTTAGGCCCCCAAACTCAAGCCTGCCCTCAGCACACAACATCTTCAGTGGTCTCCCCTCACCAGGCAACTGCGCCTGAGCTGCCATTTTAGTTTCCAACAATGCCCTCAATATACAGGCCCCAAGAAACTTGGATGTCTGAGGGGAGAGCAATACAGGGTGCCTCTCCCAAGTCAGGGTGCGCAACATCCAAAGCCCACCAAATTATTCTGGCACCTGAGGCAGAGGATGCCGCAAACGTCTCTTTCCCTTCCCTGGAAGTCAAAACGCAAGAATAAATTAACTAACAACTCGCTGCCTGAGGCAATTTGCCTCCCTCCGCTTAGAGGTTCGGCAACCTTGGGCCAATCGTGGTTGATACGGCCTTGGAAGGGGCCTGTTGTCAGCTGCCAGGAGAAGGGCATGACCTAAAAAAGGCAAGATGGAGCAGACAAGTTGGAGCAGACAATGGCGTGATGAAGAGGCAAGGGCGCAGCCCAAATAGGCACAGTCAACTTCATATACACTAGGGTCCATTACTCAAGGCGAAATATTGTTCAGACTGACAGGCCAGGACTGAGGTCAAGGCTTGATAGGCCTGATGGAGCTGGGAATGGTGTATGACAGGGCTGGGCAACATGTGGCCCTCCAGATCTTTGTTGGCCTCCAAGTCCCATCATCCCTGACCGCTGCCCATGCTGACTGGGGCTGATGGGCATTGGAGTCCAACAACAACTAAACATCAGGAATAACTTTCTGACATTAAGAGTTGTTTGGCAACAATATGGACTCCCTCAGAACGTGGTGAACTCTGCTTCCTTGGAGGTTTTTAGGCAGAGGTTGGATGGCCATCTGTCATGTACGGTCTGGTTGATATTCCTGCATTGCAGGGGGTTGGACTAGATGACCCTCGGGATCCCTTCCAACTCTACAATTCCATGTATCTATGATTCTAACGCACTTCCTTTGTTGGCAGAAATCCAACAGAAATAACCTGTCACGGAGGTTGGAGCAGTGGGAATACACCAGTCCAAAAGACATTTAGGTAACTTATCCGTTTTTACTGTAAGAGGGAAGTGATATTCCAGTCCAAACTTGCTTTCTAATAAGGATGCCCTCTTAGAAACCAAGACATCCTTCAAAGGGCTTTACGCCACGTGCTACTAATCGATGCTATTAAGCCAACAGTGTCATAGGATTTGTGTCAGGTCAGCAAGCTAAATTTATAAGGAGGCAATCTGGCTGGATGAAATGTAGAACTGAGAAGACGATGAAAATTCTGCTGAGTCTAGTGTGCTATGAAACAGTGTTGTTAGTAGTAGAAGGGAGACATTTTCTCAAAGACAGAGGTTTCCTTACACTGAAGCAGACCCACTGCCATATAGCCCAGCCTTACTGGCCCTAGCTGTCCAAGGTCTCGGGCATATGGCCTATCTGCAGATGCCAGGAACTGAACTTAGGGCTGAGAGACGTCAGAGGAGTGTGACTAGCCCAAGGTCACCCAGCAGCTGCATGTGGAGGAGCGGGGAAGCGAACCCGGTTCACCAGATTACGAATCTACTGCTCAGAGAGCCAGTGTGGTGTAGTGGTTAAGAGCGGTGGACTCGTAATCTGGGGAACGGGGTTCGCGTCTCCGCTCCTCCACATGCAGCTGCTGGGTGACCTTGGGCCAGTCACACTTCTCTGAAGTCTCTCAGCCCCACTCACCTCACAGAGTGTTTGTTGTGGGGGAGGAAGGGAAAGGAGAATGTTAGCCGCTTTGAGACTCCTTCGGGTAGTGATAAAGCGGGATATCAAATCCAAACTCTTCTTCTTCTTCTTAACCACCACATCACAATGGTTCTCTTACAAGTTACTCTGTTCCATTCCTTCTTCCCTCAGTTTTCCATTACCTCCGCCCAGGGCTGGATTTAGGTTTGATGAGGCCCTAAGCTACTGAAGGTAATGGGGCCCTTTATATATCCAGTTGTCCTTTGTCAACAACAAATTGTCACCGTTTTCTGTGTTGAATATATGCTATATGGTAATTTATGGACCTAATAGGTATCTAAAGCCATTTGCACATGTTGCCATGCAACCAGTCCATGCAGAATGTAGGCACCCTATATACAGAAATGAGCAAACCAGTACTATTTTAGAGAGCAGGCTAGCAGGCGGGGCCCATTACTTACATCACAGGAGCCTACACAACACAAAACACTGTTACTGTATGTAGGTTTGATTTGATTTGTTTTTTATCTTGTACAGTGGTACCTCGGGTTACATACGCTTCAGGTTACAGACTACGCTAACCCAGAAATAGTACTTCAGGTTAAGAACTTTGCTTCAGGATGATAACAGAAATTGTGCTCCAGCGGCGCGGCAGCAGCAGGAGGCCCCCATTAGCTAAAGTGGTGCTTCAGGTTACGAACAGTTTCAGGTTAATTACAGACCTCCAGAACGAATTAAGTACTTAACCCAAGGTACCACTGTATTTTGGAAATGTACATCCAGGTTTTTTTTCTTTAATTTTTTGGCGGGCCCCCAAGAGAGTGGGGCCCTAATCTATAGCTTGCTTAGCTTATACAGTGCTACCTCTGGTTACGAATGGGATCCGTTCCGGAGGCCTGGCCGTATCCCGAAAATTCCGTAACCGGAGGACCGCTTCTGTGCACATGTTATGGAATCTTCGGGTTTGCTGCGGCCATAACCTGAAGATTCCATAACCTGGAGGTTACGCAACACGAGGTACCACTGTACATAAATCCAGCACTGCCTCCGTTCCATAACTATCAACCAGTATTCTGTGGCCAATGAGCATGCACAGTCCTCATTAGGTTACAGTGGACGCTTGGGTTGCGAACGAGATCTGTGCGGGATGCATGTTCACAACCCGCAACGTTCGTAACCCGCAGCAGCGCTTCTGCGCACACGCGGGTTGCATTTTGGCACTTCTGCGCATGTGCGACCCCCGAAACCCAGAAGTAACCCGTTCCAGTACTTGTGGGTTTCAGTGGGTCTGTAACCCGAAAAAACACAACCTGAAGCATCTGCAACCCGAGGTATGACTGTATTTAGGGATTTCCCCCTACCTGAGGTCCTTTTTCTGCTCAAAAATATTATTTTTTAATTGCAATCCTGCAACCCGCAAACCTGCTAATACCTTGTGCATGGAAGGTGTTTTTTATTAATTTTTTTACTACAGAAGGATCTACATTAGAAGAAGAACCGAGTTTGCTATCAGGCTATAGACCTACCCTACTTTACAAGGATTACAAGAAGAGAGTAGTTCTCCACATTAAGGCCTGCACATACATTATATATGGCTTCACCCGAAAAATCATGGGAACTGTAGTTTACCCCTCAAAGGGCTGTGGTTCCCCAGCACCCTTAACATGCAACTGTGCCCAGGATTTAAAGCCACATGCTTTAAATCTGCTTTAAATGTTTGGTGTGCACACAGGCCTCCCTGTGAAGTGCTTTGACACTCTACAGCTAGGATATTACCTTATGAGCACAAATGCTAATAACTTTGCAAAGAAAGCATTGCATATTAGACAATTATATATATTTTGTCAGGACTGTGGTTTTCTTTCCAATAGGCAATGGGATTTTGGGTGGGGGAAATCGCTGACATTTGTGTTTGCAGTGACCTTTCCCCAACCCATTTAGGTACATTCGGAAAGAAACTTAATTAAGGCTACAATCTGGTCTGTGCACACGAAGCAAGGACTTCCAAGTTTACAGACAGGTCAGTCTGCAAAATAATAATAATAATATCAAAAATCCTTGTTGCTCATTGCATGACTTGTTTTGAAAAATGTGATCCCATGAACGGAAAGGCATGGAAAAATTGCACAAGACTGGGCTTTCCCTTCAAGTGAGCAATCCGTTTTACTGGAATAATATGGAGACAGAGGATAGATTTTCTGCACACACTTACTGAAATTAAGAGGACTAAAAAACATTTGTGCGTAACTTTTGGCTAGATCACGCTCTGTGTCTTTAGCTTGTCACCCTTTGTTCTCCATCTCCTGTGTTCATTCTGTTTCTCTCTGCGTTTTGTACATCCACAGACAAGCCTGTTCTCTCCCAGCTACTCCCCCTCCCAATTGGCCCAATTTGATTTCCAGGGAGTCTATATTGGCAGCCTGTCAAGCCAAATGTTCACTCCGCTATCGACACAGCCAGGGGCGAGGGGGTTTGCCGATGCCAGCCAAGCCTTGCTTAACAAATGTTACTGTTTTATAACATGACATGCTTGGCGATAGCGAAAAGGAAAAGCATTAGGGGGAAAACTTAATCTAGTGATTAAAACGCAATACTTGGTGTTGCTGGCTGCAAACCCTGGCGCCGTGCCTCCCCCCTCAAGGCTGGGTGGGACCTGTATCTGGCGAGAAGTTGTTTCATTAACTAAACGTCCCAGGATACAGATGACGGCAGACCGCATACGAAAAGTGAACCGGGCCAAGCATGACCGCAGCTAAATACGTGCTGCTCCCAGGATGACTCTTCAAGAAGTACGATCCCAGGCACAAAAAGATACAGACAAATACACAATAATCATAGAATCATAAAGTAGGAAGGGACCCCCAAGGGGAACTAGTCCAAACCTCTGCAAAGCAGGAATCTCAGCTAGAGCATCCATGACAGTTGGCCATCCAACGTCTACTTAAAAAATCTCAAGGAAGGAGAACCTACCACCTTCCAATGGAGCCCGTTCCACAGTCAAACAGCTCTTACTGTCAGAAAGTTCTTGAATCCATTGGTTCGGATCCTAGCATCCACAACAGGAGAAATCAATTGTTATTCCGCTGCTGAGCTGTTTTAGGTTGGAGGGGTGTTGAGGAGAGCTTTGATGGTGGTAGGACTACACAAAGTATTCCATTTCATTCATTCATTACAAAAGCAATCATATATCACCCACCCATGTAGAATATAAAAACGGTGCACAACAAAACATGCAATGCAATAAAGACATACACACAGTACTGTAAAACAGGGACAGGGAAGATTCTGGCCCTCCAGAAGTTGCTGAACTTCAGCTCCTATCTATTCCTGGCCATTGGCCGTGCTTGCTGGGGCTAATCGGACTTGTACTTCTGCAACAAGTGTGCAGAAGACGGCGGCCATGTTGATAAAAGGTCTGGAAACCCAAGCCTTATGAGGAACAGTTTAGTGTGTTTAGCTTGGAGAACAGAACACCGAGAGGTGATACGATAGCCATCTTCAAAGATCTGAAGGGTTGCCACATGGAAGATGGAGCAAGCGTGTTTTCTGTTGCTCCAGAGTATACGACCCAAACCAATGACTTCAAGCTACAAGAAAGGAAATTCCAACGAAAAACATTGGGAAGAACTTTCTGATAGCAAGAGCTGTTTGACAGTGGAATGGGCTACCTCAGAAGGCAGGGAGCTCTTATTCATTTGAGGTTTTTAAACAATTTGGATGGCCATCCGGCAGGAATTCTTTAGCTCTGACTCCCGCATTACAGGATGTTTGAACTGGATGACCGCTGGGGTCCTTTCCAACTGTATAATTCTTTGATTCTAACATATGGAGGGACAACAGTTGTCCAGACCTGCTATGCATCAATACAAGATGGCAAGAGGGCTCAACAAATCTGTCAAAAAAAATTATTCTTTCAGATTCTTGGTTTTCCACATACAGTGGTACCCCGTGTTACAGACAGGATCCTTTCCGGAGGCCCGCCCGTAATGTGAAAAGCCCACAACTCGAAGTGCTGTGTCTGCGCAGGCGCATGGCACGATTTGGCGCTTCTGCGCAGGTGTGAGGAGCGAAACCCAGAAGTAACCCATTCCAGTACTTCCGGGTTGCTGCAGGACGCAAGACAAAAAAACGCAACCTGAAGCGGACGTAACATGAGGTATGACTGTATTTGCATCTGTTTGCGTCGTTGCTGTTTTTCAAGCCCTAATGAAAATTTACCAGCAATTTAGAGAGTATATTCTCCAAGTTACACATTTTTGCAACCAATTCCCCATAATATAATGCAATTCTGTACATTGTTTGCACAAATATATGCATTTTATACACACTTCCCCAATAGATCTGTAGAAACATAGATGCACTGAACACCACCAGAATGGATGCCCCCATTTGCCCGCACCAAGTTCTCTGCGCCTTTCTTTCCAAAGTGCTTCAGGGGCAGCCATGTGTCCTACTTTATATGGTTGCCAAGAGACTTACCATATTTTTCCGTGTATAAGACTAAGGTTGTTTTTTTTTAACCAAAAAGGTAGGTTTAAAATTGGGGCTTGTCTTATACACAGGTGGTGGTGAGGGGTGTTTTCTTAATTTGGACTCCCCAAAATAGGGGGCGTCTTATACATGGGGGTGTCTTATACACAGAAAAATACGGTATACTTTGAGTCTGGAAGGATAAATAAGCACTGCCCATTGCACAATGGTCCGAATACCTTATGGCCCTGGCTATATTTAAACATACTTCACATAGACGTCAGTTTTGTGGTAAAACCTATCTGGCCATTTGGAGGGCTTATATTAACTTAAGATGTAAGTTTCATTTTTTCTGGAGACAGTGTGGTGTAGTGGTTAGAGTGTTGGACTGAGATGCGGGTGGCGCCGTGGTCTAAACCACTGAGCCTCTTGGACTTGCCGACTGGAAAGTTGGCAGTTCAAATCCCCGCAACGGGGTGAGCTTCCCGTTGTCCTGTCCCAGCTCCTGCCAAGCTAGCAGTTCAAAAGCACGCCAGTGCAAGTAGATAAATAGGTACTGCTGTGGCAGGAAGGTAAATGGTGTTTCCGTGCACTCTGGTTTCTGTCACAGTGTCCTGTTGCACCTGAAGCAGTTTAGTCCTGCTGGCCACATGACCCAGAAAGCTGTCTATGGACAAACACCAGCTCCCTCAGCCTGAAAGCGAGATGAGCGCCACAACCCCATAGTCGCCTTTGACTGGACTTAACCGTCCAGGGGTCTTTTACCTTTACCTTTAGTCCCCACTCACCCATAAAGCTCACTGGGTGCCCTTGGGCCAGTCAACATTTCTCAGACTAACCTACCTCGTGTGCATGCACACGAAAGCTCATACCAACAACTAATTTAGTTGGTCTCTAAGGTGCTACTGGAAGGATTTTTTTAATTTTTAATTTTATTTTATTTATTTTGTTTTGTTTTGACTACCTCACAGGGTTAGAGTGCAAGGATAAAATAGGCAGAGGGAGAACCTCAAACAACTTGATGAAAAAAGTGGGATATCAGTGCAATAAATAAGTATTTTATGTTACTCTGTCCCCCCCCCCTTTCCCTTCTTTTCCTTTATTAAATTTGCAAATTCTAAAAATTGGAAAAATTATAGTGGATTATTTCTAAATTTTCAGAGACGCAAGAAAGTGTCCTCGCTTGTCCTCCTGTTTGATGACGCATTTCCTCTTTTTTCGCAAAGTGTAAGCAGCAACCCCAAAAGCACTGCATGGATGCTGGGAAATGTGCCTTATTCCAGACCATTCTGTTCCACTAACTGCTCTGTGCCCAATACTGAACTTGGCCTTGAGCTATGGAAAAACGAGCTGTCTGTTTCCTGCTCTGAACTTTGAAACATCTGCAATTTTTCGTGTTATGTCAGCCACTGCTTTCTGCGGTCCCCTGTATAAAATTAGAGGAGGTTGGATTGCCTCACTGCAGAAAGGGAGGGAGAGAGATGCAGATATAAAAAGTATAGGGTGGTAAGGGGGAAATGTAAACAATCATTAGAAATAAAAGAACTACTCCCATCTTTTCTCTTCCGCCTGCCTTCCCCGCAACCCCCTCTGCAGCTCAAAGGCTTTGCATTGCATAAATATCTACTTAGGAGCCTGCAAAATCTATACTGCGATCTCCAGAACAGCTTCTCAAGCACAATGCTGCTGAAGTGAGTGGACAGTTAAAAGCTGTCGAGTACTGCTCTCGTGGATCATAAGCGCTTCTGATGAAATCAGAGGCTTCTCAAATGTGGTCCTAGAAAGCTTTCTCCAAGCCAAGGAAGAACTTAGGTGTACCCAGGGCCGGATTTAGGTTTGATGAGGCCCTAAGCTACTGAAGGTAATGGGGCCCTTTATACAGTCATACCTTGGGTTACGAACGCTGCAGGTTGCATGTTTTTGGGTTGTGGACCGCGCCAAACCTGAAGTACTGGAACGCGTTACTTCCAGGTTTCTGTGCATGCACGCGCATGCACAGAAGTACCAAATGACATCATGCGCATGTGCAGAAGCGTCAACTTGAGTCACGCGCAGACGCGGCACTTCAGGCTGTGAACACTGCAGGTTGCAAACATGTCTCCCGCACGTATCACATTCACAACCCGAGGTATGACTGTATGCCCAGCTGTCCTTTGTCAACAATAAATTGTAGCTGTTTTTTGAGTTGAATATGTGCTACATGGTAATTTATGGACCTAATAGGTATCTAAAGCCATTTGCACATGTTGCCATGCAACCAGTCCATGCAGAATGTAGGCACCCTATATATAGAAATGAGCAAACCAGGCTAGCAGGTGGAGCCCATGACTTACATCATAGGAGCCTACACAACACAGAACACTGTTGCTGTATGTAGGTTTTATTTTATTTGTTTTTTATCTTATATTTTGGAAATGTTCATCCAGTTTTTTCCTTTAATTTTTTTTGGGTGGCCCCCAAGAGAGAGTGGGGCCCTAAGCTATAGCTTGTTTAGCTTATACATAAATCCGGCACTGGCTGTACCACCCAAATGTAGCCAGCCTGAGAACTGCAGGGCTAACCCAAGCCATTTTGCTGCCTGACAAGAAGGGCAATATGGTGGCCTCTCTCCACATCATCCTGTGTATATAGAAGCTGGCTGGAGCCTGGCAGCTTCAGCAACTGACAACAGGACAGTGTTCTCAGCCGAGGAGAACAGGCTGCCAGAGGAGGCACCTGGCAGGCTGGGTGGCTCGCACAGCTCTGCCCACAAGCAACTTGGCACTGACTCCCACTCTCCCGGCATCTGCCACTTGACAAGGTGCCTCAAGCTGCCAAATGGTAGGGTCAGGTCTACAGGGATAAAACAGTAGAGCTAGATGCAATGGGGGGACGGACCTTCACCCTATGGCAGAATCCAAGGAACCTAAACATTCTGGTTAGTACTTGTATCCCTCCTGCGAGCCACTGGCAGTTTTGAGGCAGCCTGGAGGAAGAAGACATGTAAACACCCCACGAGCAAATCAGGATTGGTGCGGAATGAAAGCTCATTATCATAGAACCTCACGCTAAACAAATCAGAATAAATGCTCAATAAAGGACCGGACGTGGTGTATCTACCACTTGCACTTTGTGCAGAAAGATCAGGATGAATGCTCAATAAAGAGGTCATCTGGAAGTTTGCTCATGACAAGCATTCCCGCCCCCCCCTTGTTCCTAATTCAGGAACAAGGCGGCTTCAGAAGTTTACGCAATGTGGCCCAGTGTTCCGTTTTCCTTCTGCCTTCCTTCTTCTTCCTCTCCCTTCAACCCCCACCCTGCCTTTTCAAAACGTTTGAACATGTGGTGTGATTTTTGGCTACCATCCTAAGCAGTGAGAACAATGAGACTTCCAAGTAAACAGTGATTAGGATTGGGTTCTTTTATTCGATTCCGGAAACACCTGGAGTGCTTTATTGTGTAGCAAAGTGTCTCCAAAGCTAACTGGCACTGTGTGTGTATGTGTGTTTTGAGTGTGCACATGTATCGTAGCTACCAGGTTAAGTTCAAGGTCCTGATTCCTGGTGTGCAAAGCACAATGGGACCAGGACTCCTGAAATATTGTCCCACTGTTTTATATAATCCTTGATCACTGTGTTCTGCATGTGAGGACCTCCTGTAGATATCCATCATATCAGGAGAGGAATCGGGCCTTTAGAGTTGTGGCATCTACCCTGTGGAATTCCTTCCCTTGAAAGGCAGGTGCCATTATTTCTGCTGCCTTTTTAGCATCCATTGGCGGTCCATGGATTGAGGTTGAATCCCAACAAGACCGAAGCACTGTCTCTTGGGGGGCAGGGGGAGGGCAGGTGTGGGGGACTCCCTGGTCCTGAATGGGGTAGCTGTGCCCCTAAAGGACACACATGCTTTCACTAGTTGTGAACAAGGGCAAAGGACTATGTTGGGCCTGGAAAACCCCACCTTCTGTCCACTGGACCTTCTACTGGTTTCAGATTATGTCACCAGCCTACTTGAATTTCAGTGGAGACCCTTAACGCTTTTTCTGCTCGCCACCCCCCCCCCCCGTGAAAGTATCATCCAATCACATGCTGAGGAAATCTGCTTGCCCCGAGACCCACAACTCCCTAAGGCTGTTCCCAAACTGCTTGAGCTCACTAAGAATACTAGATTGCTGCAATGCACCACATTTTTAAGAGATGTGGTATTTTAAGGGCATGCATGCTGCAGTTACGCTACTAAACTGCTGTGACAGCTGTGACCTTAATGTGACAGCAAAATGGCAAGAAATGCCTTCAAATTTAGCAGCGTTTTGCAACCCTGCAACCCTGCGGCAATCGCTGCAACGGCCCAATTTGTTCAGCAGAAGTACTTGGGTTGAAGCCGATTTAGAGATCTTATGAGTCGGGGGGGGCTGCAACAAAACGTTGCAGTGTGAATTTTTCCTGTTCACTGTTCCGAGTCAGCCAGCCAACCCTCTCTCGATGATACTCCCTTCCATTTCCCTGCATCCTGCCTCCCCCCTTAACAAAACAGTCGGTCAAGATTCCATGGCCACTGAGCCTCCAACAGGCCAATTTTAGGCCTCTTCTGCTGTAGTTTTTCCTAAAGAGTTTCTTTATGCACTTCTGCAAACCTGGGGGTTCCTCAACGCCTGCTGATATCCTTGCTCCTGTGAATGGATGGTGCTGTTTCAGCTACAAAAGCAGCAGAACTCGTGCCTGAACACTTGAAATACAGTGAACAAGTCCAAGACTAGTTGTGCCGGTTACTTGTGTGCAAATCGGAGGAATTCAGATTTTTATTCATTGGGAAGAGTTTCTGCATCATCCATTCAGTGACTGCTTTTCCGGGAGTTCCACATGCTGTCATACATATATACTTGGTTGAATTCACACTGCATCATGGGTTAACTAGCCTGAAAATTGTTTACATACTTCATTGCTGTCACAGATGTAAAACAAGCAAGCAAGAAACACCACAAGTCCTGATAGGGCCAAATTTGGCGCGATGGCCTGGTAAGAAAGTAAAATAAAATGTGAGAATGCAGATAGTTTGGTTAGAAAGGCTTAAAACCTTTATCCATAATGCTCCTGATGTAGCTTGACAGCAAGAAAGCTTTCCCGGTTGGAGGATGAACATGACGATTTGGTTTGATTTATTGTATTTCGATTGTAGTTTCATTCAAATGAATCTCAAAGTGGTCTACACATAACATAATAAAAGATACAACATGAATCGCATAGAACAATGAACAAATCAATCAAACAATTACAATCTATAAAACACCGTTAACAAAACAGCAACTAAAACAAAATGAGCAAAACATCACAATTACAGCAAAAGCATGCCAGGTTTGGTATAGCTGCCCGCATGTACAGAATCCAGATTTGCAAAACTGAAACATTTGGTCTAACTATCGCTCCCCCACTCCCCCGATTCTAAAGGAAAGTAAGCAAGATTCCTGTCTTCCATCCAAAAGCACCAGTTGGAGACGCTTCCTACTGCAGGAGGCCTAGCAGTTGATGTGGCAATGGTGGATAGTTACATATTTATATGCTAACCCCTTTTACCTGCTAGAATGCTAAATTAATTCCATGCCCTTGTTAGATCCCTGACAGTTATACAGACAGACAGCTTGGTCTCTGGCCAATTCTAAGCATGCAGTTATCAAGGCAGACTGGCCCTTAAAAGCTGAGGTCTTCTCCTTGGCAGGCTTGAAGGAGACGTCCTCAGTCTGACTCGGCTTTTCAGCTGCTAGCACAGGACTGACTCAGCATTTCTGATCAGGCAGCAGCGGGAGTCAGTGAAACAGAGAAAGAAGGCAGAGGCAACTTTGTTAGCTGTTGCACAATTTCACACCCCATGGGCAGAATCCCACGAAATCACCACTGCTGGTGGCTTTCAAATATCGCATAAGAAACAGAGGTGTCCTTATAGGAGGAAGACTCTGCTTCTTATACACTCACGCCCCTTAGGCAGAGGCTGCATTTGCACGCCAAGGTAAGTAAAGGTTACTGTCTTATCAGGGTTCGTGGTGCATGGGTGATGTGCTAGCGCATGATGCGAAATTACTCCTGCTTTTGTTCATTCTGCAGCGCAAGGAGGAGAAGCGACCCAGGAGGCTGCAATTAAGCTTGCCTCCCTGTGATGTCTGAAACTGGAGTTGTGGTTTGTTTCTTCCTAATAAGGCCAGGACGCCTGCTTCTTGGGAGAAAAGCAATGACAAACCTAGACAGCATCTTAAAAAGCAGAGACATCACCTTGCTGACAAAGGTCCGTATAGTTAAAGCTATGGTTTTCCCAGTAGTGATGTATGGAAGTGAGAGCTGGACCATAAAGAAGGCTGATCGCTGAAGAATGGATGCTTCTGAATTACGGTGCTGGAGGAGACTCTTGAGAGTCCCATGGACTGCAAGAAGATCAAACCGATCCATTCTGAAGGAAATCAGCCCTGAGTGCTCACTGGAAGGACCGATCCTGAAGCTGAGGCTCCAATACTTTGGCCACCTCATGAGACGAGAAGACTCCCTGGAAAAGACCCTGATGTTGGGAAAGATGGAGGGCACAAGGAGAAGGGGACGACAGAAGACGAGATGGTTGGACAGTGTTCTCGAAGCTACCAGCATGAGTTTGACCAAACTGTGGGAGGCAGTGGAAGACAGGAGTGCCTGGCGTGCTCTGGTCCATGGGGTCACGAAGAGTCGGACACAACTAAACGACTAAACAACAACAAAAACTAAAAGCCCAAACTAAAAACTATTCATGAATGCTAATGATGTGCATCTCAGCAAAATTGTCTTTCCATTCCCATGTTTACACTTATGCAGGAATTTTCATGTGCCCAAGGCATACATACTTGCCTGCGGGGCAGTATCATCAGTTAGCCATACTTTAATCCTATTAAAATAAATGTTAAATCATCCTTGTGGATCCATTCAGGAATGTAAGATTTTTCCACTGGAGTGGTGGTGAGAAAGAATAGCAGGGCCTTGTCAGTTACAGCCCCAGTTTTATGAACATTCTTTCTCCGACGAGGCCTGCCTACCCATGAAGGAGAATGAGATGGCAAAAGACCCATGGTTGTAGAGAGGAGGGCACTGTATCATTTCAAATTCCGGGTGGGGGAATCAATTCTTTTACAGTGATACCTCGGTTCTTGACTGCCTCCGTTGTCGAACGTTTCAGTTCTCAAACGCCAAAAACCCGAAATGCTTCTGTTTTTGAACACACCTCGGAACTCAAACATGCGACGCGGCTTCCGCTGAGTGCAAGAAGCTCTTGCAACCAATGGGAAGCTGCGCCTTGGTTTTCGAACATTTCCGAAGTCAAACGGTCTTCCAGAACTGATTACGTTCGAGAACCAATCTACCACTGTAATCCCTAATGGGGGGGGGGGGAATCCCTGAGAGAGAAAAAAGCTAGCCTGGGAGGAGGAAGACTCTAGCTAGCCCTTGGCGCCTGCAAGTTTTCTGTTCTTTAAAAAGAGCGAGACCATGTGGTTTGCTGTTATTTTGAAGTCACATAGAATTCTGCACTGATAGAATGGACTATCTTATTCCCACTTTGTAGGTGGGTTAAACCACAGAGCCTAGGACTTGCCGATCAGAAGGTCGGCAGTTCGAATCCCCATGATGGGGTGAGCTCCCATTGCTCGGTCCCTGCTCCTGCCAACCTAGCAGTTCAAAAGCATGTGAAGTGCAAGTAGATAAATAGTTACCACTCCGGCGGGAAGGTAAACGGCGTTTTCGTGTGCTGCTCTGGTTCGCCAGAAGCGGCTTAGTCATGCTGGCCACACGACCCGGAAGCTGTACGCCGGCTCCCTCGGCCAGTAAAGCAAGATGAGCGCCCCAACCCCAGAGTCGTCTGCAACTGGACCTAACAGTCAGGGGTCCCTTTACCTTTACCTTTACTACCCCTGGAACGTAACCCCCACGTAAGTTGCAGGCTTACTGTACAGATCCAGCCTAAGTACGGCTCAAGAATTACTGTATAGTTTTTAGAAAAAGACGTTAAAGCAACAATATTCAGGAGGGAAATTCATTGATCTTTTATACTTGTGAACTGATTCCATGCAAGCTGCTTTTATCACATCTTTTCCTCACTGTAATGTTTTGCTTCCCCACCTCCAGTGATTGCTGGGGCTGTGTTTTGTTTTTCTGCACAATGTGCATTTTTATTAATGTAGAGCATTTATAGCTGCTAAGGATAAGGAGGAGTAATACAAAAATGTGTTAGTTAACGTGTACGTTTGTATGTGCATGTGTGTGTTTTTATTTATAATATTTTTATTCTCCTTTTTGCCCTAAAGGCCCCCAGTTTGGCTAACAAAATACTTTAAATCCGTAATTTAATAAAACAACACCAAAATACACAACCAGCGTACCTGGCCAAACAAGAATCAGCACAGGTACTAGAAAATTAATCATATAACAATAAATAAAAGAAGTCAATGGAGAAACCCAAAAGAACCCCCCCTCTGCAATGCAAGGATATGCAGGTGCCCCATATGGGGAATGAACCTTCAACCTTGGCATTATCAACACCACACTCTAACCAACTGAGCTGTGAAGGTTAATATTAATAATACAGTGGTACCTCGGGTTACAGATGCTTCAGGTTACGTGTTTTCGGGTTGTGCACTGCACCAAACCCGGAAGTACCAGAACAGGTTACTTCCGGGTTTCGGCGCTCGCACATGCGCAGAACTACTAAATTGTGCTTTGCGCATGCGCAGAAGCGCTGAATCGCGACCCACACGTGCGCAGACACAGCGCTGAGGGTTGCAAATGTGCCTCCTGCACGGATCACATTCGCAAACCGAGGTTCTACTGTAATAAAGATATCATAACCAAATCTTGCATGGTGATTCCTGAGATCAAGGAGCAGGTTTTTATCTATGTTTGGGTACAAGTGGAACCATTTTGAACAAAGATGGTAGACTGATCTTTTCAAAGCTGCACTGATTATTATTTTTTTGAATTCCTGGACAATGCCAGGTAAAAGTCTGCGTGTGTGTGCGTGTGCACGCGCACAAGTGTGTATTGTGCATATGTATAGCCAAAGGCCCAGTTTGCACACAGTGATAAATTTTGTTAATGGCCCTTCTGGGGGTCAAACAGCGTGCAAGAGCCTGTTGTCCAGTGCTCCACCCATGTTGTGAGCAGAAGCAACAAACCCATAGTCCTTGGCTTGTTGTTATGCCTGAACCAGAATCACAGTGTGTTTCTCCCTAGCAAACCGTGATCAGCAAACCATGGTTTCACAAGCACGGTTTGTTCAGGAGGAAAAAGCTGTGATCCTAGGCTGGGACACTGCAGCGAGCCAAGGATTCATGGATTGCTGCCAATGGAGAGGCAAAGCAGGTGTGACTGCCAAGGGCTAAGCAGCAATTAGTCATTGTTTTAAATCAGAGATGCGGTCCTTCCGTGAATTTTATATCTTCCCTCCAAAGCCTCTCCCATGATTCCATCTGGATGTTGCAGCCAAAGTCCCTGGCCCACTGCACCATTACGGATTTGACTTCTTCCTCCTTGACCTCCCAGTCAAGGAGTAGCCTATATATTTTAGAGAGTGGTTTATATTTAATTTGGGATGTGAGTGGCGCTGTGGGTTAAACCACAGAGCCTAGGACTTGCCGATCAGGAGGTCGGCGGTTCGAATCCCCGCGACGGGGTGAACTCCCGTTGCTCGGTCCCCGCTCCTGCCAACCTAGCAGTTCGAAAGCACATCAAAGTGCAAGTGGATAAATAGGTACCGCTCCGGCGGAAAGGTAAACTTCGTTTCCGTGTGCTGCTCTGGTACGCCAGAAGCGGCTTAGTCATGCTGGCCACATGACCCGGAAGCTGTACACAGGCTCCCTCGGCCAATAAAGGGAGATGAGCGCCGCAACCCCGAGTCGGCCACCACTGGACCTAATGGTCAGGGGTCCCTTTACCTTTACCTTTTATATTTAATTTGAATCAAATCTTTTTCAAGTCTCGAAGGTTCTGTAGAAAAATCTTTTTGGAAGGTCTCATTCAATTGGAAATATTGCATCCAGTCTGTCAGGTGATTTCGGATTTCTTCAACTTTTTTGAGTTTTAGCCCATTGTCTTTTTCTTCCAGCAGTTCTTTTTCCTTTTCTGTTGATTACTTATGTTACACAGTTTTTAAAACCAATAAAGCATATATTTTAAAAAAAGAAAGAAACCCGTGGTCCTTCAGTTGCTGCTGGGCTTCGATTCCCATCACCCTTTATCATAAGCCACTGTTAGCTGGGGCTGATGGAAGTTGGAATCCAAAAGCATCTAGAGGGCCATGAATTTCTCTCTCTGCTTTAAATGAAAGCTCAAGCTCTTGAGAATACACAACAAGCTTCCAAATTCAGCATTTTGCTCCTAAGATGCAAACTCTGTGACGTAACTGCATGCACACAGACTACTGAACATGCTGCCAGTTTGGAAACCAGCTCTTCAGAACATTGGGGATGATGCCAAATGGTTGAAACACGAGAGGATTTCAGAAAACCGCTTGACAAAGGGATCTCGAGGGACAGCAATCATGCCTCCTAATTTCTCACCCTTCCTCCCAGACAAAAAGGAACTGCTTTGAAGATTGACTTCATTCTTCACCCAAGCTACTAGGACTTGGAAAGCTCTCGCAACAGCTGCTGCTCTCGAAGAGCCAACTCATGGCGCCATAGATCACACTGAGATCCTCGGGAGCAGAAGACTATTTATGCTAGCCTCTTAATTGAGCGTTCCTCTGCCAGCCAAGACATTCCGTGCTCCGCCACGCAAATAATGTAAGCTAATTTGCAGCTAAGCGCCGCCGTTGGAAACATACTTTATAAATATCTTCCTCAGCTGAGCAAGGGGAGCCTGGCAGAAGGCAAGTGTTGAAATGGTGTGAGGAAATGCACAATGGGCAACGAATACAAACACCCTCTTTCATCGGCGAACGGGAGGTTGACTCTGGCCTATGACTTGACTGTGTGCCTTGGAGAACCTGCCTAATAGGTATTCTCATCCCCAATAGAAGATACAGCAGGGTGTACTGAATGCAGCAACGGGTTAAGACAAGAATGGCCCAACTTACGTATTTAGACCATAGGACTCTAAATCTTAGGGTTGTGGGTTCGAGCCCCACATTGGGTGAAAGATTCCTACATTGCAGGGGATTGGGTTAGATGACCCTCGTGGTCTCTTCCAACTGTACAATTCCATGATCTAAGCGAGGGATGCCTCACTCCACTTATGTGGACCTGGCACTGTTACATGTGCCACATACCGTATCTTTCGCTCCATAAGACGCACCCGACCATAAGACGCACCTAGCTTTTAGAGGAATACAAGAAAAAAAATGCAGTGGTACCTCGGGTTAAGTACTTAATTCGTTCCGGAGGTCCGTTCTTAACCTGAAACTGCTCTTAACCTGAAGCACCACTTTAGCTAATGGGGCCTCCTGCTGCCGCTGCACGATTTCTGTTCTCATTCTGAAGCAAAGTTCTTAACCCAAGGTACTATTTCTGGGTTAGCGGAGTCTGTAACCTGAAGCATATGTAACCTGAAGTGTATGTAACCTGAGGTACCACTGTATTCTGAATCAAATGTTGTACTAAACTATTTAATAAACTACCAGTATATCAGCATATTTCAACCATGTAAAGTGAACAGCAGTCAACAGTGGCATTAAGAACCATCATCACTGTCATGAACAAATGAAGAGAGACTTTATCCTCTAGTAAGGGGGGCAGGCAATGGAAATATATGAGCTTCCCACATTGAGTCTCTTAGATCCAAGGACTGTATGGTTTGGGCCCTACAGAATTATTTTAATAAAGCAAAAATAAGTGGGACTTTCTTCCTTTTTGTTGATTGTAGAGAGCTCTGGGGGCTTTCATATGAGGGAGGAATGAGGGAGAAATCTGGTTCAATTCCCATTTTAAGTCAAACCTACATAATTCATACCTTTGTACACAACACAAGGATCAAACCACAGCCACCCTTCAAATTTCACACTTCTGCAAAGGAAGGCACTACTGCCCTGGCAAGACCAGTGGCGGAGGGAGGGTCTTGCGTGGTGGCATGTCGCCTGTGGGGACGTGGGACATCGCCCACGCGAGCGTCATCCCAAGAGGGTGGTGCGCGCCCACCCACCCATCCCAATGGGGCAGCCGAGCGTGGGGGCCGAGGGATTGCACGGCTCCCGCTGTGCTTGCTTTACACCTGTGTAAGCCATGGAAGGGGAGCCATGGCTCCTGTCCCTCCCTCCTCTGAGCAGCATTCACTTCATAAGATGCACAGACATTTCCCCTTACTTTTTAGGAGGAAAAAGTGTGTCTTATGGGGTGAAAAATATGGTAATATGTATTCCACGTCTGTAAGAAATTGATCTTTTAATGTAGAAGCACCCACACTTCCTGCCTACTGATCTCAGGCAGGCGACTTTGCTGTATATACTCGTTTTGGGCCTTCTAAAAAAGACACCAGACACGTAGAATGTTGATGTGTTTAATCTGCTTTCTAGCTTCTTGTTGATTTTAATTTTTTAATGTTTAAAATCATTCTTTTCAAGAGATTCTTTTTTACTTATTGTTTTATTCTTTTTGTAAACCACTTTGAGGCTTTATTACAAGCAGTATATACATCTAGGGGAATAATTAAATAAATTTTCTCCCCAATTTTAAGTTCAGTTTTCTCTACTTCTGCACAGTTTGTAATTAAAAAAAAGCAAACCGCACAAAACTTTGTACAACTTTTTGTGTACAAAAAGTACACAAAAGTTCTTAATGTATGCAATTTTGCCTATTATACAGAGTTTTTGCAAGCCAGGTCCCATAATATAATGCATTTTAGTATGTTAACTTAGTATGTTCATTTCTCTAACGTACACATTTTTCTGTACACGCTTTTCCTACTAAATGCAATTTTGAACATTTTTTTTTAAAAGTTTTTGAGAACTTCATCACAAGATTTGGAGACGTCTGGTTTTTCCATTTTATAAAATCCATCTTCCAGTATCAACTTTGCTGCTTCTCTCTCTTTGCATCATGAGCCAAAATATGTGTTCTACAAGTTCAACTGAGCTCAATACTCCTGAGTAAACAGGAATGGGACTGTGCTGCACACATCACAATGCAGTACACCTTTCAAAATCATGAAGTTTCTATTAACGATTTGCTGTTTTCCATCAAACTGAAGAAGCACAGCAACCAAGAATATAAGGACCGCCTAGAATGTTGATGGACTAGATCAGGCACATCCAACTTCCAAGAGATTGCGATCTACTCCCACTATAAAAAAACTGGCAGTGATCCACCCATTGGATTGACCAGAGTTGTTGAGCTTTGGCCGGAGGGGTGGGGAGAGGACGAAACAAAGTTGATGGGCTTTTTTGGGGGGGGAGGATGAGACAAAATTCTTGAGCTTTTTGGGGGGAGAATGAGCCAAAGTTGTTGAGCTTTTTGGGGAGAGGATGAACCAGAGTTGTTGAGTTTTTTTGGGTGGGGGGAGGGTCCCACGATCAACCATGACTGACCAGGGACACCCTGCGATCAACCGGTACATCGCGATTGACCTGTTGGGCATCCCTGGACTACACCACCCAAATGTGATCAGAGTAACATTCAAGGAAAGAAGATGGACCTTAACAACACATTATTTTTAGGGCTATCATCAAATTTAAGCTACAATCCTTGAAACATTGACTCTGGAGTAGGTCCCATTTAACACATCTTCTGAGCAAATAAGCACAGGACCGCACTGTTTAATCACATTGCTTTTAATCAATCGAATCTGCGTATATTCACATGCAAATAGGCAAAGCCACATGTCACACCAAGCACCCATCTTAGATGAGGCATTTCTTTCTTTATGTCAACAGCCTTGATAATTTTGGAACGGCATGGCAAAAAAATGCATAAAACAAACGCAAGCAAAGAAAACATGAAAGTAACGTCACATCTCAGCCAGTGTTACCTTTACCCATTCCTCCCCACATTCCTTTCAAGTTTGATACCACCCTCCTTCAAATCAGCAGGGCGAGGGGGGGGGGCTACCTTAGATAGCTCCAAAGCAAGCCTGCTAAGAAGACAGTGGTCTTCTCTGCTGCCAAGATTGCTGGAGAAAGATGTTGTTCCAGTGGGGAGCTGCACACAACTGAAGTCTTATGTCAGCTGGCTCCACATCCCCAGAGAAGCTGGCTGGACTGCAAAATGACCCTCACCTGATTTTAGTCTGCAAGGTTGGGGAGACAGGGGTACTGCAGGGACTCTGAGGATGGTAGAAAGGTTGTACCCTCTAGGTGGGAGAAGTCTGGATACTGTCCTGGTAGTTTTTCACTGAGGAAATGAAAGCATCCCCAGAAACCTCAGCCATGCAGCTGCAAGGTCAAAGGGTCAGGGCTCACAACAATTTCTGCACTGTATGGGGTGGCATTTGAATTTGTCTTGCAAATTTCAGCTAGTCCATAACAACTGGGGGATGTATCTTTGCAGTTATTTTTCTTTTCCTGACAATGCTAGAGGAAACCAGAGGAAAGAGTGCCATGTGCAGAAAGCCTTGTCAGGTGGCGGTTCTAGGGCAAGGGGAGTTACATGCGCTTGTGGGGTGGCAAGGGGGTGTTTGCAACAGACAGCAGAGATGACACTTGAGCTAAGACGAAGGGCCCAGATTTTTAGCAGAAGGTGACAGAGGTGCCAGCTGTTACACCACTCATGGTTGGTGCATTTGTGAGTGCCAAAAGTAGGCCCTCTCAAAGGATGGTGTGTATACAATAACAGGGAGGTATACTCTTCCAATCTGCAAGCTGGCCAAGGGAACCCTTCTTCAAAATATGGGGGGGGGTCCTTTAAGAGAATAGGAAAATCCCCCACCCCAAAAAAGTTGCAAAAAGATATTCTGCGGAAATGAATCGGCTGCATAGCTTGAGGGTGGGGCTGAATGGGGAGAGTTCTGGCCCTTCACCCTGCTCTCTCCAGTGTTTTCTGACCCCCTCTTTTTTTAAAAAAGAAAGAAGTGGGGGAAAGAATATCTTACAAAACCTCCCTAAGATGCAACAGGCTGGATGGAGAGGAGGCTGCCAAACTTGAAGTGCTGGATCACAGGGAACTTCTCCAGGCATTCGGCTTTGTACATGCGAACAAGGCCTTGGTTGACCTTCGCCCATGTAGGGACAGCGCTAATGTTCCACAGCTGGTTGGAGTGCTCAGCAAATGGGCCTGTCTTCATTTCTGTAACGAACAGGATGCACTCGAGAAACATGAATTCCTTGTGGTTTTCATTCACCACCTTCTCGTCCAGGAAATGTTGAGGCTCCAGGTTTGGGTGATCTATCAGTTGTGAGCTGCCCCATATGAAGGGCAGGAACTGGAAGTCATCCAAGCCCCAGACTCCTCGGCTGCCGGCCGGTTCCATTCTGTAGGTCTTCTGCAGCTTCCGCATGACTTCCAAATACCTGCTGAACACTTTGAAGACAATGGCGAGCTGGTCATCCACTCTGAGAACTCCAATTTTGCAAAGGCAGCAGAGGAAGGCGACAAACGCTGCTTCGTGACCTGTCCCATAGTCGATACGAGTAGGGTTGCCCACAGACTCCTTCAGGTACACCGCCACCTCAGAGACAGCTTCTGACAGCCCCCTCGGGACCACCGTGGCCACCAGGTTCTCAGCCCCCTGGTCCAGTTTGGTGTACCATGTCCGGAAGGCCTTGTTCCCAAAGCGGGATGGCTGCTCCACCGGTGGGGTTTCGTCAATCCACCTGTCAAGCGTGTCTAGGAGATCAACCAGCTTCTCAATGGGCTCAGAGACTTTGTAACTGCAGGTCAACTTCTTGCCCTTGACGCTTTCATTCAGCTTGAGAATGAAGCCCATGTAATCTGCATAAGCCTGTGAGCATTTCCACTTCGCCATGTCAGGAACCATGTTGATTTCCTTCTTGGGGATCATGAAACTTGGGCGGGGAGCAGGCCATGGTGCCTCCTTGGGGGAGTTTAGATACCACTTGCTTTCTGCCATCTTCTTTGAGCTGCCGTCGCTGTCTTTCACCTCCCACCGCCTTGTATCTTGTAGTTCTTAAAACAACTTTATGAAGGAGCAAACTTTATTAAGGACCTGTAGGTTAAACCAACAGTGAAGTCACCAGCATACTTCTCATATTTTAAGGAATTTCCCTCAAGAGAAAACAAGTAACTTTATTTTTAAAAAATATTTTTAAATAATTGATGCATGTAAGTTGTCTCAGATCAAGAGCCTACACCAAATGAAAGGCCACAATATGTTTTTGATTTTTTGGTCAAAGAGACCTCTAGGTTCCTTGTTTAAGTCCAGCTAAGTCAAGGAACTGAGCCCAAATTAGAATGTAAAATAAATGCAACTCCTCTGGCTTTATTAGTCCCTCATTAAATAAATTATTTGCCATACCCCTTATACTTCACAGAGTTACTGTAAGATGTGTCTATGACACAATCACCGTAAGACAGGGTGTGTGGAAGGCAATTAATTAATTAAGCCCCCTCCCACAACATTATTACTGTGAGTATCATTTCTTTCACATAATTCCTACTTTTGGTCCTCTTGACTGCATTCCTAATAATTTCACGTTCATTGTCACCATTTTTATCTCGTCGCTCATGACTACAGTGTTTGTTCTGCATTTCCTGGTCCATAAACTTCCAGTTAATAACAGCTATCCCCAAAAATGAAAGTACTGTCTTGCTTCCTCACCAGCAGCCAACAGAGCCATCTGACCAGAAGAAAAATTCTGCAGTACAGCTTCCTTGGAGTTTCCTTTATTAATAAGTAGTCTCATCCCAGGCTGTGTCTGCCCAGGAATGTAGCAAAAGCAAAACTTAATGCCTCATATTTGGGGTTTGCTAAAATACTAAAGCCAGATCAATACCAGCCAGCCCCACACACCAGTTTACATCTAGCGCAAAAATTGCAATGGTAAGGCGTACTGTCTCACTTCAGTCCTATCACCTACTGATTCAAAATAATATACCGTGAATATATTTTCAAGGTCCTAAAAGCTCAATTCAAAGCATAAATAGCAAATGTACCACCTATTAAATCAGATGAACAATCTGTTAATCAAACATGATTTGCTTATCTCATTTCCCACAGCTTTGTGTGTTTTTTAACTCCAGTGACATGAAAGGAAAAAATGGGTAATCTGCTTCCATCCCACTGCAAGTGTGGAAGACATCTTCCAGGGAGATGTTTTCCTTTTACAGTGGTACCTTGGTTCCCAAACTTAATCCATTCTGGAAGTCTGTTCCAAAACCAAAGTGTTCTAAAACCAAGACGTGCTTTCCCATAGAAAGTAATGCAAAATGGATTAATCAGTTCCATACTTTTAAAAACAACCCCTAAAACAGCAATTTAACGTGAATTTTACTATCTAACGAAACCACTGATCCATTAAATGAAAGCAATAATCAATGTACTGTACTATAAAATAAAAAAGACGGTAGTGTAGATGATAAAAATTAAAATTACTTTTTTCCCCTTACGTGCATTGATGATAGTCATTGTTTGGAAGGGGGGCTTTTATCCATTTCTGCAGTCACACAGTCAATCAATCAGTAGCTGAACTGGGTTCCACACAGTCACAAAAACAAGTCACAGAAATGAAGTCACAAGCCACAGTCACAATCAGTCCCATAAAAGTCACATTCCAAAAAAACGAAAAAGCCACACAAATAAAAATGCAATCTCTTTTTTTAGCAAAAACAAAAGCTCCAAATATCACATCTGTGTTGTGTGGGTGCTTGGGACTCAACAGCCGACAGACTCAACAGGAAGCCTCTGATTAGCAGCGGGGGACTCAATTTACAAACGGAACACACTCAACAGGAAGTGGAACATGTTCAGCTTCCAAAGCAAGGCTCACAAACCGGAACACCTACTTCCGGGTTTGCAGCGTTCTGTTTCCAAGTTGTTCATAAACTAAGCTGTTCTAAGACCAAAGTACCACAGTACAATCTCCCAATCATCTTAAGTGCCCTCCCTCTTTTATTTTTCCAGCTCTGCGAGCAGATCTGACTGTAACGCTGACAGTACAGCAGGAGCCTTGTTGACATTAGCAATCATGAGGGTTTTGCTTCCAGGTAGAACTATTACATGAAAAAAGGAATGCCCACCCTGCTTCCCGTAGCTTTAAAGGAGAGGGGTACATCACTTGTGCCAAATTTTGTATGATCTTAACAGGAGTGTCATTGGACTTGGAAGTCTTTGACAGCTTTCTTAACAGTTCCTGTTTTTGGATGGCGGGAAAAGCAGGTGTTGATTATGCCCAGGAAAAGGGAGGACAGCCATTTCGAGATAAATCCCTTCATGTCTCCCTCACTCACCTCCTCTTGAATCCCATACAAAAGCAGGTTGGTCCCCCACATTAAAATTTTCAATCTCCTCTGTCAGCGAACTGCCATCAGCTCAGAGGCGAGAGGTGGAAGGGCAGTTGTGTTATAGGGAACCTCCGAAAATCTTGCGAAGCAGTTCCTCCTCTGGCGAGGAGGAAAGCCCCACCTCCAGTGGAGAGGAGGTGGTGGGACCAGGGGGTGCTAGGGAGAGTCTCAACTGAGCAAACTGGAGAGGAGGGAAGTACCCCTTTGCCAGCGCCTGCTCTGCGCAGTAGGTTTCGGCGCAGGGAGGGGAGGAGAAGGTTGGGGGTCACGCGACTGTTATGCTGCGGGAGCTACAAGGACCAACCACTCCCAGATTCCGCTAGCAACTGAGCCAGACATGAACTTGCAACGCTCTTCACTGTAAATAGTTTGCACTAAGAATAAAGCCTGGAAAAGACACGTCGGAGTCTTGCCTGTTTGCTCTCGAGCAACCACATCAGCACCTGACATCCTCCTTCAGTGCTATTTTTCTAGAAGAAGAAGTGCTAGAAGTCACCATGAACGTCTCCCTTGTTTTCTTTTATAATGGCAATGGCGCCAACCTGAGAGGTGCCGGAACTGAGTTCCAGCAAGTTCTGGGTGAAAAAAATCCCTGCCCTCCTCCTGCTTTTCTAAAAGTTACCATTTCACTTTTTTTACTGAGTAATTCTGGGCTATGGTAAGTTCTAAAACCAAAGAGGCAGTTGCTCAAACACTATCATTATAAATCTCCAAATCACAAAGCTTACTTTCCAAAAACTCTGTCCAACTTTCCATTAGCTCCAGTTCAAATTATTTGAGCTGCAGAGCCTGTTCATTTGAAATGCTGAACCCTCTGTCTGGGTGCTTTTTGTCACTCTCTGTAGATCTAGCATCATTCTGAAGCATCCAAACAATTTTAGGACTGTCTGGTTGTTTCCTTTTCCTAACGGTTTAAAGTTTGTAATAAGAGCCATTTCCTGGATGTGTCATGATACCACCCCTCACCTTTCTCATCTGTAAAAAAGGGAATCGCATTCAAAGTTACTAAAAGCTGGCCATTTATGAATGAATGAATCTTTATTTACGTCAGCCATCGGCCACAGCAATAAAACAATACGATATACAAATAATAGAAATAAAAAGTCGATTATATAAAACACAGTTTAGGGTCCTGAATCAGCAGTCAAATAGTGGACCTTATTCTGATTGCTCCTGCTAAAAACCTTGCAACCGTTGCTGTCACCTGCTCATCTTGATCTGCCAAGAGAAAGGACACTGTGGCAGTGGCTGGGCGACCTGGAATGGACAATAAAAGAGGGGTGATAACCTCATTCCTCAAATCTTTATAAAGAGTGCAAGCCAGCAGGGCATGCGCCACCGATTTGGTACTGCCATCTCCACAGGGACAAGTGCTTTTTGTGTGGAATCTGTTGGAATCGTCCCTCAAGTACAGCCGTGGGCAATACATTCAATCTTGAGAGAGTAAAAGCACGTCTATATTTTAGAATTGCTAGGTGATGCAGAGAGGGTGCCAGAGAGTTGAAATGGGAAGATGGAAAATACCATGGGCAAAATTTCCTAATTGTGACCAAGTTGTTATGACGCTCGATATCATTTAGGCGCTGACAAATTAGACTATTTGCTGTACTAAAACCCAAAGTGAGTAGCTGTTGTGGTGATAAACCACAAGAGTGAAGTTTTTGATAGACAATTTTAGTCCAGGCGCTCTTGTGACAATCTTGCAGCACTAGGGATACTAGACCAGGGGGGTTTAAGTTTAGGCGAAGCCAATAGTTAAGTGTCCTGCAACTGGGGCCATCCATTTTGAGATGCGGTGCTCACCCCTCCGTTCCAATCAATTTCCATTTTCAATGCAAGTTTCCACTGGCAACATTTGCTGCACCCAGACTAAGCCAAACACATTTTTAAAAAACAACCAAGAACAGCCCTAATGTTGCGGTAAAGAAGCAGCTGATGTTATAAATACTTGGTGGGCCTGCCTCAAAATACAAACATTTCTGAAGAAAAATGCCTATGCAATTAAGCTAATGGCAAGTTACATCATCTCCTTTAACCCTCTAAGTATACTTTTAGGCTGTCAAGACAGTTTTGTAAGAAAGGGAACACTTAAAGGAATCGCTTAACTGCAGCAAAACAATGTAATCGCCACTAAATTGCATATTCCAACGACCGCTACTGCTAAAGGATGGTTATATAATCCCTGGTAAAATAACTGAAACAGGGTCAGCCCGAGACATTTTGCTGCCTGAGGTAAAAAAACCCCAAGATGGTGCCTTCGCTTCACCATTCCACGCATCAGCAACTGAGTTTTGCATCAACACTGAAGTTGGGATGGTATCGTCCACCACACCTGAGGGCAAAAGACCAAGTCACTGTATATTTAAAGAAGTTTCATACTACAACAGTCATGCCTTCCCCCAAGGAACCCTGGGAAGTGTAGTTGGAAAGGGTGCTGAGAGTTGTTAGGCGACTACTAATCCCCTCACGGAACTACACTTCCCAGAGTTCCCTGGGAAGAGGCACTGATTGTTAAACCACTCTGGGAATTGTAGAGGGGAATGAAAATGTCATCAGGTGAGACACTTCTTGTTGAACTCTGGCATCATCATCATCAATTTATTAACTGCCTTCTAAGCAACAGTCTCAGGGCGATGTATACTAAAGATAATTAAAAGCAGTTAAAAGCAGCAAATGCATTTAAAAGTAAACAAAAGAGAAAATAGAAACAAAGGTAAACAAAATAGAAAATAAAAATGAAACCACAGACAACTGAAGCAACACTCTGCATTAGCACTGGGCAGCTGAGAACTGCCATTTTAATTTCCCACTGCCATAGCATCTCTCGAGAGCGTTGTGAGTAATTTTGCTATAAACCATCTACTCCTAAGGCAATCCGTCTTCCATTGGTTGGTTAGGCAGCGTTCTTTAGAAAACGCTGGACCTCTGAGTCATTAAATGCCTAGAAAGACCGAACGGCTTTGAAAGCATCAATGCAAAATAAATATATTAAACGTCAGAGAGGAAGATTGAATGAACTCCGACATGGGTTTTTCAGAATGTAACTCCCGGTGTACTTGGACAGTGATCATATGCGTAGGATAATTCCAGTGAGATTTCTATGTCTGCTGGGCATGTTTTCCACCTTATTTGGCACTGACTTAGGCTCTTCCATATCATCCTATTATGGGGCATGAGGGAGTCAGGCGGCATGATTCACAAACACTTCCAAGATGACACAGTTTGGGCCTTAAGCCATCTATGGTTACGTCTGTGATTAAAATCCCAAGACTTTGGAAGTAAATCCATACCTAATGCAGGGCCTTCTCCCTTATGCACCTGCCTGGGGGTGTTCTTTTAATGGTGCCACACTTGTTAGAGACTCAATGTGCAGCAACATGAGAGACAGGCATTCCACAGGCATCCCAACTGTGGAACCCTCTCCCACCCTCCTCAGATATGGATGGAGCAACAGTTCTTTCTGAGTACCAGCTAAAGACCTACTTATTTGCCCAGGTTTTGGTTTGAATTTGTGTTATTGCATCTGATAGCTATTTAACAGTGCATATGCTCTCACCTGGTTTTACTGCTTTATTGGTTATTGATTGTTTGATTGTATTGTGTTTTCTCAATATTACACTCTGTAATATTAGGAAATTCCCACTCCAAAGAATTTTGTGCATGTGTTTGGGGTCACAAAGGTGGCCTCAAAGAATCTGGGTACTTGAGTGAAATTCACCGCCCAATACTGTCTGTGTGTTGTTGCAGAAGCTAGCTCTATGAGTGCTGCAAAGAGCCTTTTTCAAGAAAGATAGTTCTGGCCAACTGCATGCCTCACCTTTCTATTGCTATGCTTATAGTGAGGGAGCTCTCTGTGGAGCAGGGACAGCCTGTTCATTTTCTAATCTGCTTCTATAGCTCTCTAGACTTCTTCCAGAATGGAAGTATGCTGGGGACCAGAATGCAGAAATGCCCATTAAGGTTGTGCAACCTCAGTCTTTTTTTAATCATTGGTTTTCAATAGCTTCTCAGCTTTTTGACTAAGTATAAGTGTAAAATCACAAGTTTTCATTTGGTAGCAATTCTAAAGCAACAATATGTATATTGCTCTGTGAATTGCTATTTTAGGACTAATAATGTGCCTTATTAACACTATTAAGTAGAACACATATTAAGTGAATATGCGAAAGCAAGGCATCTTCCTATGTTTTAATTGATTCTTCAGGTAAACATCACAGCCCAAGTCCATAGCAATGACTTCTTTTTAAAGGTCTTGTCCACATAGCCTTTTCTCCTCTTCAATGGACACTCCAAGCAAACTTCAAAGTATTTTAAAGCTGAGCTTTGAGCTGTCATTGACTCTAATTAGACCTCTAATTAGACCCTAATCCATTTTTTCTACTGTAGTTGAGTGCAAACCAGCTTTGATCTCTGGCTTTTTGCTTATCTGTTTAAAGCACTTGTCTTTGTAGGTTCTCTGGAAATCCATAATCAGAATCTTTATCTCTAAAAAATAGTCCAGACAGTCGTCCATGCTTACAGTTTCACCCATGCTCACTGGGCAAAACTGATGGTCTGGAAAAATCAAGCCAAGATTAACAAACAAACCAGTGTCATGACCATAGGACTCCTCTACTTGGGGAAAAACCCAGAGGATCAACAAATCCACCCGAAAACAGAATTAATAACAGCAATAGCAAAATCGGTGCTGGTTTGAGATTACCATTTAGTTGGAAAAAGCAGAATAATTATACGATAATAATATCATACAATAAATAAACACGAGCCAGAAGACAAAATGCCTAAAAATACAAAACTCCCAGCATACATGTCGCATATTACTGAGTATATCAAGAACATCTGCATGGAGGCAACTTTGCTAAATGCTCTATCAATGCAGGCAATAATTAGTTTCTGTTTCCATAAATGTATACCCATCCTTTTTCCAAAAGGGAGGCCAGGGCAGACTGCAAATGTATAATAAAGTAACAACAACAACACACTTAAAATACCCATCAACTCATTTTGAAAACTCCCTAATAAAATAAAATAAAATAAAGCAGCAGTAAGTTCAGCAGAAGAATCATTGAACCCCACAACTCCTGGTGGTATAAAAAAAAGTTTTCATAGGTCACCTTAAAGTAGACAGAGCAGAGGACAACTAAACAGAAACATAGCTGTCAACTGTCCCTTGTTTGGCGGGAAACTCCCTTATCCCAGTGCCGTGTCCGCTGCTGTCCCTTACTGATGATGTCCCTTAAATTTCCTGGGTTTCATGCTCGCCCGAGAGCCAGTGTGGTGTAGTGGTTAAGAGCGGTAGTCTCGTAATCTGGGGAACTGGGTTCGCTTCCCCGCTCCTCCACATGCAGCTGCTGGGTGACCTTGGGCCAGTCACACTTCTCTGAAGTCTCTCAGCCTCACTCACCTCACAGAGTGTTTGTTGTGGGGGGGAAGGGAAAGGAGAATGTTAGACGCTTTGAGACTCCTTAAAGGGAGTGAAAGGCAGGATATCAAATCCAAACTCTTCTTCTTCTTCTTCTCGCCCGGCTCGGGAGGGAAGCAGTGGCTCAGGGTCTTCCGCCGCGAGAGAGCGCGCACGCTGGCACCGTCGTCCTGGCGTGAGGAGTTCCAGTGACCCTTCCCCGCCCAAGAGAGAGGGGGGAGGGAGAGAGACTCTCACCCACGCCGCCCACGAGCCCGGAGTGGTGGTGGCAGCTGAGGAGGCAGCCTGAGGGAGGAGGAAGAGGAGGGGATGGGGAGGCATGCAGAAGGGCGGCACTTCAGCGGTCACTGCGGCGCCACAACCACCTCATGCCAGATGGACAGCATCTGTTAATCCTATCAATGTATGTAACTCTTTACAATAGCAAAATCCCTTATTTTGGCTGCTGATCCCTTATTTTCAAGGCTGCTGGTCCCTTATTTTCAAATCTGCAAGTTGATAGCTATGAACAGAAATCAGTAGGGAGTCACATAATCTAGGGTTCACTATGGAAAATCCCTTGTCAGGTGTCACTGCCTGGCTGATCTTAATGACTGGCTGCTGCAATACTGGAGATGGTGCTCCTTTGGGTCCTTGTGTCCCAGGTTGTTCAGGGCTTTGTGTACTAATATTAATACTTTGAACCACACCTGGAGGTTCTCAGGCAGCTAGTGCAGAGATTGGAGGATCAGTGTCATATGACCCCCGCCATCCTAGATAGCAGACTACGAAGTGGCATTCTGCACTAGCTGCAGCATCTAGACAGCCTTCAAGGGAAGCCCCACATGGAACACACTGCAGTTATCTATATGGGAGGTTAGCAGTGCAAAAGTAACTGCAGTCAAGTTGTCTTAGTCCATCCAATAAGAGCCGTAGCTTGCCAACCAGCTGGAGCTATGCTTTGAAATAAGAGGTTATTTCTTAATGCTCTGAATACATTTTTTTCTGAATGAACACTGAGAGAAGGAATTGTTCCAGCAAAATATTTTGTTTAGTCGTTTAGTCGTGTCCGACTCTTCGTGACCCCATGGACCAGAGCACGCCAGGCACTTCTGTCCTCCACTGCCTCCCTCAGTTTGGCCAAACTCATGCTGGTAGCTTCAAGAACACCATCCAACCATCTCATTCTCTGTCGTCCCCTTCTCCTTGTGCCCTCCATCTTTCCCAACATCAGGGTCTTTTCCAGGGAGTCTTCTCTTCTCATGAGGTGGCCAAAGTATTGGAGCCTCAGCTTCACGACCAATATACCTGTACCTATTATCTCCTCTTTTATGGGACATGCAAAATGAATCTGTAAAAGGTTTTAATGCACAGCTGTTCCTTCATAAACTCAGCACCTTCCAGATGTTGTTGTTGGGACTCCAGCTCCCATCAGCCCCAGGAAGCATGGCCAATGGTCAAGGATGATGGGAGTTGTAGTCTAAAACATCGGGAAGGCACCAGAATGGGGAAACCGCTGCCTTATAAGACGACCAATTCCATAGCACTCATGCAATGGTTTTGACACTATGTATTCTGACAGTGTATTTTCCAACTTGTCAGCTCTCATCTGAAGAAGCATTCAGCCGCTGTTTCCTTCTGCATCTTTTGATTTATTTATTTGTTTAAGAGGTGTGTTCACTGACCTAAGAATGGAGGCTAAATGTGGGATTGGTAAGATTAGCAAAAAGGGGAGATTGCAGGTTTCATAAGACTGCCACGAGAGGTTGTGAATATATGGAGCTACTTTATATTGAATGAAGCCATTGGTTCATCTGTGCTTATAAACATTATATACTCTAATTTGAAACTTGTATTCTTATGAACAGGATGCAAGGGCATATGGTGTTCCTTAGTTGTTCGTTCCCAACACCTGATTTCCAGGTTTATTCTGCCTTTAAGCTATTGCGGCTTATAGATCACTGAGATGAAGCGGGCAGGAGAAGCTTTGAGTAGGAGCCCAGGAAAGGTGTGGTGGGAGAGGTTTGTCAGGAAGGGTGGGGTCCTTCCTCCTGTCACCTGTCTCTAACCTCCATATTTCCTCCCCTTTCTCCCGAAAAAGCCCAAGTTTGTCTGTCCTCAGCCTTTTCCTCACAGCTCTACAGCCTGGATGAAGGCTTTTCCACACAAGCACAAAGTGACCTTTCACTTTAACTTGCATAGTTGGAATGCCACCAACATTCTTAGGCCAACAGCTTCCCTCTGCAGGCAGAATTTTCATGAAAATTCTAGATCTAGAAAATTCTAGATTGGCCAATCCATGGCAGATGCTTCAGCACCATTTCCACAGAAACACTTAGCATATTTAAGTATAGAAAGAAGAGTGTTCTCAAAAAGTTTGAAAACTTGAGCTTTCAGTAAAGATCAGGGCTTTTTTTCAGCTAGAACTCGCCATTGCCATTATAAGAGAACAAGGGAGGCGTTCAAGGGGAGTTCCTGCACCTCTTTTTCTTGAAAAATAACACTGGCAAATGTTATTTTGTAATGTTATGAATCTGGTGGCCTGATTACTGTCAATGGACACCACTATGATTTTTGCCTAAATCATTACTTGATTGGAGTCAGGGATTTGACAAAACAATGTTAACAATGTGACTTCAACAGATGTGGGTGTTTCCTGAATGGGTAATTCACCTGCCAGAATGAGATATCCAAAAGCTCTGCATGGCGTGAGTCAACATATGTGTAGCAGCAGAAATAGCAGATTGAACAGAGAATCTTGGGGTAGGGGAGTGGGAACTCTAGCTTTTACGTGGGAAAGCCGAGATTAGATCATTAGCCACGATTTCTTTTGCTAAAGGTAGTGCCACAGGATGCAAATCTCCCACCCACTTACGGCTACCTATTCACCATGAAGGGAAAAACATGCAGGAGCTCCTATTGCACACATGTGTTTCCCCCCATCCTGCTTAAAAGCAGCCCTAAGGGATGTGTGATTTTAATCAGGGTGAGAAGTGTGTGGTTAGATGGACACCCCTCCACAAACACACCCCTCTCCAACTACCAGGCATAACTGTCAACTTACAGATTTTAAAATAAGGGACCAGCAGCCTCAAAAATAAGGGATCAGCAGCAAAAATAAGGGATTTTCCAAGCACAGGTATGTTCAACTTCTGAGCCCCTCCGAGCCAAAGGCAGAAAGCCCAGCCAGCAGCCAAACGAAGCCTCAAGGAAAACCACCGTCACCTCTCCGCTGGGAAGCGCTGAGCAAAGGCGAGTCCCCAGGCAACGCAGCCGATTTCATCAGCACAAGGCATGCAAGCTCCACCCCCCAGTCGTTCTTAGACTTATTGGGTGAGCAACGGAGCCAAGCAACACAGTTGGAGCCTCCCTCCTCCCTGGCCGGCAAGGAGGGAGGGAGAGGAGCTGCTTCCTTTGAAACCCGGGAAATATAAGGGACAGCAGCGGGACATGGCGCTGGGATAAGGGACTGTCCCACCAAATAAGGGACGCTTGACAGCTATGCTACCAGGTCTAAAACAGGGGTCTGTGGCACTACTTTTAGGAAGAGAAGACAACAATGGGAGACCTAACTGCAGAATTCTTACATGTCCACACCATTTATTTAAAGCACTATGATATCACTTACCCCCAATTAATTCTCAGAACTGTACTTTGCTAAGGGTGCTGAGAGCAAGTGGGAGGACTCTATCCCCTCTCATGGAGCTACCGTTCTCAGAATAGTTTAACAATCCCTCCGTCTTTGCAGAGAACACGGGGAATTGTTGGAAGGTGAATGGGGTCTCCACTGCCATTGGGAACAGACTCTTCAGGGAAGCCCACAACTCCAAGCGAACCAATCTTGTAGAGAGAGTCTTGTGAGCAAGCCGTGTCTCATCTTTAAAAGCTGAAATATACTCGAGAGTGGATTTCATGCTCTTTATTCAGCTCATAGTGATGAGGAAGAATGGAAGTTCCCCCAGAATGTCTGCTTTATATACATTATTTACACAATGGGCCCCACGTGACTGGCTAATTCCGGGATTCTCCTGTAGGCCAATCAGGTTGCGGATTCACTTCCACCTGGAGCTGGATTGGGTGGCTCCTGTGGACCAATCAGACTGCTCTATTCTGGGTCCCATTGTTCTAGGACCAATCAGATTGCTGCATTCTGAATCCTATTGTTCTAGGACCAATCAGACTGCTGCATTTTGGATCCTATTCAACTCAGTACCTAACAAAAGCTGGGGGGAGAGGTGGGTTTGTTGAGGACTCTTTCTTGAACTCTTTAAGTGGCACCTTTGGGTATTTGCACCTATATAATTGGAAGCCTTGAAAAAAAGCTTTCTTTCTTACATGCACACCAGAGCCTCTGGCATCGTGCTTCGGACAACAGCCAGGACCAAAGTGGCATCTTTTGCTCCTCCTGGCCACCACCATTGTCTGGGGCAGAGAGAAAGGAGGGCAAGTGATGGGAGAAAAGAGAGGCAAGTCAGGGGGGCTGCTCTTGTCACCTGCCCCTTGCCTCCGCCCAGCTACATCAGCCCTTGAATGCAACCCTTGTTCACAGCAAACCTCCCCTTTCCTTGCACCACAGCCTTGGTCCAAATCCCACCTCCGTAGCTGCTTTAGCAAGAGGGAAGAAGAAACGGAGAGTTTGACTCATTCAACTCCCACATAACATCTAGTTCGGTCCAGAGAAAGGGAGTTGCACTTTCCTAGCTGGAATTGGAGTGCATCTTTGAGGGAGGGGTGGACAAGTAACTCCCTGGGGTCTTGCAGAAGTGCAAGCTGTTTTGTCTCCGCTTACGTACTGAGACTCCAAAAGCAAATAGAATAGGAGCCAGAAGTCTCCACTCCCCTCTCATGCAAAGGAAACAAAGAGTGTTGTCCTATACACCAGCAGAAGGGAACCTTTTCAATTCCAAGAGTTGCATTAGTTTATGGGATATTTTCTGGGGGCCAAATTGGCTGGGGCCAGGGGTAAAAGCAGGCAGAGCAATAAATATACTCTAGTTCCTACACACTTGCCACTCTTATTTCTACCCTCCATCCCAGCCAAGCAATGGGCACCATCAAAGGCACATTTCTGCCAGGTAAAAAGAGAACACAGCTACAACTCCCAGAGCGGTTTACCAATCAATCCTTCACCCCAGGGAACTCTAGGAATTGTAGTTTGGTGAAGGGGAACAGAGGTCTGCCTCCTAATGACTCTCAGCACCCTTAACAAACTACACTTCCCAGGATTCTTTGGGGGGATCCAGAGTGGCATGCTACTGCTTTAAATGTATAGTTTGGACAGGGAGTCTTGTTTCCTCAAACTATGTTTGCAGCCTTCCATTGTAAATTGGCATGAGCCAACACGCTTACAACAAAGTTTAGTCGAATAGACACAAGGTTGTTGTTGTTTTTCCAATGCCCCACAGCAAAGGGCAATTTATACAGAACTTTTGTCAAGTGCAGAATGCTGTCTGTAAGCAAAATGCCTTCACCCACTCCTAGGAATTGGAAAAAAACCCTGCTTGTTTTTAAGGAAAAGTGCTTGCCAGATTTAATCTCCTTAACCCTTGTTTACCCGGGCATTTAAAAGACACTGTGCCTGGCACCTTTAAATTATTGGCCGTGAGGGTAATAACTGTTTTTAGATGTTTAAAGCATGCTTCTGTTTTCTTCTTTAAACTTTTTGTGTGTGAGGTTGCCCTTAAGGGCTCCTCTGAGTGGAAGGGTGAGATATCAATTAAATAACGTAATTAATAAACAATACAAAACAATTAACGTGGCCATCGCTATTGTGAGATATAAAGCTCTTTAAAGAGACATTTCTCCTCCACCCCTGCATTTCTGCAATTTAATCTTGGATTTATTCAAGAGCAGATCTTTAAACCTTGCCAAGTGCCATTTCAGTCCTTACCGAAGTCTGAAATGGTGCCTCTGGGCTATACAATAATACTGGAAGGGCTCATGGTCCTTCAAGAATGTACAGATGTTCCTTTATTCTGAAGACATGATGTCAGCAGACCACTTAGGGCTCTGTAGAATTACTACTGTGGTTTCTCTTGCTGCTGCTGCTGAGCAGGCATTATGCTCAATAAATTCAGGGTCCTGTGGAACATCAGTGAGGTCAAGCTGGTATCGCCGGGTGGCTGTGTCAATAACAGCCATTGTATATCTTTGCCAAGTCCTAACCACTTCCTCCAAGATGCATCTCCAAGATCCTCCCATAGCTTTCTTGGCCAGCTGCTAAAACCCTCACACATTACAATCTGGTTCTTCCTCTTAAAAACGTAAGAACAGCCCCGCTGCATCAGCCCAGTAGCCCATCTTATTTCAGCCCCTTGTTCTCACAGTGACCAACCAGATTCCTACTGGAAGCTCCAAAGCAGTGCAACAGCATTTTCTGCACTTGTGATTCTAAGCAACAGGCTGGTTTGGGGGTTGCTCCTGGTTCTGGTGCAGGTCAAATAAATGCACCCCTGTCTCCCTCATTCTGTTAGATTCAGACAGAGGCAAGGGCAACTCGGAAGGGCCTTTGTACAAACGTGTGTGCACGCAACAGTAGAGGCTTGGCTGCAAAGCTTACAGCTCGCCATTGCTACGAGGGGGATAGATTGAAGAAAAGGAAATATGAATGGGCCCTGCCCCATAGCTTGACCAATCATGGCTAGCTAGGAGCTAGGTGCAGTCATAGATCTTAAAAAAAGTGTAGACTCGCACATGCTGGCCAGCTTCCATTTTGACTTGAAATGTTCGCTGTGGGCTTCTTGGGAGTACACAAAGGCACAAAGTGGGAAGGGGGAGTGCCGGCTCGCAATGGTGTCCACTTGAGAGGTGCCAGAACTGAAATACAGCATGCTCCAGCTGAAAAAAAGCACTGGGTGTGATGGCTTTAGTGCAGAACTCAAAGATCCACAAGCTCATTCACCAGCTGGCCACTCTCAAGTGCTCATTTTGCTCTTGTGGGAGTGCAAAATAGAGCTGAGCCCCTGTCTTTCCTCTGTGCCTGGAGAAACGTGTGCATGCTCTGAGGTGCCAGACTGATTCCAGAAGCACAGAAGGGCTCTCCTTGGTAATGCACTGAATAATTGAAGCAATGTGAGAGTGGCCAAGCGCAGAGCTTTCCAAACTTTTCACGTTGGTAGCATGCTTTTTAGACATGCATCATTTCACAACACAGTAATTCAGTTTTACTAGCAAACCAGAGGTTAAACTAACCCCATTCCAGTCTCAGCCCCCTCCTGTTGCAGGGGTCCTTGAGGGAGCAAACTTTGTCAGGACACCAAAGGTGATCCAATATTTGTTGATTCCTGCCTAGAATTTGAGACCAGACAGACATGGATTCAGATCTCTGTTCAGCTGTGAGGCTCTCATCATGTGACCTTGGGTTAGTCATGGATATGGAATTCATGATTGCACTTCAACTCCAAACAAGGTTGACTGGATTTCTAACAACCATCAACCTTGACCATTGGCCATGGTGGCTCATGCTGATGGAAGTTGGAGTCCAACGACCTCCGGAGGGCCACAGGTTTCTCCTCCCTGCTCTAAGTCTTACCTACCTCACAGGGTTACCCAGAAACTACAACTAATTCAGAATGCGGCGGCCAGACTGGTGACTGGGAGTGGCAGCCGAGACCATATAACACCGGTCTTGAAAGACCTACACTGGCTCCCAGTGCATCTCCGAAGACAATTCAAAGTGTTGGTGCTGACCTTTAAAGCCCTAATTGGCCTTGGTCCAGTATACCTGAAGGAGCGTCTCCACCCCCATCATTCTGCCCAGTTCCCTCACTGAGAGAAGCCATGTTACAGGGAACCAGGCAGAGGGCCTTCTCGGTAGCGGCACCCGCCCTGTGGAACGCCCTCCCACCAGATGTCAAAGAGAAAAACAACTATCAGACTTTTTGAAGACATCTGAAGGCAGCCCTGTTTAGGGAAGCTTTTAATGTTTGACGGTCTATTGTATTTTAATGTTTTGTTGGAAGCCGCCCAGAGTGGCTGGGGAAACCCAGCCAGATGGGTGGGGTATAAATAAATTATTATTATTAGGGTTGTTGTAAAGATAAAAAAAAGGGCAAGGAAGACTACATGTCTGTGTTTTCCTGTGGGTTTCAGTTTTTATGTTAATTTGACACTGTGGTTTTAAGATGGATTTATCTGGCTCTCGTATACAGTGCTTTCAGAGCAGCAGCAAGGACAGAATTGAGGGAGGGGAATTGTATCTATTTATAAAAGTGCTTCTATCACACCTTTCTGCTGAATAGCACCCAAGGTGCAAAAAAAATTACATAAACAAGTCAAATGCCTGGAAGAAGGGCCATAGGTCAGTGGAAGAGCATCTTCTTTGCATGCAGAAGGCCTCAGGTTCAACCCCCAGCCTCTCTAGGCAAGGCTGGAAATGCCCCCCCTCTGAAACCCTGGAGGACCCCTGCCAGCCATACTGTGGCTCCAATCGCACCAGAAATTTAAAGCACCATCGTATCACTTGGTGATAACAGTCATGGCTTCCCCCAAAGAATTCTGGGAGCAGGGCCGTCTTTAGCAGATGCGGTGCCGGGGTGCAAATATCCGCTCAGCGCCCCCAAATTACCATGGATAGTGTGAGCGGCGGCGAAGCTGCGCACTGCCAGCCATGGGGGGGGGGGTGCGCGCGCAACTCTTCCCCATGCCGCTGCGGGAGAGCAATCCCCGCGGAGGCTTGGGAGGCAAACTGCACACCCGCCAGCCATATAATTCCAACAAAATATTCCAACAAAATATTAATATTCCTAATATTAATATTCCAACAAAATACAGTGGTGCCCCGCAAGACGAATGCCTCGCAAGACGGAAAACTCGCTAGACGAAAGAGTTTTCCGTTTTGGAGGTGCTTCGCAAAACGAATCTGCTATGGGCTTGCTTCGCAAGACGAAAATGTCTTGCGAGTTCCTGCGTTCTTTTTCCCCCTTTCCCCCCCTCTTTTCTAAGTCGCTAAGCCGCTTATCTGCTTATCCGATAAGCTGATAAGCTGCTAAAGGCCGCTAAAGCCGCTAATAGCGCTAATAGCGCTAATCCGCTAATCCGTCAATGGGCTTGCTTCGCAAGACGAAAAAACCGCTAGACGAAGAGACTCCCAGAACGGATTCTTTTCGTCTTGCGAGGCACCACTGTATTAATATTCCAACAAAATATTAATATTCCAAATATTAATATTCCAACAAAATATTAATATTCCAAATATAAATATTCCAACAAAATATTAATATTCCAAATATAAATATTCCAACAAAATATTAATATTCCAAATATAAATATTCCAACAAAATATTAAAATACAATAGACTGTCAAACATCAAAAGCTTCCCTAAACAGGGCTGCCTTCGGATGTCTTCTAAAAGTCAGATAGTTGTTTATTTCCTTGACATCTGGTGGGAGGACGTTCCACAAGCTGGGTGCCACTACCGAGAAGACCCTCTGCCTGGTTCCCTGTAACATGGCTTCTTACAGCGAGGGAACCGCCAGCAGGCCCTCGGCGCTGGACCTCAGTGTCTGGGCAGAACGATGGGGGTGGAGACGCTCCTTCAGGTATACTGGTCAAGGCCGTTTAGGGCTTTATAGGTCAGCACCTACACTTTGAGGCTTGGGAGGCAAGCTGCACGCCCGCCAGCCATATGTTTGACGGGGCGCAGCTGCCGGGCATGCAGGGAAAGGGGAGGCAGCCGGCAAAGCTGCGCAGCTCTCCCACTCGCTGGGGCGCCCCTGATAGGCCGACGCCCTGGCGCAACGCACCACTAAGCTGTATGGGAAAATATAAGCTATGTCTGGGAGTATAGCTTATGAAGGCTGTTGAGAGTTGTTATAATACTACTAATAATAATACTACTACTAATAAATTTTATTTATACCCCGCCCTCCCCAGCCAAGACCAGGCTCAGAGTGGCTAACACCAGATATAAAACAATTGATTGAAATACAACTTTAAAAACAAGATTAAAATACAACATTAAAATGCAGCCTCATTTCAGCAGAAACTCAAAAAAAATTTGGGGGATAGTTAGCCTTCACCAAGGCTAACTATCCAGACTGGTCCTACATGGGCGAGAAAAAAGCCAGGGAAGTCCCCAAGTAGGAGTTCCATCACAGAAGGAAAAAGGAAAAAAGAAAGAGGAGGAGGGGATCAAGTTAATTCCAAGCCAAAGGCCAGGTGGAACAACTCTATCTTACAGGCCCTGCGGAAAGAAATCAGATCCCGCAGGGCCCTGGTCTCATGAGGCAGAGAGTTCCACCAGGCCAGAGCCAGTGCTGAAAAGGCCCTGGCTCTGGTTGAGGCTAATCTAACTTCCTTAGGGCCCGGGACCACTAGGGTGTTGCTATTTATGGACCTTGAGGTCCTCCGTGGGGTTGTTAGGAGGCAAGCACACCCCTATTCCCCTCGTAGAGCTGATACGTACTCCCCTCACAAGAACTGATATTCCCAAAGATATTCCCCACGAAGAGGGAAATGTTGCATTTCCTTTTTCCTAATAAAAGTGCTGCTTGTGAAGGGACAGGATACCCAAATCCTGTCTGTGAAATCACCCCAGGCCTCCAAACTATCCAAAATTCCCTTTTGACTTCTAAAAATCCAAAACAGCTTTTCTCTGCTCTTCTCTGCTTTTCTCACAAGATGCTGTGCATAGGCAAAATGTTACTTTTAAAGGCTAATGAATAGGCTCTGTTCAAAGCAGGCCTGAGAAACGAATCTTATCTCATTCGGTTGCAACATCTTTGGACATGCTGAAACGCTTTCATTCGCCTTTTCCTGGGAAGGGTGCCAAGAGTCCCATAGTCCCAAGACAGCTTTCTGTTCATGCTCAGAGGAACTCATGGGGCAGGACTCTGGAAGCAGGAGGAGAAAGGGGGAGGAAACTGGAAGGGGTATATATGTTCTGTGCACATGACTGTGAACTGGTGCATGCTTTTTGTGAGTTACCACACTTGCTCCTTCTACCAGTTCATAGATGGTAGAAATAAAAGCTTTTTCTCCGAAACTATTCCTTGAGTGTCTGTTGACTCCCACTTCCCTTTCCCAGGCGCAATATTTTTCCCACCCGAGGGCAAAGCCTCATAAGGCTACACTTGAAATCCTGGCCGGCCATGCCCTCATCGAAGCCACTCCATTCCTTCCTCCCCTGCCCTTAGGTTGAAGAAAATAAAGGTGTTTTTTTTAAAAAAAAAAAAAGCAATGCATGACTCACTAGCAGAGCACATGCTTTTCATGCAGGTTCAATCTTTGGTATCTCCTGTTGAAAGGATCAGAAAGATCATCTTCCTGAAGCCATGGAGCTACTGCCTGTCAAGAGTAGAGAATACAGTGGTACCTCTAGTTACGAACTTAATTCGTTCCAGAAGTCTGTTCTGAACCTGAAACTGTTCTTAACTAGAGGCGTACTTTAGCTAATGGGACCTCCTGCTGCCGCACACTATTTCCGTTCTCATCCTGGGGCAAAGTTCTCAACTCGAGGTAACTCTTCCAGGTTAGCGGAGTTTGTAACCTGAAGCCTTTGTGACCTGAGGCGTTTGTAACTCGAGGTACCACTGCGCTGACAAGAGCGGCTGGGGCAACCCAGCGAGATGGGCAGGGTATAAATAAAATAATAATAATAATAATAATAATAATAATAATAATAATATGGGTGGGTCTAGATGTTCCTGTGCACAGCTCTAAACCAAATATATTAATACCTGCCTGCAAGCTTAATTCCAGACTTTTAATTGGGGGGTGTTGTTGTTATGTAATGTTGGCTGTGACTCACTGGAGCTTGGAGAAATGTAAAAATAGATGAAACGTTGAGAGATATAAGTTTATAAGTTATCGAGAGCTCGCCTGGCTGTGAAAGTGATATGCACAATAACGGCTAATTTTAAGATGAATGTAGCCTGCTTTATTAATAGCAAAATTCCAAGATGATTTCAGAACTTAGGCTTTTGATGAATGGAAGAACAAGGGAGGAGAGGGGAGGGGGCTATTTTAAGACTTGGTTTTCCAAACTGGGACATTGGTACATTATTTATTTATTTATTTCCCTGTTTACAGCTGGAATATATACTTCTGTATCCCAGGTAAAAGAACAAAACTCTGCTGCTACCACAACATGAAATCCCGGAGCTCCTGGGCTTCAAAGCCTCTCCTTTTTGTAAAAAAAGCACCACATTGCTAAAGCTAATCAGGTCTGGATCTGGGCAGTGTCTACAACTCCCATTATCCCACTGGCCATGCTGGCTGAGGCTGATGGGAGTTGTAGTCCAACAATGTCTGAAGGGCACCCGGGTGGCTACCTCTGCCTTATGCACCCAGGCTAGAGTTTCATTCAGGGAACAGCAATTGGGAGTTCCCTGAAATATTTAATAAAAAATAATGTTCTATAAAGAAGACAAGGGACCTGTCTCTCAAGGTGGTGATGGACTAGCACAGAAGCTCACAGGATGTCCACAGCTCCCTCAAATATTTTACTGGGGGGGGGGGCAGCAAAGGGACCTCGGCCCCCACGGCTCTGGCTCATACACAATTCCAACAACGCCCCAATGAAATGGATAAATGAATGCTCTAATTTGATACCAACAGATATCAATATACAGTTGTACCTTGGAAGCTGAAAAGCTTAGTTCCCGAACGTTTTGGCTCCCGAATGTCGCAATCCAGGAAATAACTGTTTCGGTTTGCAAATGTCTGATGGGGCTTCTGATTGGCTACAGGAGCTTCCTGCAGCCAATCAGAAGAAGCGCTTCGGTTTTCGAACGTTTTGCAAGTCAAACGGACTTCCGGAACGAATTCCGTTCGAATTCCAAGGTACAACTGTACAGATATAGACACACATACACGTATACACATTTATAGAATTAGGTTCTTAATTTACCATCTGCTTCCTAATTTGTATTGGAAGATAGAAAGAATTCAGCAACCTTATCTGGGACATAAATAGTCGTCAGTTAAATAGAAAGATATCAGTTTCAGTGGTTTTTCTAGGTTCTTATTAAAGGAAGAATCAGCCTCTGTTGTCTGTAACTGTAGTGTTAACGGACATAGCCAATAGATTCTATATCTCCATTTCCACAAGGACACAGAGCCTTCTTTGTTAATTACTGTACTTGCATGTGAAAAAATAAGTGTGGAGTTTGGGGGCTGCACCTTTACCACTGTCCCCCCAAAGCCACACTCCTCCTCCTCCTCCTTTTCCTGCTATCATGTGAAAGAGAGCACCTGCAATGGGCAGCTTTCTCTATGCTCCCCTGTGATTTAGAGCCCTTGCCAATTGCATCCACGCATAGAGAAGACTCCCTGTTGCAGAGCCTACCCTGAACATGGCCAGCAAAGGTGTAGACCCAGCCGGCCCTACTGTTTACCGTCAACATGGTCAAGATAATCTCTGCAGCCAGGAGATGCATGGAGACAATTTTATGCATGGAGTGTGACTTTTGGAATGGGGCTAAAATGCACAGCTGCGATCTCCATTCAGCATGCTTAGCATCTACTCGGGAGTAATGTGCAACGATTGTTGTAGTCATGGCCATGAGGCAGACTGAGGCAGCTGCCACAAGTGGTAGAATCCAAAGGGCACCTCCATGGCCACCAGCAGAAGCAGAGAGAAGTAGATGCAGCCGCAATGGGCTTCATTTACCAGGTCTTGAAAAGGTCACATGAGATCTCTGGAGGCCTCCATGCAATCTTGCTGGAACCCGGAAGCTGCATCTATGTGACCCTGGATAAGTGAGGCTCTGGCGGCTGCAAGGGTAGTGGGCGGTAGCTTCCCGTTTCACCTCAGGCGGCAAAACGGGATGGGCGGCCCCTGGCTGTAGTCATTCACTAAGCAGAAACTTATTCAACCAGCTAGTTAGGAGAGCAGAGGTCAGTACAGTCATACCTCGGGTTACAGACGCTTCAGGTTTCATTTTTTTGGGTTGCGGATACACCGAAACTGGTTACTTCCGGGTTTCGGCAGTCGCACATGTGCAGAAGTGCTAAATCGTGCTTTCCGCATGTGCAGACGCGGCGCTGCAGGTTGTGAAAGCTGCTGGTTGCGAACGTGCCTCCTGCACGGATCATATTCGCGACCAGAGCGTCCACTGTACTTAAACATCTGAGGGAAGCAGGGTGGCTCAGGGGGCGCAGAGTAAGCCACACAGTTCTACCATCCATCATCTTGCCCCCACGACATCTGCAACCTGAAGCCATTGCTTTGAACTACCTAACGGCAGGGCTGGCCCTGCATTTAAATACATATTGTCAGGGGTTCAGGAGCAGAGGCACAGGAAAGGGAGGAAATAGAGAGCGAGGGGGAGGAGTCCGAAGGAAATGTTAGCGATGACAGCGGTCCGAGGTCTCTGAGTCTTTCCAGCGAATCGGAAGATTCACAGAAAGGGGCTCCCTTGGTCAGAGCAAGGGGGTGCCGAGGGGACACCCCAGGAAGAAGGGGCCAGAGGGGACTCAGAGAGCAGCAGTTGGAAATCAGGACCAGCGTCCACACCAGAGTGCAGTAGGGGGGGAGGAGTCCCAGGCATCGGGATCAGGCGGCGCACTGCCAGTGGGAGGACATGAGTCAGGATTGGCCACGCCTCCATCGGGGAGCGAGGAAACGGTCGAGAGGAAGGTTGAAGGCTGGGCGCGCGCGCCCAGTTCAAATGTACAGGAGGGCGGCGCAGTTGGCAGCCCGGATAGGGAGCCAGGTCCCAAAGCCCGCCGAAAAGAGGGGGAGGAGTCAGGAGGGTCAGCGTCAGAAGAATCCAGGAAGGAAGGGACCCCGGGGGGTAGCAGGACCCAGAGGAGAAAGGAGAGACGTAAGAGGTGGAGTAAGGCTAGAATCTTAAACTGGTGTACAGGGGCGGAGACTCAGATGGAGCTTCGCCGATCTAACCCCTAGACGTAGAGCTGGGGCGCTCCGGCTTGAAAATGGAAACTGTACTTCAATAAAGACTTTTGCACATTACTGCCGGCTAGCGTTGGTCCTCTGTGAGCTGGGACCTGGAGCCAGCTCTGACAGTAAGCTCCATCTCATAAAGTTTTGCACCAAAAACCTCGTAACGTGAGTGGACGCAGCGAGGGAAGAAGATTGGTGCTTTGCGAGCTCACAAAAGTCAGGCAAGATGACTACAGAACAGCAACTAGCAGCCCTGCAAAATGCAGTGACACAACTCAACGCGGAGGTACTCGCATCCAGGAAAAGGGAAGAGGAAGCGGCTGCCGCCTGCAGGGATCTCCAAGCCAGGTTGGAAGTGCTTGCTAAGCAGGGGCAACCGGGACCCAAATCAGAGGGGATTGGGCTGGGGAAAAGAGGAGGCAGCCTGGTATCTCATTTCGATGGGAATTTGCAGCAGTACCCTAACTTCCGAGCAGACGTGCTGTTTGCGCTGGAACTGCTGGATAAAGACTTTAGAGATGAGCAAGAGAAGGTGGGGTTTATCTTGTCCCATTTGCATGGGGAAGCTAAAGCGTGGCTGCGCAATCTGTGGAGAGATAAGGATCCGGCGCTCCAAAATGCGGATGCATTCATTAAAGCGATGGATTCGTGTTTTTTATCAAATATAGACATTGATATCGCCAGAAAAGACATACATGGGCTCAAACAAGGCAGAGCCAGTGTAAGGCAGTACCATTCCCGCTTTTTGCATTAGTCCATGCGCTGGGATGGGAGAAGGATTCTGCCCCAGTCAGAGACCTTTTTTTGGGAAGGCTTGAATGCAAATGTGAAAGATGAGATTGCAAGGGGGGAGAGACCAAAGAGCACTCAGGAGGTTGTCCGGCGGGCGCTGCAAATTGGGGTGCGTCTGGAAGAACGTCCATGGAACAGAGAAGAAGGACGTTGGGGACGTACGCCAGTGAGAGCACCTCCCCTCTTTCCCAAGGATACAGCGCGTGTGCAATCCCCACCTCCGCAAGGAGGGGGAGAGCAACCGATGGAGATTGGAGGCGCCAGGGCTCAGTCAACAACCAGAGCCTTAACACCGGGAGCAGTCAAAGCGAAGCCTCCTAGAGGGAACAGGAAGTGCTACATCTGCGACAGTGCTCAGCACATGGCGAAAGAGTGTCCCCAGAGGCTCCACAAGCACACTGCAGCCTCAGCAACAGTAACAGAAGCAACTCAGCAGAGAGAAACACAGCAGGGAAACGACAGAGTCTGGTTGGAGGAAGAGGCACTGGGGCCCAACCAGACAAGTCAATGAAGCCGTCCCCAGAGATTTTGCAGCCCACAGACCCCCTCCCGCCCAAACCAGTGGTGCAGCTCACAGCATCGCTCCAACTACCCAATGGACTCACTATGGAAGTGCCGATTACCATTGACTCTGGTAGTAACGCAGACTTCATAGGACTGGATTTCCTTCAAGAGCACAACATAGCACTCCTGCCAGCCACGCTGCCTCTGAAAGTTGTCACGGTGGATGGCAGGGAATTGCTGGGGGGGCAGGTGGTGCAGCAAACGCCTCCGATGGTGATGCAAATTGGGAATCACCGAGAAGTCATCAGCTTCAATGTCACCCAACTGTCGGACACGCCTATAGTATTAGGCATGAGTTGGCTGCACAGGCACAGCCCAGCATTGGCGTGGTACCAGCGACAACTGACCTTCGGCTCCTCATACTGTGCGGAACATTGCATTCTGCCTAGCCCGGAAGGGGAAGAGGATGACCCGCAGCTACAATTAGGCACGCTGCAAGCAGTGCCACTCAAGTACGCAGCGTTTTTGGAGGTTTTCTGCGAGAAGGAAGCGGACAAGCTACCTCCCCACAGGTCTTATGACTGCAAGATTGACCTCCTGCCAGGGCGACGCTGCCAACCGGGAAACTGTATTCCATGTCCGAAGACGAGCTGCAGGAACTCAGGGAGTTCATAGACCTCAACTTGAAGCGCGGTTTCATCCGGGAGTCGAAGGCAGTGGGGGCAGTCCTGTATTCTTTGTGAAGAAGAAGGACACGCCCCAAAAAAGGCTTGTGGTGGACTATAGAATTTTGAACTCAAAAACCAAGCCCACAGCCTTTCCCATGCCCAAGATAGATGACCTGCTCGCAACGGTGAGGAAAGGACGCGTTTTCACAAAGTTGGATCTGCGAGGGGCGTACAACCTGATTCGCATGCGGGAGGGCGACGAATGGAAGACTGCCATGTTCACGCCCCTGGGCACCTATGAATACAGAGTTATGCCCTTTGGATTACAAAATGGCTCCCACTGTTTTCAAGCCTTCATGCATCACGTATTGGCGGGTCTCCTCTACAAGAAATGCGTCTGCTTCCTGGACGACATCCTGATATTTTCAGAATCAGAGGAGGCCCACGAGGGAGACGTCAAGGAAGTTCTGCAGAGACTGCAGGAGCACAGGCTGTACGCCAAGCTGGAAAAGTGCCAGTTCGACATGAAGGAAGTAGATTTCCTGGGCTACAAGTTGTCGGACAAGGGGCTCGCCATGGACAGCGCCAAGGTTCGCTCAGTGTTGGACTGGAAGAGCCCGCGCAATCGGAAGGAGGTCCAACGGTTTGTCGGTTTCGCCAACTTTTACCGCAAGTTCATCAAGGGGTTCGCGATGCAGACGGCAGCCATTACCGACACACTCAGCTCCAAGAAGAAGAAGTTCATCTGGACGGAGCAAGCGGAACAGTCCTTTCAGAAACTCAAGCGTCTCTTCTCGTCCGAAGAGCAGCTACTGCATGTGAATCCCAGCAGACCGATGAGGGTTGAAACGGACGCCTCAGACAGAGCCGTGGGAGCAGTACTGTTGCAGCAAGACCCGCATGGGGACTGGAGACCGTGTGCCTTCTACTCCAGGAAGCTCAGCAAGTCAGAGCAGAACTACACCATCTGGGACAGGGAGTTGCTGGCCATTCATGCAGCATTCAAGGCGTGGCGGCACTTCCTCATTGGAGCCAAACACACAGTGCAGGTCCGCACGGACCATAAAAACCTGGAGTACTGGCGCACGGCAAGGTTCCTGAACCAGAGGCACATACGATGGGCGGAGTTCTTTGCGGATTTCGACTTCAGGATAGAGTACATCCCAGGCGACAACAACATCATGGCGGATGCACTGTCCAGAAAGCCGCAATACCTCGAGGAGGCGGCACCAGCAGCGGCCAAGCACATTTTCGCACCGAAAGCGTGGGCGTGCGCTTCAGCAACCGTGGACCTGGATGCTGTACGTCGAGCACTGCAGGAGGACCCCTTCGCGCAAGCAAAGATGGCAGAGGTGCAAAGGGGCACGGCGGAGGACGACGAGTTCCAGATACGCGACGGATTGCTCATCCGCAGAGGGGCCCTCTACGTACCGGGAGACGACCTCCGCGCGAAAGTACTGCAGCAGTTGCACGACGCACCCACCGCCGGGCACTTTGGCAAAGAGAAGACGGTAGAATTAGTAGCCAGAGATTTTTGGTGGCCCAAGATGCGGGGGAAGTCGCGGATTACGTCTCGAGGTGCGACACCTGCCAAAGGGCCAAGTCAGTGCACAAACCGCCGGCGGGACTGCTCGAACCGCTGCAGACACCGATCGAACCGTGGGAGAGGGTGGCCCTGGACTTTGTCACGGATCTACCCAGCTCGAGGGGCAAGACGGCAGTGCTAGTGGTGGTGGACATGTTCACCAAAATGGCCCACTTCATTCCGTGCGCGAAGGTGGCCACGGCGGAACAGACCGCCAAACTGTTCATAGACCACGTGTTCAGGGTTCACGGTCTGCCACGGTCTATCCTGTCCGACCGGGGCGACAGTTCATCTCGAACTTCTGGCAGAAGCTGATGGGTTTCCTGAACGTCAAGATCAACCTAGCGTCGGCGAGACACCCGCAGACGAACGGACAAGCGGAGCGAGTCAACGCCATCATGCAGCAGTACCTGCGATGCTACGCAAATCAGCAGCCGGCAACATGGGTGGACTACCTGCCGCTCGCTGAGTTCGCCTACAACAACACGAAGCACGTGTCCACGGGGTGACACCGTTCTTCGCCAACAACGGGAGGCATCCCAGAACCTTCCCGGGATTAGCGAGAGAGGGGGAGGGGAGCCACAGGCAGCGGAAGCCTTAGCATCAGAGTTGCAGGAGGTTCACGAACAGCTTCGGAGGCAGTTAGAACTAGCAAAGCACGCATACAAACTGCAGGCTGACAAGCACAGAAGGGTTGGGGAAGACATACAGGTGGGAGACTGGGTTTGGTTAGCAGCCCAGGCAGTGCCGGCCAGATCGTTAGCGAAGAAGAAGCTAGGGCATAAGCAGCTAGGACCCTACCAAGTCGAGGCACAGGTCAATCCAGTGGCCTTCCGGTTGACACTGCCGGAGGGATCCAGAATGCACCCAGTTTTCCATAGATCAGTGCTCACGCCCTACAAAGCACCTCATAGATTTCAGGAGCCAGGAACGGCACCAGACCCGTTCAGGGAAACGCCCACAAGGGGGGGGTCGCCAAGGCGGGAACCCGTCAACGAAGTCACAGAGATTTTAGACTCGAGATGGGGGAGGAGGGAGTGGAATACCTCCTCGCCAAGGAAGGTACCCGGCTAGCGCCAACAGTTGGGTGCCAGATTATGCTCTGGAGGAATCTTGGCTTAAGGACGAGTTCCATGCCCTTTTCCCACACAGGCCCATGCCAGCCGAGTATTTCGACGACTGGCTTTTCACACCCACATTTTCAGCTAGCACATTCCAGGGGTTCACCTCGGACGAGGAACCGGCACTAGAAACACGTTCCCCGGAGGGATCACCCTCGGGGTCTGCCTCAGACCGTTCCTATTGGTGGGACAATCAACCAGAGGAGCAGTGGCGCAGGAAGTGGTTGGGGGGTCCTTGGCAGGCAACGTCCCCGGAGGAGACCGGGGAGAGACGGACATGGACGTGTTGGGGGAGGACCTTGGGTTCGAGCACGGCGGCAAAGAGATGGAAGCAGAGGAAATTGAGGTCGGCGAGAGCACGGAGGACGAGCCGGACTTATCCGGCTGGATGCACGCCACGGGGAACGAACTGTATCCGGCACTCACCCCCACAACGACGGAGCACCCAGTACCCACACCTGAAGGAGGGGAGGGGGAAGGGGGGCTTCGAGGGGGATGGATGTCAGGGGTTCAGGAGCAGAGGCACAGGAAAGGGAGGAAATAGAGAGCGAGGGGAGGAGTCCGAAGGAAATGTTAGCGATGACAGCGGTCCGAGGTCTCTGAGTCTTTCCAGCGAATCGGAAGATTCACAGAAAGGGGCTCCCTTGGTCAGAGCAAGGGGGTGCCGAGGGGACACCCCAGGAAGAAGGGGCCAGAGGGGACTCAGAGAGCAGCAGTTGGAAATCAGGACCAGCGTCCACACCAGAGTGCAGTAGGGGGGAGGAGTCCCAGGCATCGGGATCAGGCGGCGCACTGCCAGTGGGAGGACATGAGTCAGGATTGGCCACGCCTCCATCGGGGAGCGAGGAAACGGTCGAGAGGAAGGTTGAAGGCTGGGCGCGCGCGCCAAGTTCAAATGTACAGGAGGGCGGCGCAGTTGGCAGCCCGGATAGGGAGCCAGGTCCCAAAGCCCGCCGAAAAGAGGGGGAGGAGTCAGGAGGGTCAGCGTCAGAAGAATCCAGGAAGGAAGGGACCCCGGGGGGTAGCAGGACCCAGAGGAGAAAGGAGAGACGTAAGAGGTGGAGTAAGGCTAGAATCTTAAACTGGTGTACAGGGGGCGGAGACTCAGATGGAGCTTCGCCGATCTAACCCCTAGACGTAGAGCTGGGGCGCTCCGGCTTGAAAATGGAAACTGTACTTCAATAAAGACTTTTGCACATTACTGCCGGCTAGCGTTGGTCCTCTGTGAGCTGGGACCTGGAGCCAGCTCTGACACATATGTTCATTGCTCAGTTCATGTATGGAAAACAGATGAGTCAACTGGCCTCCTGTTCAGTTTCCAGTGATTTAATACTATGACTGCACATGCTGTGTGAATTTTATCTATATGCTACAAAAACTCTGAGCCTGCACAGTTATTGGGCATTGTGTCATATTACCCCCCCTCCGTCTTTCTTTGGAGCTGAATATTACGTCTGAGTATGAATATATTTATGCTGCACTTTTAGTATGCAAGAACTGAACACAAACAAATTTGATTAGCCCCAAATTGCGATGCTTGAAAGTAGTCACTGGAGTGTAGATTTTTAAAACTGAAGCAACATGCTGCTCATTTTTGGCTCTATGTATAGGTGCTTATTTTGTTTTTGTTTTGTCTCTGTAATGTGAGGAAATTGCAATGTTTATCTGCTGGAAAGATCTCAAAAGAAGTTGCTTGCCTGTAAATACATTTGCTAGATTTACAGTCCTATTAAAACATGGCCTTTATCTAAAATTACTTTCTTTACGCTGGTACATACAAATAATGGGTGCATAGCTTTAAATCATGCACCACAGGAAGCTGCGGCAATATTTGCTTAGGCAACACAAAAATGCCAGCAGATGGATGTAACACACACACACACACACACACACACACACACACACACACAGACCCTGCCTTCAATGAAACAACAATGTTTGTAGTGGCTCATTTTCCAGTTCTATATGTATCTGACTCATTGTCAAAAGAAATACCTCCTTTCTTTTTTTTAATATAAGCACCATTATAGCACCATATTTAATTTAAGGGAATTTCACAGTCATGGGCTATGAACCCAGTTTGTTTCAACAAATCACAGTTACAATTAGCTACAGCTTAGGGTTCAGGTGTGACACTAAACTGTGGTTATTAAAAAATGGGAGCAAAATCTGATTTCCTTGTGGCCACACTGAAGGAGGAGAGAGGAGGGGAGGAGAGGAACTGTTTGTTATGACCTCCAAGCTGGTACATAGTGTAACAAATTGGAGAGGCAATCCTTTTTAAATGTTCTTAGTTATTTCCACCCCTGGATCTTCAGATAGCTCTTGATTTTTTTAAAAAAACCAAACAGTTCAAATCTCTGCTCAGCTATGAAGCTCACAAATGACCTTGGGTCTGAATCTCTGAGAATAAAATAGGTTGGAAAGAGGGAGAGAGAATCCACAGAAGTGCTTTAAGCTCCTAGAAGAGAGGCGGGGCAATTTAAAGTAATTAAAAGGAAGAAGAAATAACTGCAGTTTGTGATTAAATTGTGTGCTGCTTTAGTTACCTCTGGTAGACTAGCTTCTTTTTAAAAATGAAATCTCAGTGGCACCCTTGCAGGCTTGGCAACTCTGGGTAAATGGAATTACAGCCCCGTGTATAACTGTACAGTTTTCATGTGTGTCGGGGAGTTTCTGAAATTTCACAGCCCCACAATACTAGGACATCTTTCTTTTGGCTGTAAATGTTTTTCATCATCATCATCATCATCATCATCATCATTTATCATTTATACCCCCCACCCATCTCGCTGGGTTTCCCTAGCCACTCTGGGCGGTTCCCAACAAAATATAAAAAACACGATAAAACATCAAACATTAAAAACTTCCCTAAACAGGGCTGCCTTCAGATGTCTTCTAAAAGTCAGATAGTTGTTTATCTCCTTGACATCTGATGGGAGGGCGTTCCACAGGGCGGGCGCCACGGCCGAGAAGGCCCACTGGTGGAGGAAGGCGAGTGCGGGGGTGCAGTGTGGTGCGTACCGGGTGTCAGCCGTGAGGGTGGGTGACATTGCCGCGCCGCCCCCCCCTCACTGCACGGCGCCCCCGGATGCTCACCGCACGGGCAGCACCCCCAGACGCTTGCTGCATGGGCGGTAGGCCACTAGGGACATTCGCCGTGTGGCCAGCTAGCCCCGTCCCCACACCGCTGCAGGTGCTGGGACAGGTAGCTCCGCCCCTGAGAAGGCCCTCTGCCTGGTTCCCTGTAATCGCACTTCTCGCAGTGAGGGAACCAGCAGAAGACCTTCAGAGGAGGACCTCAGTGTCCGGGCTGAATGATGGGGATGGAGATGTTCCTTCACTCATTCTTTCGGTTTAAACTGTCTTGAACACTGGCCAAACACACTGACCAAACCAATTCATGGAATCACAGAATTGTAGCGAATGTCCTCGTTCTCTCAATATGTTAAAACAATACTGTGCTTCAGAAATAATCAGACAAGTGGGGGGATATATTAAGACAGCTATTCTTGCTCTGAGGGAGCTTGTAGCTAGGTTTACACACTTGGAACATCCTGCTTTTAAGAGCTCCGAGGGGTGGTTTTTTTTTGGGGGGGGGTGTTTCTGCTTGCAGAGTGTTCTGCCATCAGCTTTGCATAAAGATGTGTTTCCCAGAGGGGTTACAGAGCTCACAAACAGTCACTTCTTGTTAGTTTTGAAAGGCTGGCATAGGTCACTTGCTAGAAGATGAAACTGTGATGCAATATCCATGTAGACAGTTGCTGCTGGGAGCAATCAGGACGAGACGCGCTGTCACATGGTACTTTGCAAGGCTTTGACTAACACGTAATTAAGAGAGAGAAAACGCATCAGCTTGCAGGGCCAGCCCTACCGTTAGGTATATGGCAGGCAAGCAGCTTAGGCCATAGGTGCTGGGGAGCAAGGAGTAACAGCAATGTGTGAGGGCGACAGAGCTGGATGTACCATTTGGCCTGCTGTGCTAAGCCAGGTGTGGGGAACCTCTAGGCCATCCAGATGTTGCTGAGCTACAACTCCCATCAGCCCCAGAAAATATGGCCACTTGCATAAATAACGGCTGGAGGAAAGAGAGTTGCCTGAATCGCTTTGCCGCAGTTGTTGTTGTTGTTTAGTCATTTAGTCATGTCTGACTCTTCGTGACCCCATGGACCAGAGCACGCCAGGCACTCCTGTTAGTAGCTTCGAGAACACTGTCCAACCATCTCGTCCTCTGTCGTCCCCTTCTCCTTGTGCCCAACATCAGGGTCTTTTCCAGGGAGTCTTCTCTTCTCATGAGGAGGCCAAAGTATTGGAGCCTCAGCTTCACAATCTGTCCTTCCAGTGAGCACTCAGGGCTGATTTCCTTAAGAATGGAGAGGTTTGATCTTCTTGCAGTCCATGGGACTCTCAAGAGTCTCCTCCAGCACCATAATTCAAAAGCATCCATTCTTCGGCGATCAGCCTTCTTTATGGTCCAGCTTTCACTTCCATGCATCACTACTGGGAAAACCATAGCTTTTACTATATGGACCTTTGTTGGCAAGGTGATGTCTCTCCTTTTTAAGATGCTGTCTAGTGCTCACCAAAACCACCACTGGAAGCACGAAGCAAAGGAAAAATTGTATGTGCATAAGCAAAGGCTGTTCATAAGATAAATTACACCACAGTTTTATAGCCTCAGAAAGCCAATTTGAGTATCTGCTCCTACTGGCATGCTTTCTCCAAGCCCTGCTGCACCCACCATAGTCTGAAATAAGAGCCAACCTGATGCCATTGCTTATGTCCAACAGCAAAGAGGAAGGCTTAGTGGGAAACCTTGCAACTATTCATTCCATATAAATATATGTGTACACACACACATGCACACATATAATGAAGCTATTTCCAGAAGCTTGGCACAGATGCGACAAAACTGGACAGCTTGGGAGTATATTTATCCAAGGAAAAAAACTTTCCAGAAGCTTTCAAGCAAATGAAACATAAGGACAGAGCGAAAGTCAATCTCTAGCATATTCCAGACTTGAATAGGACGAGATGGGTTAAAAAAATTCTTGCAGACCCGCTGGCTCTTGCCAGCTCTTCCTAGCTAAAGATGGATCCTTTCAAGGCTACTTCGCCAATACAACAACAGATGGCGGAGCAAACTATTATCTGCTGCATGTGTTACAGTTGTCCTACACCAGATCAGTCCCAGGGTCTGAGGACACCTTGTTGAAGCTAAGTGGGTTGGGCTGTGGTCAGAATTTGGATGGGAGACCATGACAAAACCCCATATTATTGGATTGGGATCGATGATGGGAGACAGGTGGGGATTAAGGGTGTCTTTCGAGTGGCAGCGCATAGACTTTGGAAGAAAAAATGTCTTCAGTTGTTTCTGGATAGTGCAGATAGTAAGCATCTATCTCGACGGGAATGCTGTTCCATGGAACAAGAGCAGGCACACTGAAGGCCCCGCTCCAAGTAAATTTGGGTGGTTGGGATTAATTCACCTTCAACCAATCCTGGAGGGAGGAGCAAGTAGGCAGAAACAGTCAACTCTGCTGGTTTCAATGCCTCTACCATTAGGCAGAGTGAAATGGCTGCCTCAGGCTGCTAAATCTGAGTGTCATGAAAAGACCACCAATTAGTCTTTATTATTGGGGAAAAGGAGACGCTTGTGAGCTTTACTTTTCCCCTTCATGCGACCTAAATTCAATCACTGGCCTCGGATAATGGGCCACATCCATACCTTACATTGAAAGCACATGGCTTCCCCCGTATAATCCTGGGAACTGCCGCTTGTCAAGGGTGCTGGGAACTGTAGCTCCATGTGGTAAACTACAGATCCCAGGATTCTTTGGGGTGGGAAGCCATGTGCTTTAATGTGGATGCGAATGCACACACCTTGATTTGGCGGTGGGGGACATTTGCTGCTCCACTTCAGGCGACAAAACCCTTTGCGCTGACGCTGCCTACCCCTTTCTACCCACAACAGCCAGTTCCTTGGAGACAGGATATAAAATGTGCCACCTTCATCCCCTCCTGAAGGAAGGTCTCAGAGGCAGGGATACACACATCCTGTCTCCCTTGTCAGCCCTCTGCTTCTCTGAAACCATCCAAGGGCGATAAAAGAGGCAGAAATGTCAAGGCTAATTACAGTTCTAACATGCAAACTCACTTGTCAAAGACCCAGTTTCAGCTGCATCACGGAACAGTTACAACAGTGATGGGTGGGTGGGGAGCAAATCGCCTTGCATCCATCCTCATCCTAATGTGCTTCCTCTCCACCACCACAAACACAGGAGTTGTTGTTTTTCCAAAGCACCGTCTAGTTCTAAAGTGCTGTGCTCTTGCCTTTTCTCCCTTTCTTTCTTTTTTAAATTGGCTCAGACTGTTTGCACTTCTGTCATTCCCTTTGGGAAAAACCCGATTCCACTGACTAATAACGCCTTCGCAGAAAATAAACTGGAGTGTGGGGAGGGGGGAGGTCACAAAGATTACAATGGAAACACGCAAAGGAGATCTCAAGCCGTTCTCTCCCCCTCTCTCTTTGAACCTCATGGAAGGTCAATGGAAAACGCGAGGCCAGCATAATTCTCTCGCCCGGAACTGAGGTTGCAAAGAGAATCCAGTCAACCAGAAATCGGCAGAGAGCACGCAGTCGACTGGACAGGGGAGTTCTTCTGGGATTAAATAAGAAGGTGATGGAAGGGCAAGCCCTGGGCCATTGCTACCAGATAAGTCCCGGTCCTCAGCTCCCTGGTCTGAAGATGTGGCTCTGTCTTCCTCTGTCTCAGAGGACTTTGGTGTAGAAGACCTAACCCATTTGTCCTGCCTGAACCCACCTTTCTGTGCATCCAGACATCTAGGCCTCTCCTTGTCCTACAACCTGATTAAGCCTTGCTGCAATGCAGAGCACGCAGAAACTCAGATATATAAGCTAATCACCAAACGGCACCTTGAACCGGGATTACGGTCGCCACAACAGAATGTCTAAGTGCCTTCCCCAGGAGAAGTTGTTTTTTTTTTATTTCATTTTTATACTGCTTTCTATTTTAAAATCTCAAAGCGGTTTACAACACATTAAAACATCAAATAAAAACAATCCAGAATAAAACAAATTCAAGCTTAAAAGAAAATATTCCAGATCCTTCTCTAAGTGATATTTTGCTTTCCCCATATTTATATACCTACTTAAGTTTATACAGCTGCCCCATAGCAGAAGTAATCTAGGAAGGCAGCACAGTGTAGTGGTTAAAGTGTCAGACTAGGACCTGGGAGATCAGGGTCCCAATCCCCACTATGTCTTGATGCTCACTGGGTGACCTTGGGCCAGTCACAACCTCTTAGCCTACCTCACAGGGTCATTGTAGGGATTTTCTGAGGAGGGGGTGAACCATGTGCCCCCTGGAGAAAAAGGTGGGATATAAATGCTGGGAATAAGCTCTTCTTATGTGGATTTAGTAGATATGAAGACATTTCACCAAATGGATGCTGCCAGGATTGCTGTAGCACAACAGCGAAATTTTACATATGTAAGGTGATATTATAATATCACTCTGATATGCCACATGTCTTAATGAAATAATAGTAACAATATAAGTAACTAATAATAAGTCAACAGCAGATTTGGGGTGAAAGCCAGTTAATTTTTCAGTTCTTTAAATCCCATGTTCTGACTATTAGATCTGCCCCACTCATCTTGTTCTACAGTGCCAGAGATGTAACTTGGCACACAAAATCTGCCAGCGCAGAATGAGATGAATTAATGTTTAAAGACAACAGCATTAGAGCATTAAATTTTCAAACAATGGCTCAGGGAAGACTCGTTCCAAGTCACACTGCTGTGTAAGACCTGTGTGTAAAAACAAAACAGCTGAGTCCAACAGCTCTGCTTGATTCTTGGCACGAATGCAATGGCTATATGATGACAAAACTTTATTTTATTTTTAAGGGAAGGAGGAAATGGGTGAAAAGATGGGAGGCGATTCCTGCAGAGGAACTACTCTGGCAAAATAAACTTGCTCCTGCCATACAGGAAAGGGTACATGCATCTGTATAAACAGGTAACCAAACGATAAGGGATTTACTGCAGAGGGGAAATTGTATTTTGCAACCTCAAGGCTACACTGCTATGCTGCTTTTTGCCTTGAGGGTAGACCTTAATGACTGTTCAAAAGCAGCAGCAGTTGCAAAAACACAGCCAGACTCCTCAAGAGGAAAGGTATCTCTGAGAACATCTTACCAATCTCATTTATCTTGTGTGGGACCATATAATCTTCCAAGCTACTTACTGAGATTTATGAAGCTCTAAGCAGCTGAAGCCCTATATACCTAAGAAGTAATCTCCTTCCCCAGAAGACATTTTTAATGAGCCAAATCTCTGAGATTCTTCTGTTTCTCATCTCTCTAGAGAAACAGGCCACTTTCTAGAATTGTCTCCAAATGTTCTCCACCATTTGTGTGTGTGTGTGTGTGTGTGTGTGTGTGGTGGTCACATTCCAACCCCTCTCCCCAGTCAATTTAGCTTGGCTTCCCATGTTCCCAGAGTGGCCAGTCAATGAAATCATAAGAAACCAGAGCACCCTATCCCTGTCCAAAAAAGAGACTGATCTTTAAAGACCAGGGTGGGGAGCCTGTGGCCTTCCAGATGTTCTTAGACTACAACTCCCAGCATTCCTGGTCATTGGCCATGGTGACTAGAGCTGATGGCTGGTGGATTCCAACGCCTGGAAGGCCAACGTTTTGCCATTCCCATTGTAAGGAAGGTCTTGAACTTGCCAGCCATTTGTAGTAGGCACGAAAACAATAGACACTGAAGTCATCCAGAGCGGAGTTCCCCAATTATGAAATTCACAGAGTACAAAATGGTATTTCTTCCTGGGCAAGTGGTGATGTTTCCCTCCCCCCCCCCCCCAATGAACAACACAACCTTCCTACTTTTATCACCTTAACATTTAAAATGATGGGGCAAGAAATAAGGCTTATAAAAAGCCATACTGCAAGGCCTGAATGGAAAAAGGTCCACCTGGAGTCCTAAAGCCTTGCGATCATTGCCTTAATACGTAATTCAGAAGAGCTTAGAGCTCCGAAGAAACATTCTCTAAAGAGCAGGACGTTCAGGAGGAGGAAGCAATTCGGTGCTGACGAACTCTGCCAAATGCAGAAATGACTAATAATAACAATAACAAGCAATTGGTGTGAAGCATGGAACACAGCTGCTATGGGGTGGGGTTGTATTTTGTCACAGTGATTTCCGAAATATCCTTAAAGTTGGTATAAGAGGTGCTGGGCCCATCCATACCTTACCTTAATGCAGATTATGAACCCCTTCTGCCTCTCCTCCCAGTACTGCTGCCCCACATTTTCTCCACCCTAAACCCAGAGATTCCCTATGCTTTGAAAATCTAAATAGGAAAACTACATTGTTTACATGATCACAATCCACATTAAGCCAAGGTATGGACAGGCTCATTTATAGCCACTCAACATATTATAGAGCCGCCCTTTTAAACACCTGCACAATTTTGTTTTGCTTTCAAAAATGTTTTATTTAGATATTGAAAGAAAACCGCAATATAGGAACAATAACAACAGGGACATACATGGGTCATTCCATGCCAAATCACCTGATTTTAATACTCAACCGTGCTCTCACGATTCAGATTTTCTTCAATTTTTTTTATGTGTAGATACCTATGAGACAACCTCAAATTACCGTATTTTTTGCACCATAACACTCACTTTTTTCCTCCTAGAAAGTAAGGGGAAATGTCTGTGTGTGTTATGGAGCGAATGCCTGCAGGTGGTGGTGGGGATCTGCTGCAGTCGTGAGCAGAGGATCCATGGTTCCCCTTCCTTCCCTCCTCCGTGGTTACAAAGCATGGATCCACATGGATCCTCAGGATTTTTGCATTGGGCTACTCCAAACTCACTGTCAGTTCACATGTCTGTGGCCACAGCATGAACCACAGAAATCATATATCCACTATTTCGTTTAGAATATTTTTTTTCTTGTTTTCCTCCTCTAAAAACTACGTGCGTGTTATGGTCTGGTGCGTGTTATAGAGCGAAAAATACGGTAATTTTTGAGGTCCAACAAAATTTTTGAAATTTTTGTGCGATTTAGGCTAATGCAATTTCTGCGTCAGTTTAGAAAAAACCTCCTGTTTCGCTTATTTTTCAACCAATTGGGCTACAGTGGTACCTCGCAAGATGAATGCCTCGCAAGACGGAAAACTCGCAAAACGAAAGGGTTTTTTGTTTTTTGAGCTGCTTCGCAAGACGATTTTCCCTATGGGCTTGTTTCGCAAGACGGAAACGTCTTGCAAGTTTGTTTCCTTTTCCTTAACACCGTTAATACAGTTGCGACTTGACTTCGAGGAGCAACTCATAGCACGCGGTGTGGTAGCTTTTTTTGAGGTTTTTGAAGACTCTGGTGATTTTTGAAGCTTTTCCAAAACTTTTCCGACACCGTGCTTGGCAAGACGAAAAAAATCACAAGACGACAAAACTCGCGGAACGAATTAATTTCGTCTTGCGAGGCACCACTGTATAAGGTATAAAAAGGGTATTAAGTGCCACAGAAAAGGGTCACTGACCATTCAAAGTGATTTTTTTGTCTGAGTTGTGAGAGAACATGGCACCAGGTGATTTGGCATGGAGTGACCCACATAGCTGATAAGTGATTGATAGTGATAATCCCATGAAAGAATGAGTACTTGCCACTTGCAGCAGAAATAATCTAAGGCCTCATCTGCACAGTATACAAAAAGCAGTATCATACCACCACTTTAAACCATCATGGCTTCCCCCAAAGAATCCTGGGAAGTGTGGTTTGTTAGGGGTGAAGAGAGTTGTTAGGAGGCCCTGATTCCTCACAGAAACAAACAATTCCCAGGGTTCCCCCCAAGAAGAAGTACTGACTGTTAAGCCTCATTTTGCCTCCAGAACTTGTTACACTATGGAGGCAGGAGTGAACCGAAGAAGTACTGAGACGACAGGAAACAATCCCATGGTTTGTTCAATGCACATTTGGAAGTTCAATCTATGCCGTGTGTTCTAAACTATGGTTAGCTGAAACCACATTTGGACTGTGAACGGAGCCAAAGTCAACATCTGCCCAGCTTTTTAAAACTCTTCCTCATATTATAAAGACTTTTTTGTGTGTGAATTAAGCCATTCTTAATTTGTTGTCGCTCTTTGCGATAATAAATAGTGACAAATAACTTGAGGTTATATTCTGAAGACAGCCTTCTTTGCTGCGAAGACTAGCCTGTGATGTTTGGATCTTCTTGTTGACAAAGCAACTCTCTAATTCAATTTAGAGAGCCTAACATAATTACGGGTACTCCTAATTAGTTCAAAGAGAACAGCAACCATTGTAAGAACTTGTCCACCAGAAACTGGATTGAGATAGCAATTTCACTGTATCATAAGGGCAACCTAAGAGAGCAGCGGAGATGCCTTGTCAGATCGAATCATATTTGAGCAGACACAATCCACATCCAGCAAGCTGCACAGCCACACTTAGGAAAACGATCCATCATCACCAAATGATTCACTCTTTAAAAAAAGATGTGCGGCCTGATCCTGCCATATCTACAGATATACAACTCATCTCTAGGACAAGGGGGGGTATCTTCACATAGCAGCCCACTGGAAAATTTAATGTAAAGTCACGGGAGTGGAGGCGGTCTTCAGCATCTTCAGTCTCTTTCAGCATAAAGGAGCAGAAGTCTACAAAAATGAGTGTTCCTCCATGCCAGCAACAGAAATTCAGCTTCCATGGGAACCAGATTATTATTATAATATCATATCATATTATTTATTATTTTGACAAAGTAATAATCATAAATAAATAAGAATAAAAATGTGCACCCCACCCTGAGACTATTCCATTACTATTCCACGTAGAGAGGGCACATTTGGCCTCTGGGGCCAAAGGTTCCCAACCCTGTGTTCAAACTTGGGGCTGGCAGCCCAGTCCCAAACCAGAAACCTGTGACAGTATGAAAGTGGGGGGGGGGGAGAGGGTGTTGGCATCTCTCCTCCCCATTCTTCTGAAGCTGCCCCACCACAAGAGGTCTGAACTACAAGAACCATAAGTATCCTTGTCCCAGGCTTGCTGAGAGCCAGTGTGGTATAGTGGTTAAGAGCGGTAGACTCGTAATCTGGTGAACCGGGTTCGCGTCTCCGCTCCTCCACATGCAGCTGCTGGGTGACCTTGGGCTAGTCACACTTCTCTGAAGTCTCTCAACCTCACTCACCTCACAGAGTGTTTGTTGTGGGGGAGGAAGGGAAAGGAGATTGTGAGCCGCTTTGAGACTCCTTCGGGTAGTGATAAAGTGGGATATCAAATCCAAACTGGGTAACTCCTCTTGAGGGAAGGAGGATTTGTTGCAAGTCTCACTTGCTCAACACTCTGCGGCCCAACCGTGTACCATTCACCAAGTCGCTCCCACCCTGGCAAGGAAATGCTTCCAGCCAGTTTGAGCATTTTCATTTAAATTGCTGCTATTTATAAATGGAATATGCTTGATATAGCCCAACACACACAGTCCCGACATTCCACAGAAGACCTCTTCAGCTGCACCCCAAGAGATGGGATGGCTTATATGGAGCTAATATCGGCCACAGCTCAGTTCTACTGGAGCAGCTATTTTGGATTGCAAAAGATTCTTCTGGCTGAGTTTGTTAGCAGAACAAGAAGAGGATTTGCTGGCTTCCTAGGTCACACATACGTTTACTGGACAGAGAGCTGGAGTCAACATCAGGAATAGCATTCCTAAATATAGTCATTTCAATTTCTTGTCAAGCGAGGTGTATGAACAATACCCAAATGCGACTCGGAAATTCACAAAAGTCACCCTTTCCGCTAATGAAGTGATGGTGATTCATTTAAAGAAATGGTTTGACACAATAAGGTTCATCATACCTCAGCGCAGCTAGAATATGGAAGGGAAACAATTGTGTGTTTGCAAAGAAATCAATGACTACTTGTATATGATGGAGGAGACTGAGAAAACAAACCATTTATGGGTTCTGTCTGTGAAGAAAAGCGAAGAAAACTCTTATTTCATCGATATGATGAAACCAAGTAAATGAACTAGACTTTATTTATTAATTTCTGACACTTATCAGACACCTATTTATAAAAACAATCTCTTAAATATTGTGTGACGCATTTAAAACACAACCCTATATAGTAAAAATGCATATCAAAACTTGAAAATCGAAATCAGCATGCCTTAATGGCACTAGACCTTTAAAGCACATTCTTTCCCTCAAAGAATTATGGCTAAAATGGACGCTTGGGTTGCGAACGTGATCCGTGCGGGAAGCACGTTCGCAACCCGCAGTGTTTGCAACCTGCAGTGCCTCATCTGTGCACGCGCAGGTAGCGATTTGGTCTTCTGCACATGCACAAAGTGTGATTTAGCGCTTCTGCGCATGTGCGAGTGCCGAAACCCGAAAGTAACCCGTTCCGGTTAACTTAAATAGCAAACTACCTTTAGAAAGATTTTTTTCCTCCAAAAGTATTTTATTTTAAAAATCCAATTTAAATTAAAAAAAATTTGATTCAAATAAAAAAATCCGATTTTTATTTTTTTAAAAAAAATCATTGATTTTTATCCCCCCTGACTGCTTTAAATGTATAATGCAGATGGCACCAGTGACTGGGAGTGGCTCTGCAGAGTCTCAAGCCGGGGTCCCCCTCACAGCCAACCCATAGTTTTCCAGTTTCCAGGAGTCTGGGATTAAAACGAAGACATGCTCTGCCACTGAGCCTAACGCCTCCAATATTCATCCATTATGATAGGCTGTGACCCCAGCTCACACTGGCTGCTTAACTGTTGGCAAGGTTTTTTTGTTTCTTAAAAACAAATCAAATGGTAATCGTAGAAAGTCATCTTGGGAATTTATATTCGGCACGGCAACTCCCTACCATGTAATTTTAATAAACACACTTCAAGGCCTTGAACTCTCAGCTTGGCTGAGCTACGCCCAGGACGAGAGCAGCTGTCAGAGAGAAGCCACATGCTCTGGTCATTCAGCTCTAAGTAAAGCAGCATAGTTCATCAATCTACTCTAGCGTCTTACCTTGGACATTTATTGGCCAACGTCAAAGGCTCCACCAGCACCACAGGCTGCATTCAGAGGAGAGCCAAGAACCAGAAATGGGAACCAGAGGAACGAAACCAAGAAACAGGGCACAGGAATTGCCAGGATCCCACCAAACCCAGAAGCGACTCTTCTGAGAAAGAGCTTGAGGGCCTACGGAGAACCCCAGTGCTATTTATTAAATTTGTATCCTGACCTTTCTCCCAAAGGAGCCCAGGTCAGTAAACATCAAAATGTTAAAACAATGCAATACAATACAATACAATACAATACAATACAATACAATAGTACCTCTGGTTGCGGACACGATCCGTTCCGGGGTGCCAGTGGCACCCCGAAAAGTCTGTAATCAGAGCAGTGCTTCTGAGCATGTGCGAAGCGCAACAGAGCATTTCTGCGCATGCGTGAACCATGCAGAATGCTTCTGCGCATGTGGCGAAACCCGGAAGTAAACACTTTCGGGTTTGCTGCGTTCTTAACCTGAAAAAAACGCAACATGAAGTGCTCGCAAGAAGAGGTATGACTATACAATACAATACAAAAAATCTCAAAACCAGGAAGTATTTAACTACCATTGCAGGGGACCTTTACTGAATGTGATTTACTTGTGGACAAACATTATAGACGAATACACGTTACATGCAAATTTAGGGCAATGGCTCTGAGACAGCAAAGTTGCCTGGATGCAGAATGTCCCAGGTTCAATCCCAGACATCTCTGTTTAAACGAACCAAGTGGCAATTAATAAGAAAGACCGCTGCCTAAGATTCAGGAGAGATGCTGCTAATCAAACTGGTCAACGTCATGACATCGATGGGTAAATAATTTGACTTGGTATAAAACAGTTTCCTATCTTGGCCATGTGGAAGGGCATCGGGGGATAACGTGGCACTAGATTAAGTGTTTGGGGAACGTCCCTTTTAAATCCCACTACCAGCTAATTGCAATCTCTCAGCTGCACTTAAAAGAGCAGAGAAGCCACCTAAGCCAGCTTCTTAGCCTCTCAGCGGCAGTCAGCTTCCCTAGTAGATGTTACACAGTCTTTAACTTAAAGTGACATCTACACCATGTTTGAACAAAACAGCTTTAATTAAGCTCTAGTCTTCCAGCGGACCGAATTAGACCCACCACCTGGCATTCCACTCAAAGCAATCCCATTTGAGAGCGCACTGTGGTCAAAGTCGGCTTTCCAAACGCCGAAGCCTTCGGTATTTCCAGATCAGAGAATAGCCAAGCGGCACAGGTTGCCAGCTGAATGGATAAGGTTATAAACAACAATCCATAATGAAGCCTGACCAGATTAAAAGAGCTTATTGATTAAGCAGCGTAATGGAAGAAAGCTACCTTCGTTTCAAAGTGGGACTTGGCCCAATTAATTAAAAAAATACATATAGGAAATTAAGCAATATTTTAGAAGGAACTAAGCTTTTTGAGTCGCTAATCCCTGCCACAAATTGAGTGAGCTGCACGTCTATGCTCCTAGATTATGTTTAGCATGAATGTTTCTCTGTGTGTCTGAAGATTGACTGGGGGAGAGAGAAAATATTAAGGAGTGAAAGCTCCCCCGCACAATTTGCAATCCACCAAAGTGAATATAGGATACCTACAAAGTATTCTGACTTGCACGTTGTTCAACACCTCTCCCGTCTAGTATAGTTCTTCATTATTACAAAGCTAAAAATATAGACATAACCTACAAATGGGAAGCTTTTAATTAACACTGCATATTATTTTTATTGACTTAGCTGAAAGTAAACATTACTGGCAAATTTAGGTGAGCCGCTCAATAGCAAAAGCTTTTCTCTGTATGCAGGATGTCCCAGGTTCAATATTGCATGTCTCTAATTACAAATAAAGACATATACTGTAGTCCTGGCAGCTCTTTCTTATACCAGGAAATCAGCTTTCAGGAAGACATTTGGGATTGCAGTTGTAGTACAGGGCTAAACTGTGTCCCTGACTGCTGTTTCTCTGTTCTAAATTGTTCCGAGCTTCTTCCCTGCCTCCCACCAGAGGGGCAAAGCTACAAGAGAGAGCAAGAGGTGTGCAAGGGAAGGGTTAATCAACTCCTCATGTTTCTTCATTCGCACTCCCTTCTGCCACAAAAATGGGTTGTTGTTTTTTTTAAAAAAAATCTAATTTTGCCTTAGGGTTCCAGTGGGATCTTTGACTACTTCCCTTTGAATAGCTCATCTCGCTTTATTGGCCAAGGGAGCCGGCGTACAGCTTCCAGGTCATGTGGCCAGCATGACGAAGCCGCTTCTGGAAACGCTGTTTACCTTCCCGCTGGAGCGGTACCTATTTATCTACTTGAACTGTGACGTGCTTTCGAACTGCTAGGTTGGCAGGAGCAGGGACCGAGCAACGGGAGCTCACCCCGTCGCGGGGATTCGAACCGCCGACCTTCTAATCAGCAAGTCCTAGGCTCTGTGGTTTAACCCACAGCGCCACCCGCGTCCCTTATTGCAATAAGTACATAGCGATAAATCAACAAACAAACATGAGCAGGGTCCCGCTTGACAAACATGCCCCTAACTTCCTCATGTGTTTCAAACACATCATGCAGTTGGATCCAGGCCATTAAGGTTTCAGATAGAGATCTTCTTTAATCAAAAACCAAATAGCGCCTCCGAGGTGTGTGTGGGGCTTGGAGATCTGCAAGAATACATCTAAGGTTGCCTAGAGATTGCTTAGTTGTCAAGACAGAGGAAAATAAATGAAAGACTTTGACCCGCTACCAATTGCTCATCCAGGTGTATGAAACCTGGCCTCTGAGCCTTTCTTTAAAAAGAGAAAAAAACATATATAAAATCCCTTTATTTATTTCAAACATTTATACACTGCTTAATTTACAACCATCTGCAAGAGTTGGACAGAAGACTCAGTACCTTAGAACTGTTTAAAACAAAACAATCAGAAATGAATTTAAAAGCCTGCTGTAGTAAAAAATGAAGGTGAGGGCTTTGGCTGGCTTTGAAGTTCAACTGTCTAGACTTCAACTAGAAGGGAGTTGAGTTCCACAAAATTGGGCCCACAATACAGAACACAAATTGACGTGATGCAGAGACACAACAGGGGTGTTCACACATTATATTCAAGCTCAGGCTGTGAATGTTGTGCACTCATACATTCATCTGCATGGAACATTCAGCGAGCAGAGTGCCTGTATGTGCAACAGCGGCATCTGAGTACACCTGCGAGATCACCTTAACCAAACATATACCCTCTCGACCGCTTCATTCTGCAGAACCGCCATTATTGAAGGCGCCACATAATACCCGTTCCACATCTGTAAGAAATCAAGCTTTCGCTGCAATAGCATTCACACTTTGGAACTCCCTGCCTAATCAGGCAGGCACCTTCACTGTAGTCTTTTTCAGTGCCTGCTAAAAACATTTTTGTTTAGACGAGCCGACCTAGGTATCAAGAATGCTGATGCGTTTTTTTTAAAGCATACTGCTGGTTTTAATTTTTCTGGGTGTTTTAATGGTTTTTACTCATCGTTGTATTGTTTTATTCTTTTTGTAAACCACTTGGGTTGTTGTTTTTTCAAAAAAACAATCAAGTGGTATATCACTTTTATGAAATAAAGAGTTGCTCTGTATAACTCAACAAGCATACACTCTTCACACAAACTCTCCTACACTGAGAGAGAGAGAGAAAAAAGAGAGAGAGAGAGAGAGAGAGAGAGAGAGAGAGACTGTGCCTGTGTGCTGATGCATTAACCTGCAGGGTACCCCATAAAAGCCCTAAATGGCCTCGGCCCAGTATACCTGAAGGAGCGCCTCCACCCCCATCGTTCAGCCTGGACACTGAGATCCAGCGCTGAGGGCCTTCTGGTGGTTCCCTCATTGCAAGAAGTGAGGTTAAAGGGAACCAGACAGAGGGCCTTCTCAGTAGTGGCACCTGCCCTGTGGAACGCCCTCCCTTCAGATGTGAAGGAAATAAGCAGCTATCCTATCTTTAAAAGACATCTGAAGGCAGCCCTGTTCAGGGAAGTTTTTAATATTTAACGCTGTACTGTTTTTAACACTTGATTGGGAGCCGCCCAGAGTGGCTGGAGAAACTCAGCCAGATGGGCGGGGTATAAATAATAAATTATTATTATTATTATTATTATTATTATTATTATTATTAAATCAGGAATATTGCTGCTCACTCGTGCCTTTGCTGCTCACTCGTGCCTTTGACCATGGGATATTATGCACCTTGGACCTCTGTTTTGCGTCCCCCTCCCCTTCCCATTCCTTGAAGGTGTCCAAGAAAAGATGTGTGTCCCCTGCTAACACAGTCATGAAGGATTTAAATTTTAGAGCATCTTTGGACTGGTGCTTAAGTAGAGAGAAACTGTGGGTTACGGTATGTTTTGTGCTCTGTGCTATCCAGAGGTGATGTGCTGTACAGATTCAGTGCACGTGCTACAAAATGGAATGCGTCTTGGCTATGAAGAGATCTCAGCCTATCCTTCTGTGATATTAGGATCATAAAAGTTAGCTCATTGTAAAGGGCAGGTGGGCAGCCGGCAGCCCAGAGGCCACCTGAGGCATTCCATCTACTTCAACCAGGACAGACAAGCCCCAAAGGGAAGATGGAACAGAATGATTGGATCAATAAAGGTAGGTGTGTGTGTGTGTTTGTGCGTGCGTGCGTGCGTGCATGCATTTATTTAACAAAATGTATACACCACTTAATTGTAGTATAGTGGTACCTCGGGTTAAGAACTTAATTCGTTCTGGAGGTCTGTTCTTAACCTGAAACTGTTTTTAACATGAAGCACCACTTAAGCTAATGGGGCCTCCCGCTGCCACTGCGCCACCGCTGCATGATTTCTGTTCTCATCCTGAAGCAAAGTTCTTAACCCGAGGTAATATTTCTGGGTTAGCGGAGCCTGTAACCTGAAGCGTATGTAACCCGAGGTACCACCGTAAAACCTCGAAGCTACGTGCCGCAGACCCCCTGTTTTTCAAAAGCTAAGCCATGGACCCCCTACTTTGGGAAAAAAAATGATATCTCTACAGTAGTTTTTGTTATGTGAATGAGACCACGGTCCCTGGAACTCCAACTGTGAACCACTGCTCTAAGCAGTTTACAAGAGATATTAAAATTATAGATTAAAAACACGTTTAAAACAACTAGGGATAATTAAAATTAACAGGTTTGGTTTTTTTAAAAGGATAAAAAATGCCAACATCTATATGTCTGCATGGTCTTGCCAAAAAGAAAATGTTTCAAGCAGGTATCAAAAGAAGTACAGTGAAGGCACCTTCCAGATGTCAATAGGCAAGGAGCTTCAAAGTGCAGGTGCTGTTGTTTTACAAAGGGTTGCCATATTTCAAACAGTGAAAAATCCGGATGGAAAACTTATTGACCTTTTTTTTTGGAAAGAGTTTTTTTACAACTGTGGTTAGTGATCTCCCAAACTGCAATTCTCAGCAGTTGGCATTCAGAGATGAGGCATACTGCCTCCAACAGTGGAACTGAGGCCTTATCATCCATTAATTTGTCTAAACCACTTTTGCATTGGCTCCCAGTATGTTTCCGAGCATAGTTCAAAGTGTTCATGCTGACCTTTAAAGCCCTAAACAGCCTCGGCCCAGTAGACCTGAAGGAGCGTCTCCACCCCCACCATTCAACCCAGACACTGAGGTCCAGCTCTGAGGGCCTTCTGGCAGTTCCTTCACTGCAAGAAGTGAGGTTACAGGGAACCAGGCAGAGGGCCTTCTCGGTAGTGGCGCCTGCTCTGTGGAACGCCCTCCCATCAGATGTCAAGGAAATAAACAACTATCTGACTTTTAGAAGACATCTGAAGGTAGCCGTGTTTAGGGAAGTTCTTAATGTTTTATCGTGTTTTTAATATTCTGTTGGGAGCCGCCCAGAATGGCTGGGGAAACCCAGCCAGATGGGCGGGGTACGTATATATGTATATAGAAATAAATAAATATATTATATTATATTATATTATATTATATTAATTATTTAAAGCCATCCATGCATCAGATATAGCCATCAGATATATACGGTAAGCTAGCCGCTAAATGGCGCCTTAAACTAGGCGCCTTACAGTAGTTACAATGGAATGTCTAGGCAACATTTTTTTTACCATCAAATAATTATTATTATTATTAATTTCATTTCTCTACCACTTTATACTTTAAAGGGGAATAAATCAAAGCAGTTTACAGCACATTAAAACTTCAAATAAAATGATCTAGAATAAAACAAGCTTCAAGGAAAATATTTCAGATCCTCTTCTAAATGACATTTTGCTTTCCCCATATTTATTTACCTACTTTATTTATATAGCTGCCCCATAGCAGAAGTAATCTAGGAAGACAGTGCAGTGTAGTGGTTAAAGTGTCGGACTAGGACCTGGGAGATCAGGGTCCCAATCCCCACTATGTCATGAAGCTCACTGGGTGACCTTGGAGTCACAGCCTCTTAACCTACCACACTGAGTTTACACAAGTTCATTGAGCTTGGCTTGCAAATAGCCACTTGCCTGGGACAAATAAGCATTGCCTGCAATCACCTAGCAATGGCCAATAAAAAGATGATAGATCCATTTAGCCTTCATCGTCCATAGTCAAAATGTTGTAACGAGAGGGTCTAAGGGCAAACTGGGACCTTCAGATGTTTTTGGGACTACAGTTCCCATCATCCCTGACCATGGGTCCTGTTAGCTAGGGATCATGGGAGTTGTAGTCCCAAAACATTTGGAGGGCCCAGTTTGCCTATGCCTGATCTAAGGAATAGGGAAATTGAGCCACAACATTCAGAATCAGAACCAAACTGCAGACAGTTGAATAGGATTTCCTTGTGTTAAACAAAATAAATCAAACAGAATTTTAAAATAAGAGTTTTGTAGTGGTTAAATTATTCCACTGCCTTTGTACTGACTGCCCAGAACACTGGAAAGCAGAAACAAGTTTCCTTCTTGTTGGTGAATGGTTGGGCTACCTCCTGCATATTTCTCCTTATATTTCTGCAAGTGAAGGAACTAGAGACTTAGGTGTCCTGTTGTGGTTTTTGCATGAAAGCTGAACAAACAAGGATAGGACTGGAATATCACTGATATCCCATAGGGCCCTTTATGGCTTCATTCCTGCCCTCCTATATCACAAATGGCAAATAGAGACAAATATTAAATAATGCAGCATGGCTAATTTGAACTACATGTTCAAAGTGAAAATCAAGTCCCTAGACCAAACAGTCACGGCTGAAACATTTCTGGTTCAACACTGCTTTTGGATCATGCACCACACAAATGGCCACCTGGGATTTGGAGGGCTCTTGCCATAGGTCACCATTGCTCCCAATAGTTTTTTACTCAGTTTCAATATTGCTCTTATACCAAGGTTTTCTGAATCACGGCGACTCCTCTTCCAGAAAATATCTGTCTGTTTGTTTCTATTTAGCTAAACTGTTTTTTCTACGCTGGCTTCCAGCCAAAGCTTCCAGAGCGATTAACATATGTATAATTTTTAAAAGCTCATTAAATCTGAAATACTAATTAAAGCAAGCACCAACAATAAAGAAAATAAATAAATAAATAGCAAAACACCAAGATAACCATTCAAAGCCAAGGAGGTGATATACATCTTCACCACGTGTTGAAAAGACACTAGGGTCCACCGCAGCCAGCTGGCTTTGGGTAGAGCATTTCACAACCGAGGTGCTGCCACTAAAAAGGCCCTTTATCCACTGAGCACTCCTGAAGGCAGCGGCATCTTCCCCTGCTCTGGTGTCCCCCAGATATTGGTGCCCATCAACCTTGATCACTAGCCATGCCGATTGGGGCTGATGGGAGCTATATCCCAAAACATCTGGAGGAGCACAAAGTTGGGGAACGCTAGTAGAGCCCTGGAAGCAGAACCTACCAAACGGGCAAGCTCATATGGTAAACAGAATTCTTTCAGGTAGCCTAGGAATACTCTCTTCGGAAATCAGACCTACACCTACAACATGTCAACTTTTCCAATGTCTTGTGCCATGGTAAGCTTGGATGCACTGCCTATAATTAGAAAGGGGTCAAGTCTGCAAAATAGGTGGGGCTGGGTGAGGGGGAAGAGTCAGGAGAAGAGAAGAGGAAAGCAAGTCTTTAACCACCAGCCATGTCTATGTTTCATTCAGGAAGTATAGCCAGAGTTTTCAAAAGCAGTTTTCAATCAATGTGCCATTCAAAGCAAAAAAAATAATACAATTTGTCCCAGATACAAACACACTAAAGCAACAACCCCGGAACCATTTGATTAGGGCAACACAACCGACGTTGATCTCTCATGCAAACATCCCATTTTACCATCAAGGTACAACAATGACTCCAAGGACATGAACCCTTGTTAACACACGTACAGTGCATTTTTGCAGCCAAGCTAGACCTACATTTGATACTACATCCCCATAAATACCTTCCCTTGAGCTCAGATCCAGTGAAAATAAGACCGCATGCTAACAGCTAATCAGCAGAGAATAATGTGTGTTTTTTTCTAATCATCTCAATAAACATTTGGATTCTTTTACCATTCAGAGACCTAGAAGACCCAACAAACAGTTCAGAGCACAAACTATATCTATGCTGGAATCAAAGTTATATAGAGGTTTCCTTTAAAAGGCAAGTAATTGCAATTACTTTAACAACCCCCTCCTTTGCATGCAAAATTTAAAATGAGGAGAAAACTAAAAGAAAGCTACTGGAAACCTCCAAGCTAAAGCATTTGGGGGGGTGTATGAAGGCAAATGGTTTTAAATCTCTTTCCTTTTAAATGAGGGAATGAACCCCATTAAGATGTGCACATTAAATACTGGAGTTTCCAGCACAACCAGAAGCTCAATGGTGCTGCCTCCGAAGGATTTTCTCCAGGCAGCCTTCACCATCCTCCCCAAACCAACAAGACATTTGCTGCAAAAAGCCCCAGAGGCCAATTCTCTCTTTCGCTCCACACAGCCAGCTTAAGGGGGGACAAGGCAGGCGAGCTGAATCTGCCTATATATAATAAACAAGAGGCTTGATTTGGCTTGGCTAATTGCAGCAAAAAAAAAAAAAGCCTTTTGCACTTCTCAGGATGATGCTCATTCAAAACATACATCAACTCCCCCCCTCCTTTTTTCCCTCCCCTTTTGCGCACAGGAGCAGTGCGCGGGGGGGGGGTGAGAGGGAGGGAGACAGAAAAAGAAGACAGCATTTAATTGGCGCCTCCAATGTACACAGACAAGCAGCCGCAAAAGTCTGATAGGGCTGATTTGCCATGAAATGGTGGTTCCTTATGAGTCGAGGATTTATTTGTTTTTAAAGGCTGCTGGAGCGAGAGGATGTGAATTAAATAACCAGGAAAATCTCTGCAAAGTAGGAAGCGTCCCCCTCCACCCCACCCAACGCCACGGCCGCCGCAATCGCCACCCCCAAGGGGGGGGGGAGATATCTGGGCACCTCGAAAGCATCACCACCAACGCAGGGGCCTCTCCAATGGATCAAAGCAACTCTCCTGCCTCCTCCATAGCAACCCAGTCCCCGAAAGGTACCCAGCCGGCACCACAAACCAGGCCTTATTCGTGTCCCCCCCCCGCACTCCCCGCTTCCTGACAGAAGCTCGTATCGTCGGCGTTCTCCTTTTAAACTTACGTGAAGACGAAGAACAAAGTAGTAGATCCCACTAATAAGGCTGCTGCTGTGGAGACCGGGATGTATTTCGTAGGTTTAAATCTCTTTCCAATGCTACTGGGCATCCTGTAAGTTACACATCACTAGGTATAAAATCCCAAAGAGTCCGAGAGGCACCAGCGAGTGGCCAGAGAAGAGAGGGAGAGGGAGAGGGGGTCGGGGGGAGAGAAAGAGAGAGAGACACACGAGAGAGAGAGAAAGAGAGAGAGAGCGAGGTGAAGCCCTGGCAATGCGGAGACGAGGCAGGGGAGGGGGGAAAGGGGGTAGGGAGGAAGAAAAAAAAAGAGGGAATGAGACAGAAAAGAGGGGGAGGGAGTGAGAGAAAAAGAGGGATTGGGAACAGCTGACCTCTCCAGCACAGGAAATCCCACCCACACAACAGGCCTGCCCACTCGGCTGATGTCAACGAGCCCCTTAAGGTAGAACTGCGGAGAGCGCAATTGGAGAGGGAGGACGCGCGCCCGCCAGCGCGCAGGGGAAGAGGCGTTAAAGGGGCCAGGAAAGCGCCGCCGCCGACGGCAGTCCCTCGCCTCCCTGCCCTCTAAGGAGCTGCATTTGGTCCCTAGCTACCTGGCGGGGCTTTAAGGCCTCTTCTCCCGCCACGGAGGTTCCCTCCCGCCAGCTTAAAAAAATAAATGGAGAGATTTTCAGGCTTGCGATAACAGAGCAGCGCGCTTCCAAGCTGGCGGCGTCTCCTGCGTGCGCGCAGCATCATCGCGCCTGGAGAGCCCGCCGCGAAAAATGGACCCCGCTAGGAAGGGCGTGCAAGAGATGCCTCCTTTAAAATGTGTTTATTTTTTTAGTGGAGGGGGTGATCTTCAAGTTTTGGAGGTCACCTTGTAATGCAGAAGTTGTTCGGATCGGGGCTTCGGCTGCGCCAGGGGTTTTTCCTTCCTAGGAATAATAACCTCCAGTTTGTTTATGGCGTTGAGGTTCCGCCCCAGAGCAGCCTAGTGTTGGGTCAAGCCAAAGGCCTATCATCCTGCTGTCACAGGTGCCCCTCCGATGCTTCCTGGAAGCTCACAAGCAAGACCTGAGGACAACAGTCTCTCCATCCTTGCAGTTCCCAACAACTGGTATATACTGCCTCCTACGGTGGAGGTAGAACATAGCCTGTCTATGAGGCAGCTGCCTCAGGTGGCAGAATCTACCAGGTGGCAGCTTCTGGGTATCAGTAAGATCTTGCAGGGCTCTTGCAAGATCTTGCTGGAAGCCGCCACTTCTCTGGTGCAACTGTGGCTGCCTCCGCCCCTGAAACGAGGAGAAGTGGCTGCAGTGGTAGCTTCCAGGTTCTGGTGAGATATTGCCTAATGCTGCCCTGCGAATCATGATGTGTGTTTGTGTTATGCAAAAATCACAATGTGGGGAAAACCCCTTGAAGTCAGAGACGCTTCTCACTTCCAGCAGCCCGTTAACTCTGCCGGCAAAAATCACAATGCGGAGAAAACCGTGAAGCCAGCCAATGCCTTTACGTAGCTCCATCCTTATTTCAGATATCGTGATATATCAGTATATTGCAATGTTAAGCTGGTGATATGTCACAATGTTGAGAACAAGGTATCGCCCAGCCCTACGGATAACTTTGTCCTCCATGAATTTGCCTAATTTGGTCTCGGGCCCTAAGGAAGTTAGATTAGCTTCAACCAGAGCCAGGGCCTTTTCAACACTGGCTCTGGCCTGGTGGAACGCTCTGTCTCATGAGACCAGGGCCCTGCAGGATCTGATTTCTTTCCACAGGGCCTGTAAAACAGAGTTGTTCCGCCTGGCCTTTGGCTTGGAGCCAGTTTGATTCCCTCCCCCTCTTTCTTTTTTCTTTTTCCTTTCTCCTCCTGTGATGAGGCTGCATTTTAATATTTTAATGTTTCAGTATTTTAATGTTGTATTTTAATCTTGTTTTTAAGTTGTACTCATTCAACTTGTTTTAATTATTGCTTGTTAGCCGCCCTGAGCCCGGCCTTGGCTGGGGAGGGCGGGGTATATAAAAAATATATTATTATTATAAATCCTCTTTCAAGGCCATCCAAGTTGGTAACCATCATTGCCTGCTTGAAGAGCGGGTTCCGTAGTTTAACTATGTGCTGTCCCTTCGTTTTGTCTCTCCTCCATCTTCCAACATTCAGCTTCATTGCATGGCCTTAGGTTCTGTTATTGTGAGATTTGCAGAACTCGTTCAGCAAAAGTCACACTGCACATCGTCTTTTGCTTGGCGGTGAGCAGCTGCAGCAGCTTCCTGGTCATATGGCTTGATCAGTATATGTACCGATTTACTGACTGACTCCGTCATACTGAACTATATGGTGGTATATACAAAACAAACCTGCCTTTTTAGGTGGCTGCACACAGTGGTGGTTGGTAGATTCAGTGGTAAGTGGAACCGGAGCTAACTGAGCCAACTAACTCTAGCTTCCCCTCCACCCTGCTTTCTGATGAGTACTGGAGAGCAACACTGGAGGTAATTGACTGCCAGTTCCTCCCCCTAGGTTGGTTTTAAGTTAGAAGGCAGGCAAGGAGACAGGTGCTACCAAAGGGGAGACTGAGGTTGGTGGGGCAGCTCCAGATTTGCCCTAAGGGATTAGCCTCCACTGGCTGTACACTCTTAGGATACTGCTTCCAGACTGAGCTTCTTATCTCCTGTATAAGTGGAAAAAACAAACATATGACAGCACACACCAATGTTCGTGGATCTCTTCCCAGCTCCAGCCAAGGGTGTTGTTAGGGACTGACCCAGGAAATCTAAGCCCTGGGGCTTTGGAGCTGTGCCCTGGAACTTCTATCCGATTCTCCTACTTCTAAAAAAAACCCTTTTTGGCTGGTACTATCCAAAGTAATGCTAAAGTAAGAGCCATTTAGTGATATACTTATCCTACCAGAGGTGGTTTTAGGATAGCCCAGAAGGGGGCACCACAACATTGTAGCAAGAAAGGCTGGGGGTGCCAAAATTTAGTGGTGTCCAGGGTGCCACTGAAATTTGAGCTAGTGAACAGAGTACAGTCCCCCTTCCTTTTTAATTTTTACTTTGCTTACAGGGCAGCTGAGCACACTGCAAATGTGATATCTGGTAGCAGATATGACTAACTTTGATCAATTAATTTAAATGGGTCTATGAGTCTAACCCATCATCTATCTAGCCTGTGCTTTTTTTATAGCTGCTATAAAGGCGGAGACACACCTTTGTGGAAGATGGATCCGATCCACCAGTCGAGTGGAGATTCTTTGGATGTGCATAGCACCTGCACTGTGGACCTGAAAGGCTGTAACGTTGTGATGCCTAACGTGTTTTTCATTCCAGGTCAAGAAGCCCAGCTGATGCTGCGTGGCTGTTCTGTTTATGGCAACAAACAGAGTGAGACCATCCAGAGGCACAAAAGCGACATTATAAATGGCTTGTTCTTACTATGTTGTGATGTTAACATAGGGGATGGTGGGAAGGTTGGAGAGACAAGTGATGCTATGTCTGATAACCAGTCTTTCCATGCAGGATGTGTGCATGGGTCTTCCAGATTGCTGATGTCTGACATGAAGATGGTCAGGTGTACCAGTGCTCAGGACAAAGCAAAAGGGGGAGGCAATTTGGGTATCATGCAAAGGCACCCTATTAGTGATGATGACAGAGACAAGGTGAACCCAGAAAAAGCCAAGATGCCAATGATTGGATCTGACATGTGGGTTCCAAAGTCACAGAGCGATACGCTCAGCAAACATAGTTTGCAAGGCCATTCCCTGGGTTCAGACAGAGTTTCTGATGGGAACTGTGACAAGATAAACCTGGAAAAAGCCAGGATGCCAATGGATGGGTCTGACATGTGGGTTGAGATGTCACGAGGCAGGGAGCATAGATTCTTCCTGGTGCAAGGCTTGTACGGAGTACTAAGGCCTAATAAAGGTAAAGGTAAAGGGACCCCTGACTCTTAGGTCCAGTCGTGACCGACTCTGGGGTTGCGGCGCTCATCTCGCTTTCTTGGCCGAGGGAGCCAGTGTACAATTTCTGGGTCATGTGGCCAGCAGGACTAAGCCGCTTCTGGCAAACCAGAGCAGCGCACGGAAACCGTTTACCTTCCCGCCGGAGTGGTCCCTATTTATCTACTTGCACTTTGACGTGCTTTTGAACTGCTAGGTTGGCAGGAGCAGGGACCGAGCAACGGGAGCTCACCCCGTCACGGGGATTCGAACCACCGACCTTCTGATTGGCAAGTCCTAGGCTCTGTGATTTAACCCACGGTGCCACCCGCGTCCCTAAGGCCTAATACCGAGATGATTTTACTCACTAGGGATGTTGAGTGCAATGCAGAATGTGAGGAAAATCAGGGTATTTTCCTAGGCTACCCCATTGCTGAAGACTTAGATACTAAATCTGTTACTGTTATAAACAGCAGGTGCACTGAGGTGCGTTCCACTGATACAGTGGAGGAGATGCGTCAGGTGCGCAGATCAGGAGGAGCTACACAGGGTGAAATGCTCACCAGGTATGCTCAGGAATTTGCTAACACACCTGTTGCAGATTTAGCTGTGGTTAGTGGCTCGACACAGGTCTTGGAACCCGGAGTCTTGAAAGGGGTACAGGGTTTGTCCTCAAAGGACGGGAAACCATGCCCAAAGGCTGTAAGGGTAGACACTGTTTCCTTGGAGAAGGAAGCTGGATCACGTCCAAAGGCTGTGTGTGCCAACACTGATTCCTTAGAGAGGAACAGGGCTAGGGTTCGAGCCCCAACAAAGCCAGGTGTGAGACTTCCTGATAGTCAGAAGGGTTATGACGCCAAGACTAGTCAGAAGTGCAAGATGGTAAGGCCTAAGGCCAATCCAGCTGCAGGTAGTTCCAAGGGTGGAACGAGTGACACAGGGGTATACTGTGTGTATGACATCTGTATGGTGGTTGCGGTTATAATGTTGACTGCAACACAAATCATAAATCAGGGGAGGATGTTAGAATTCCTGCTCTGTGATTGCAGTCATGGGATTGTTGTCTTATCACATGACAGTGTATGTTTTGACTCGATAGTTCTATGATTCTAGATGTTGGGGCCCCCATCAGTTCCCCATCACTTGCTACATTTTTAAAAAAAGACGAGAGGATGCCAGCGACTGACTCGGGGACTCTCTCTTGCAAAGCAAGTACTGTGAAGCAAGCTTATTGACCCTTTCCACTGCCAAGTCACATTGATCCCTGAACACTTTTGCATGACCAAAGGAAGGAAAGGGAAGCTGTTGCCTTCCAGATTTTGTTGCTGAGTCCCAACTCCCAAGATCTCTGACCCCTGGTCACACTGGCTAAAGTGGATGAGAAGTACCAGCAGCACCCGGAAAGTCACAGGCTTCTCATCCCTTGACCCAAAGGGTATTTTTCAGCCCCCAAAAGCTGCAGAAAACTTTTCAAAAGGTATTACAGTTAAGAAAGGAAAGGGAAAACGTGCGGACTATTTGAAAAACTATTGTAAGTAACTTTAAACTTTACTACGATTAAAATAGAACGAGCAGTTAAGAGACAAAGGAATGGGGAATTTTAAAGGGAAGAAAAGGGAATAATTAGAATATGCAGTAGCAAGTATTAAACATAAGAAACCACCGGGGGGGGGGGTTGACTCAATGGGTTGGTTTTATTGAATTTGTATTATTGTTGTAAAATTGAAAAATGACATTTTAAAATATTCCGTTTAATTATCCCAATCTTTAAGGATGAATGTGACCTTGTTTTCTAAAAGGCCAGGCAATTCACATCTGATAATTAAAGTTTCAAAGCAATTATCTCACCTGCACAAAATGAGTGTTGGGCAAGGTCCACTTTCTGCAGCATAAAAAGAGAGCATTTACAGCTTAATTACTGCTGCAGCCCTCAATGCTTATTTAATTATGAATCAATGTTCTTGAAACATTTTATATTCATTTCCCTGGTGCCATTTAGGTTTTTTCTTCTTAAGTCAGTACTATTCAAAGCGCTCAAGTCACGTAACAAGTCCTGGCCCAACTGCACTGGGCAATTAGTTTCCTGGCCAAATTCAATGTGATGGTTTTCACCTTTAAAACCTTATGTGTCTCAGGGCCCCAATATCTCACGGACCACCTCTCCTTAGTTGAACTGACCCAGACCCAAGGCCCTTCTGTGTGTTCCCTCCTTGGGGGGGGCCCAGAGGGTGGCAACACGAGAACACTCATTTTCAGGGGTGACTCCCCGCTTGTGGAAAGCTCTCCCCTGATGACATAGCTTTAGGTGCCAGGCAAATTTTTTATTTTGCAAATGCTTTAGCTACAGTGGTACCTTGGTTTAAGAACAGCTTAGTTTATGAACAACTTGGATTAAGAATGCTGCAAACCTGGAAGTAGGTGTTTTGCTTTGTGAACTTTGCCTTGGAAGCAGAACATGTTCCGCTTCCTGTTGAGTGTAAATTGAGTGCCCCGCTGCTATGGGAAAGCACACCTTGGTTTAAGAATGGACTTCTGGAACGGATCAAGTTCGTAAACCAAGGTACCACTGTATTCTGGACTCAAAAGCGGGGGAATGTTTTGATTTCTTTTTCTTTTATGTCAGTTTTAATGCATTTGTTTGTTTATATATGCTAAATTGCCGAGTAACCTTTTTAAAAATCTTTTTACAAAATAGTAATATTCCCATTCAGACTTTTGTTCAAGGAATTAGGCAGTTCTGCAGACATTTCCCAAGGCAGTGTAAATTAGTGTTAGGAGCCTTGCTATCAACATACGCTTCCCAGAAGTTCACATAGCACCTCTATAAAGATATCCTTTTACACAATAACACAATTCAACCTAGAAAGAGTTCATAGCTTAAAATGGCAGCAACCAGACTCCAATTCACCTCCCAATTTTAAAAAGAGAGAATTAAATTATAACACCTCACTTTAGTATATTTATTATGTATAGAGAAGTTGAAATATTGTTTATAAAGTTCTGCTGTATGGCTTCGGTTCATTTTTGAAACATTCTCTTCCATAAAAGCATAACACGGGAGTATGAACAGACAATGTACCCCCCCCCCCCCAAAAATCCAGTCTTGGTTCAACATTTGAAACCTCCAGATTTTACACTGGAGGCTTACAAAACTCTTCCTTCTGCGTAGTAAGTTAACACAGTAACACACACAAGCACACCTTCCTTCCTCTCTGCTATAAAAAAACAAAAATGTGAAATACGTTTAGCATCCAAAAGGCGCTCCAACCTCAACATGTTTTATGATCAGCAAATGTACCATATAAAAATCATGTCACCTGAATGTTGTAAACAGTTGTAAACAATCACAGGTACAAGTCAGAGGATGGGAAGAAGTATACAAATGTGTCATGAGACAACATATTTGAAGGAAGGCTTGGTTGCAGCAAAGAGGCACCCTTAGCATTGAAAAGGTCACACGATATGGCTTGTTGCCATTTTCTGCTTCTGTAACATCAATGTATATCTGATGTTATAAGAACTATAAAAAAAAAGCAAGAATGATGATTACAGTTAAATTTATTTTGAAGTTAGTCTGGTGAGCAAAATTTCTCCCTTTGACAAGATAAATCAGAATCCACCTATGGTGACTTTTACAGATGGGAGGATCTGAAGAGCAATAGACAATGCCCTTTTAACCTTCAAATGCATTACTATCATATATACTGGCAAGAGTCCTTAATAAGGGATTTGTTGAGGTATTTCTGCAGGTCTTATTCCCACCCCCACATAGAAAAGTCCGAAGAAATTCTAGCAGTCTTGACAGACTCAGCCATAAGAATCAAACATGACAAGGGCAAAATGCTACGCAGCTAACAGTATGCACAAAGAAGGGGGGGGGGGAATAATCATAGAATTGAAATCCAGAACAATTATTGGAAACAGAAAATCCAGGAAATGTTTATAATTCTAGGTAAAGACAAGAGGACACATTCTAAATCCATTATATTAAGTGAAAGATTCCGCCACCCAGTTTCACGTGAAAAGGCTTGTGTTTGAAGTGGTGTGCATACCATTACGAATAGGAAAAGCAACGTTTCACATCTACACACATGCACACTCAATATACAGTTGATGTGTACATGGGAGGCTCAGACCTTTAAAGACTGCATCAGTTATTCTCACCTCTCAAGTACGTTAAACAATCTATGTGTTTTGAGGAGACCCACACAGTTAACAGAAGTGGGACAGTATAAATGTATAAAAAATGGACTTGGACTGAGACAAGCCCCAATCCAGACACACACACTTGTGCAACAAAGACCTGGATACAGGAATATCATTGGCATTGTCAGCAATCATTGCCTATTTTGCAGTAGAAGTGTAAACTTGTGTGCCAAATGCAGTCAGTCACAAACACTCTTGGCTGTTCCTACGTAGAGATCAAAAAGGACTTCCATGTGGAAATAAGCTTCCACATAATACTATCCTTGCAGCAAATCCTGCAAGATAACCAATTTTTATTATCAGTGGCAGAACAAGTGATAGAACATCTTAGTTTAGGTACATGGCACTGAAGTTTAACGTTAAATCTGCCCGAGGTTCTATCCCTATGAGTGATGTGGAGTCATTAAATGTTGATGCTTTGCCCCAAGGATGCTAAGAAATATTCAACTTTCCCACAGCCTGAAGCCCCATTAAGTCAATTCCCCCACCTGCAAAAAGCACTAGGGTATGCTATCATTAAGACAGCAACAAAGAACAGGATAATCTTAATACTTGTGTTAAATGGATAGCTTAAACTGAAGATTTAAAGAGATCATAGTGAGCTGGGCTTCGTGTCCCATCTATTCCACAAACTGCTTGTGATTATAAAGTTTTCCAGACAGCACATTCTTGTTCTGCATGGAGAAATATTTGAAATATAGTAAGGTCTTAAGCTTCATTGTTGCCAACCAGCATCACTTTCAGCCATGGCAAATTCAGAAGGCATGTTCTGCCATGCTCGGTCAAGTACAAAGGACCATTAGAAACCATAAGTATGCTGAAATCCATTGGAGGATCATGACATTATATTCTAAGGGGTACGCCATTTTCCGTAACAAAGTTTCACGAAACACGTACGTTCACTCAAACCCCACTTACAAGGAAAATATAGAGTATCTTGTTTCATTCATTAACAGCTTTCAGTCACAGTATATGAGAAACATCTTTATTACCTGCACTTTTTCTACTGGTATAATTCAGTTATACTACATCTCATCTAAAGATATGCACTGAAAAATATAACCCAAGGTAATAATTGCAGCCACACATCTGAAGCATACAGAAAATTCAGTTCTGTCCTTTGACACCATTTTCAAACTTTTATTCACTCTCTTGGATGACTATAAATAAGTGTTTCCACTATGGAAAAGAAAGTTTAGCACAGTACATTTTCATGACTGGGGAATGGATTTTTTCTGAAGATCTCTTCAAAAAGGGCAAAAAGTTAGAAAAAAAAGTGAATGTTGTAATACAGTTCTTTATAAAGTCCCTTGTAAAAATTAAAAAATTAAGAAAAAAATAAAACACAAGGCCCAAGATGATTTATTGCTTTTCTTCAGTTTTCTCCTTGACTTCTTTCTCCGATTCTTTGATCTCCTCCTTTACAGAAAGTTCTTCTAGTTTCTCGGCAACTTTATCAGCACTATCATTTTTTTCTGTTCCTGCTAAAAAATGTTTAAAGATATTATTAGACAGTGCAGTAGGTAATATGGAAACATGTCAAAAAGATCTGAGAGAACAATATAGTATTTTGTATGGTGTAATAATGCAAGACACTCAGTGTGGCGAATGCTGTGATTTGAACAACAGATAAGCCAGATTCAAAGCTCCACTTAATGGGACAGCCTTGGGAAAGCTGTTATATTTCTGCTCAGCTTACCCGAGAGGGATACTGTTGCAACATGCAATAACCCACCCTATGTGTACTGTCCCAAGTTCTTTGGAGGAAGCAGGGTAATTTGGTTAGGATAAAAGACACGCAACTACAGGCCCAGGAGGGAAGAATGAAAAGGCATTGGTTGGTTCCTGACTTTCCAATTTCTCACAGGCAGGTCCCTTTGGCACTCAGATCATAAGCAGCGGAGTTTTAAAAAAAGATACAGTGGTGCCTCTGGATGCGAACGGGATCCGTTCCGGAGCCCCGTTCACATCCTGAAGTGAACGTAACACGTGACTGCACGTCGCGTTTCGCCGCTTCCGCGCATGGCATCATTTTGAGCATCTGCGCATGCGGCGAAACCCAGAAGTAACGCGCTCTGTTACTTCTGGGTCGCCGCGGAGCGCAACCCGAAAATATTCATCCCGAAGCTACTTCAACCCAAGGTTACATTATTTGAAAAGTAGAAGCTCTCTATCGCAACATGTCTATGTTTTTATGCCTTCAGGATAATCTGCAGGAAAAAGTAATGCTTCATAGTTTGAAAAACCATTAACTCAAAGGGGGAGGGGAGAATCTCCCCTCCTTACCCGAAGATTTTGAATTGCTAACCATTAATACAATTTTAATTACAAAGCAACTAGCTATTCCACTGTAACAAAGTGCTGCAAGAAAGAAATAATTTTGGAATGTCCTGATATAGATATATATATATATATATATATATATATATATATATATATATATATATATGTATATATATATATGTATATATATATATGAGAATTTGTATCCATGCAGAGCTATGACGCAGCTATATGAAAACCAGACACTTCAGTGAGAATAACACTTCACGTCCTGATGAGTACATAAAAAGTCAATTGAATACTAAGAGTCTCTCTTAAAAAATCCCAACGTCAAGATTTTTAAAACTGGTAACATTTCTATACCTCAAATTCATCAGTAATAATGAAGCACCTGGAATCATAGGATTGTGGATTGGAAAGGACAAAAAGGGTCATCTGTACCAAGATCAATTGAAACGAACTTCCACAAGTAGGGAAAGTGTCCACAACATCCTGGATTACTCTAGCAGGCCTAAAAAGCACCGTGACTGAATATTGCAGTCAGGCACAGAGTGAGCCTGCTATTAAGCATAAAAATGAAGATTGCTTACCTGTTAATCATGGCCCTGAACACTTGATGTAAGAGCCCTGCGCAATCAGACCAAAGGTCTATCTAGTCTAGCATCCTGTTAGGCCAACCAGATACTTATGAGAGGCTCACAAGCAGGACACAAATGCAACAACACTCCTGTGTAACTCCACCATTATGACTAACAGCCATTGAGAGCATCCTCTATGATTGCCTGACCCTCTTCTAAAGGCATCCGAGATGGTGGTGATTATCACATATTGTGGTAATAAATTCCGTACCTATACAGTGGCACCTTGGTTTACGAATTTAATCCGTTCCAGAAGTCCGTTCTTCAACTAAGGCGTGCTTTCCCATAGCAGCGGGGGACTCAATTTAGACTTAGCAGGAAGTGAAACATGTTCTGCTTCCAAGGCAAAGTTCACAAACCAAAACACCTACTTCTGGGTTTGCAGCATTCTTAATCCAAGTTGTCCATAAACTAAGCTCTTCTTAAACCAAGGTACCACAGTATGTGTTTTGTGAAGTACCGTATTTTTCGCTCTATAACACGCACCCGACCATAACACGCACGTAGTTTTTAGAGGAGGGAAATCCGTAGGCATGTCACCCGTAGGCATTCCCTCCATAACACGCACAGACATTTCCCCTTACTTTTTAGGAGGAAAAAAGTGAGTGTTATGGTGCAAAAAACACGGTACTTCTTTTTGTCTATCCCGAATCTCCATCTGCGTTCTTAAGAGGAAGTCACAAAAATTCAACTTATCCCTGATTGTGGATACTGAGCTACTTATTGGTTATCTGCCATCAGGCTGCAATCACTCATATCACAACTTCATTTCCTTATCAGCTGCTTGCAGGGCAGAGACATCCAAAAAGATGACAGAGAGTAATCCTGTCAATTGTGGCTGAGAGTTCCCTGGTCATAAGAACACCATGTTTGATAGTGAACGTCCAGTTTGACTAGTGAGTGATGCGCAAGGAACTGAGATCAAGCACTGAAAACTCATTCTTTAGAAGAGTATAGTAAGCCCCACTTGTATCAAACGGAGGAAACAGTAAGTACAGTTGTACCTTGGTTGTCAAACGTAATCCGTTCCGGAAGTCCATTCAACTTCTGAAAACATTTGCAAACCAAGGTGTGGCTTCAGATTGGCTGCACTCAACCGGAAGCTGCGTCAGACCTTTGGCTTCCAAAAACATTTGAAAACCACAACACTTACTTCCAGGTTTACGGCATTCGGGAGCCAAAATGTACAAGTACCAAGGCTTTCAGGAACCACGGTATGACTGTAACTGAGAAGAGATTCCTTTGCTTCCCCTCTTACGTCAGAAACAGAAACAAGGCACAAACACTGAGGGCCATTTGAAAAGCAGAAATCATGTACAGGCAAGCCAAGAGCATCAGAGCACGATGGAATTCCCCTAAGACAAAGGATGCTGTACAAGTCTTGCACTTCACATGTAACATGCCATGCCAAGGTTATCATATGAAAGACCTGTGATCCCTGGATGATCTCAGTGTGACGTGGATGGCTGATGGCTTTAGCACAACTCAAAAAATACCACTAGCTTGTCAGAAAAGCTTATAGGATGCTGGAAATGGGAACTGCTTCAAACATACAGGTCCCCATTGTCTCTTTCAGCTACTGTAGCTAGGGATGTAATTTGCTATGTCTCTGTTTTTAACGCGAAAAGCTATTATCCAGCCTAGGGGTGGTGAAACTACTGGTTGAGAAACTTATTTTTTTGAAATACTCTGAACGTAGAAGTCACTGTTTTTAAGAAACCTCAGGCTTTGAGCTGTGCTTAAATTTCAATAAATTTGTTATGTACTAGAATAATTACATGCCTGGCCAAGGGAAAAGGTGCTATCTAGAACACATTCCTTAATTATATAGAATTATAGAATGCATTAGTTGGTCATCCTTTTTCTGGCTTATATATTTAGGAAATGTTTTGTATTTTTCTACTTTTATGCAATCATATAATTCAGTTGGAAGGGATCCAAAGTGCCATCTGCGCCAATCCCCTGCGATGCAGGAATCTCAACAAGATCATACATAACAGAAGGCCATCAAGCCTCTGCTAAAACAACCTCCAAGGAAGAAGAGTCCATCAACTCTCATTGGAGTCTGTTCCACTTTCAAATAGCTCTTATTGTCAGAATTTTCTTCTTTTGTTTAATTGGAATTTCCTCTTGTAACTTGAATCCATTGGTTCGGATCCTAGCCTCTGGAGCAGGAGAAAACAAGCTTGTTCCCTCTTCCATGTGACATCCCTTTAGATATCTGAAGATGGCAATCATAACTCCTCTCAGTCTCCTCTTTTCAAAGCTAAAAATACCCAATTCTCTCAACCATTTCTCATAAGACTTGGTTTCCAGACTCCTGGTCATCTTGGTTGCCCTCCTCTGCTTGTCAATAACCTTATTAAATTGTGGTGCCCAGAACTGGACTTGGTACTCCAGATGTGTTCTAACCAAGGCAAGACCAACAGAACAGGATGAATACTTCCTTTGATCAGGACACTATACTTGCCTTGGGAGATTTGAATTCATTTAAAGTAACTAGGTGTTCCTATGCCACCTCTTTTCCTATCGTGGGCTGCAGCTCCCTCCTTGCAACATTTATTATTCTGTTATCACCAGGCTGGGCACTGCTTTTCTTTTGGGCGAAGACAGAGGCAAAGTAGGTGTTCAGCAGTTCTGCCTTCTCTGTCACCCAATAAAATTTCTCAGTCTTTTCCATGCAGAGGACCCACTACTTGCTTGTTGTTGTTCTTCTTGCTTTGAAACATAGCCAAATAAACTTACTTTATTATTTTTAACCTCTCTTGCAAACCTGAGCTTTGCCCCACCTGACCTTCTCCCTGCAACTGTTGGCTACTCTCCTTTGTGATTTCCCCTTTCTTCCATTTCTTATATATGTCCTTCTTAAATCTCAGCTCATCAGTAAGCACCTTATGCAGCTACATTAGTTTCTTTAGAAGTTTCCCACTTTTCTTGTTGGAATGGTCTGCCTCTCTATCTTCAATATTCCACTTTTTTTAAAACTCTCATTCTTCTTGGACTCCCTTCTCTTTGAGTATTTCTTCTCTTTGAGTATTCCTTAAGCTTTTTGAGATCAGCCTTCTTAAAGTCCAGAGCACATGTCTGACTACACTCAGATTTCTCTTGCCTCTGTATCATTTGTCGATCACTTCCTGGTAAGTACCAGGGCCAAGAGAGATGATCCTCTTGTTGCTTCTTCCACCTTCTTGCCGTTTCCTGCCCTTCAGCAGGTTTCTGGAGCAACACCTCCATCTCCTGTGCATAAGTGAAGCTGTTATCCTCAGTACCAGGTGTCTCCTTGTAGTCTGCAATGTCCTCTCCCTCTTTCTCAGGGTTTAATTTAAAGCTTTCCTGATCAGGTTGATAAGACTCTTAGCAAAAGCACTCTCGCCAACTGCCATGAGGTACAACCCATCTCTTGCCAGACATCCTTCCTCAAAGAAGCAGAGAACATGGTCCAAGAAGCTACACCTTTCCTGACATCACCTGTGCCACCAGTACTTTACTTCCAGGATTTTCCTCTTCCTGTGGCCCAATCTTCAACAGGAAAGAGTGATGAAAATACCACCTGTGCCCCAAGGCCCTTCAGCTTCCTGCCCAGAGTGTCAACGTCCCTTGCTATTATGCTGAAGACTACATCTAGCAGTATCATTTGTACCCATGAATCAGAAGGGGTTGTCATCGTCAGTGGGCTTTATAAAACTTGGCAACCTGTCTGTCACATAGTGAATTGTTGCACCTGAAGACAGTTCACCACCCAACACATCCTGTTAAACCTGCACACTGCTGCCTCTGTCCCCCTCAGCAGGGAGTCGCCTACCACCAACACACTTCTCTTCCACCTCTGGGGAGTGACAGGAATTGTTCTGCACACTGCACCTTCCATAATCACTTCTATGTATTCTGAGGTCTGCAACTACTGTACTTGCTCCTCTAGCCCAGAATTGGTGTCCAAGTTGAGGGCATGGAATTGATTTTGCAGCTCCAGTGTCAAAGCATGGTTCCTGACAGTACTGCTTCTGTGTGTCATGTTCCTCCAGGCATTCGTTTCCTGCAATGGGCAATCTTCCTCCTTCCTAGGGGCACCCCACCTGTGTTGCTGTTCCAAGAGAGTCCACTCTGCTCTAATGAGAAATTCCTCACCTTGCCCAGTAGCTTGAAGTGTGGCTAGGCGGGTCTCAAGTTGCTCTATCTTCTCTTTCAGCAAGGGAATCCGCTTGCACCCCTTGCAGGTGTAGTTTTCCACATTCTCAGGCATGAAGACAGACATGGCACAGGTGTTGCAGGTCACTTTAGTAGCTCCCTCGCTGTCCATGTCTCTTGGTCCTATGTACACTATAGCAAGTTAATTTTCTTACATACAGGTGTTAACAGAAAATTCTTTAGCAGTCACTGGCTTTGTTACATGCAACAATAAGTGAATAACCTTGGCTTAATAAATCATACTGTGTACACGATGTGTGCTGGTGCACAGTTCTGCTCCCACTTCATTCCTCCCCTGACATGAACAGTTTAACAAACTAGAAAAGGAATAATTTAGAACTGTGTCCAAACCAGGCTTGTGGTTTGTTTCTCCTTATGAAAATCTTGTCAGTTCTCAGCAATTTATAAAGGTAAATGTAAAGTGACCCCTGATCATTAGGTCCAGTCGTGGCCGACTCTGGAGTTGCGGCACTCATCTCGCTTTATTGGCCAAGGGAGCCGGCATACAGCTTCCGGGCAATGTGACCAGCATGACTAAGCCGCTTCTGGCGAACCAGAGCAGCACACGGAAACGCCGTTTACCTTCCCGCTGGAGTGGTCTCTATTTATCTACTTGCACTTTGACATGCTTTCGAACTGCTAGGTGGGCAGGAGCAGGATCCGAGCAACGGGCACTCACCCCGTCGCAGGGATTCGAACCGCCGACCTTCTGATCAGCAAGTCCTAGGCTCTGTGGTTTAACCCACAGCGCCACCCACGTCCCACAGCGATTTATACTGGCTGCTAATTGGTTTCTGGGTTCAATTCAAGCCTGAAAAACCTTAATGACTTGGGACCTGGGTATCTTAGGAACCACCTTCTTTCATGTGTCCCTTCTCACACACACCAATATCATCTAGAGCCTGGGGGACAAGACTGGTGTCTGCCAGTAGTAGGGCTTGATTTGTTTAACCATGCATGTGAAACAGATTAAGGTTGAACGCACTAGCACAGAGCTCATACAAGTACAATGTATTAAGTCCAGGCTCTTTGCTTGTTGTGAACACAGTCAATATGGCAAATGTGTTAGTCATCGCTGGATATGTAAACAATGTGTGCTGGACTTCTTATGCAAAGACCATGTATCATGCTTATATTTCCAATTGTTCTCCAAGATTACATACTGTTTCTTGCAACTGCCATAATTTTAGTACCTTACCTGAAAGCCAGATTGTCTATCCTCAAAACAGCATATAAGAGAGTGCTAACAATGCACAATTTGCTTCTCTCTTTAGCAATAAATTGATTTGAATAAAGTTAACTAAACTTTATTTTGTAGAATCAACTGCCTGCCTACTGTTTCATAAGGAGGATTTCTTAAGTGTCTGAAAGTCAGTTGCTCTGACATGCAAAAACGAGATAGCGTGTCACTTTCTTACATTGCTAAACTGTGGGGTATGATCAAGAAATTCTAAAATTAGGTAAACAGCAAGACGAGACAGTAACGCTGAAAGGTTCAGAGATGCATGTTGCTGAAGATTATGGAAAAAGGAAAGACCACCTCAGTGCAAGCCTCTTTAACTCTTACATTTCTGCTTAAGTAAATGAGGATCTAAAAGAGGGTCTAAAACTTGGCATATAGTACATATATAAAATGCCAGTTATTCTGATAGTTCAGGGGCTTTTGCAGAATTGTTTGCAGTCTCCTGACTGAAGTATTCTTTCATCAGAAGAAAAAAAAATCTTACCTTTCTTTCCCTTGTCAACCTCATTTCTACATTCTTCAAATTTTGCCTTGAATTTCTGTGCATCTGTTTTAAGGAAACAAAGTATCATAAAATATGCTGCAATGGATCTGGACACAACTTAAAGTTAGTAACATTTTTTTCTCTGGTACCTCAGATTGCATGAACACTCATCCTCTTTGTATCAAGACCAGAGCTTTCCAAACTTTTGATGTTGGCAAGACACTTTTTAGATATGCATCATTTTGGGACACAGTAATTCAGTTTTACTAGCAAACCAGAGGTTAAACTAACCCATTTCCTGCCCCAGGAGGAGCATGGAGAATGTTTGTGTGACACACCTACATACTGCAGCTGACACACTAACGTATCGAGACAGTTTGGAAAGCTCTGGTCTTGACAATACCTACTATCTAGTGAAGCCACATGTACATATGCAGTCTACAGAGTATCTGAGTTTCTAGAACTGTTTATACATTTCAGTGTAAAATGCACTCTTTGACGTTTTGCTGGACAAGTAGGTGCAGTGGAGATTTGTATCGTAAGACCTACTGATTAACTAGATCTTAGAGTTCATGTACTAGCATCACTGCCAGATTTTTCTTTAATAGAGTTAATATTAGCAAAAAGGATTTCTGATAAAGATAGCATATCAATACTTTCATAACTATCATACAATGGAAGTTGTCAGGTGGTTTACCGTTACACTACAATATATTAGCAAAAATGACCACTTGAGGTCACTGTTGCTCAATGCTAGATAATGAAAAATGTCATTCATCAAAAAAGGCATTTTTATTCCATAGGCCGGAAAAGAAACAAAGGCCTGTGTCTGATTTGCTTCTCCCCATCCCCAACTTCAAGTCCGTAAAGCCAATTTCACACTATGCACAGAAAGTAAGGTTGTGCTCCATTTCCCTGGGTTTACTGAATGGCCTACATGCAACAGCTAACTATGTTCCTCACTGGCACACCACAAGAAGGAATCAACACAGAACCTGAAGGTTGCTATGGTAGTAAGTCAATACTTTTTATAGAAATAACAGCTAGGCCAGGACACGAGAGCAGAACACAGTAACCTTTGCTTCCACTTGTTAAGAGGCAAGGATTTAAGGACCTCTAAAATCCTATCAATCCAAAAAGTAAATCCAGTATACTTAATTTGCTTGCCCACAATTTGCATGTGACCTATAATTTTTTTTTGAAATAGCCCAGACTGCCTACTTTATAGAAGTCATGAAACATGCTCTTTAGGCCTGTCAACCCTGCTGAAGTATTAACAGAGTACTAGCACAGAGGGTAGCCTGTTTCATTACAGAAAAATGGGATGCAATGAAATACAAAACATTCAGTTTACACTCACTTCACATGTCTTCATACATACACAGCAATTTTAAGTGATCAAAGTTATGTTGCTTTTAACTTACTTTCTGCATTTAAAAACCGAATTGCCAGAAGTTCTGGCTTAGGACTCTCATCTGCGAAATCAGCATGTGTATTCCACACCCATGCCCTGTCACTTCCTGCATTGGGCTTCAGCTCCATTACAGGTGTAACTAGAAAGGAAAAGCCGGGGCAGGAAGAGAGAGAAAAAAGTAGCTGGGCACAGGAAGTACTAGAGCAAACAACAGAGCCTCCTTAACTGTCTGCCTGAAGATATCTACCTTATCGGCAACATAAAAGATTGTTAAAAATGCATTTAAGTTCTAGTCTAGCCTATTTATCAATGAATGCATGACTAGATTTTATTCACAATTAAGACTGCATTCTAGAATCTTGACGCTACCCTTTAGGACTAGTTTTCTGAAACCCTTACTACATAGTGTGGCATGTTTTTCATGGTATTATTGTTAAGACATGTGAAAGTTTCACTGCCATTTTTGAACTAAAGAAGGTTGGGCTATAAGTGACTGGGCCCTGCGTAGTTTTCTTCATTTGCACAGCACGGTTCCCCTGCCTTGCTTAAAGCTAATTGCATGTCTTTGTGAAATATCTCATGTCTGCTTGTGGCATACTGGATTATATTTGGAGGTTGTATGTGAAGGACTTTTGCTAAGAGAAGGTAAACTACATAGCTTTTTGATCCTTTTAACCTCCAGTTAATCTCCAACATCGCACCAACTGATGACGCAGGCAGAAGCTCGCTGTGCAAGTGGCCTTGGGTATAACTCTTCCTTAGTAACCAGAACCAGAAGGACCTTCATCACCTTCTGTCCCTATTATTAATTTCCTTTCTTGCTATTACAGCAAAATAAGTAGTACTGTACAACAAGTGCAGTGTACCAAATCACATACTGTAATGATTTGCACAGATTTTTAGGGTTTTATCTCTCCTCATCAAGAGACGAATGGTCCCCTTCTCTCTGTGCTTCAGAAGCTTTACATCACCAGTGCCTCGTTCTTTCCATTCGGGAAGATCGTTTTCCGATGCAAAGCGGAAGAGTTTTGCTCGCCTTTTGGAGAGGGAGACACAAAATGAAAACAAGACATAGATTAGTTTATGCATGGAAATTTTTACCAGGTTTTTCACAGAACTGTAATCTCTTAACATGAATGCTCCATATGAATGTACATTCGATATGCTTCCCTCTCCTAGACCATTTGTTTCCCCAATACAAGTTGTTGTGGGGGACATACTAATCCTTGCTAAAGACAGTAGTACTAGGCTTCTAGTTTACTATAGGTACATTGGGAAGAAATAGCTGTTGGAACAAGATAGTCTCTCTTTTCATATGTGTATGTATTTTTATAGTATTGCTTTATTTTACACTTTCAAGTTCCTTTGGGGCATTCTGTTGTGGGATGTGATTCATAAATTCAATGAACTGGCCTGAAAATTGACATTCCTTATATGATAGAAAACACTAGTTTCTGTCACAGAAAAGGAAACCAACTTTGCACTCCTCATTTCTAGGTAAGTGGATGACTGTTCAGAAAAAAAAGAAAAAAGTTAGCCCTTCTATCTCACTGAGAATTGCTACAGAATAGAGCCTTAAGTTGTTGAATACAGACTACCACATGTTAAAAGTTTAGCCGTTCGAAGATTTACATTGCCATTTAGAAAAAGACAGTTGTACTGACTCAATCTCATATACCAAAGCTTGGACACTATTTTCTGACATTTTGGTGGCCTAATAAAGGCACTGCCCTAGACAACATGTATGCCTTGCCAATGTGCAAATGCTGCAACCCATCAGCATATTAATATGCCCCAACCCAAAGCTTGGAAGTTACTGATGCACCATTCTTATTATACTTACATCTTAAAGAGTTCTTCCTCATCTTCTTCAAGAGTTTTGATCTCTTGCTCAGGAAGAGAAACTATGGGCTCAAACTGAGGGTCATGGTTAGAATCATCTACGTTGTCAGGTGCTAAGTCATGCTCCTCATGTGTGTCCTGTGGAAAAAGTCACATGACGAACCTTAAAACAAAATTGCTAAGAGGCTTGTGATATTTAATTCAAAAAGACCCCCAATAATAAAAATGCAAGATCTTATGAACTTGCACATCTTAGCCATTTAATCCAATTTTTCTATTTTGGTCTGAAAGTGATAGTTGCATTCATTTTACTAATTAATGTAATTAATTAGTATGTAATTAATTAGCTGATGAGTGAGCTGGTGGAGGGGGCTCCACCCCTCCTCTAGTCTGCTTGTTAGAGGTGGCTTGCAGCCCACACTTTCATCCTCACCACAAAGAAATGGAGCTTTTCCCTCTTTGGAAGCCAGCAACTTTAAGGGCTGAGGACATGGCTCACTCAACCACATGCCTTTTGATACCAATGACAATGCGATGCTCATGGTTTTTCATTGGTTTTTTCCTACTCAAAGGACCAGTTGCAGAGTTGCACGGAGTGACTTGGCCTCCTGATAATTATGTTATGGGGTTTGCAGGGTGCCATCTTCTCTCCAATGCTGTTTACTTATATGAAGTTGCTTGAAACAGTAATTAGGAAATTGGAGCATATTGTCATCAATAAGCTGATGACAGTCACCTCTATTTCTCAGTAACATCTGAGTCAGGTGAGGCCATACAAGTCCAGTGGGCAGGTGGTTCCCAAGTCTGAGTACTGGGATGCTGGCCTACCCTGGATAGGGCTGCACGCTTCCAAAAGAGCAAGTGTGTAACAATGGGATGATTTGTCAGCTTTGAACTGAAGGACCTGGTGGGCACAATGACTAGGAGTACTTCCCACCCCCACCCAGCTTTGACTAGTACACTAGCTATTATCATTTATGAACCAGGACAGCCTTGCTACTATGCCTCAACCACCTCAAGACTGGATTACTGCAATGTGCTCTTAAGTGGGGTTGTTCTTAGGGTTGGTCTGGAAGCTGCAGCTAGAGCAAAATGCAGTGGCTGGGATGCTGACTGAGACATCCTACCATGTATATACTATACCACTCTTAAAAGCAGACATAGGCAAACTCGGCCCTCCAGATGTTTTGGGACTACAACTCCCATCATCCCTGACCACTGGTCCTGTCAGCTAGGGATGATGAGAGTTGTAGTCCCAAAACATCTGGAGGGCTGCGTTTGCCTATGCCTGCTTAAAAGTGTAGCAGTGGCTGCTAATATGCAATTAGAACAGGTTTAATGCTTTGATCTTTACCTACAAAGCCATAAAAAACCTGAGACTAACTTACCTGAAGGAGCACCTTTCTGAAAATCAACCTGACTGGTCACTAAGATTCTTGGATGAGGCAGCCCTCCTAGTCATGTCACTGTCTACAGAGGCTCTTTAAACTGTGATTAGAAGGTCGGTCTTTTTCAACAGTAGCACCCTCTCTGTGAAACCAGCTCCCTCTGAATACACCTACATTTATACAGTTCTAGTGCTTGATGAAAAACCATTTATTTTCTGAAACTTTGGCTGGGCAGCAATGCCAATTTTTAACTTACCTGTTGTTGACCTAGCAGCTGCTGTTTAATCTGAATGGTGCCACCTTGTTCTTACATATAAAAAGGCAATATAGAACAACTAGGATCCTCCCAAGGACAGGGGATTGTGGTATTAAGTTAATGTGTCTATTAGCAATGTGAGGCGTCAGAGAAGGTACAGCAGCCCCAAGGTTTTTACTTGATGATCAAAAGATGAGGGGTAGAAACCAAATCAAGGAAATACAAATATCACTATTTTTAACACAGTTTTCTCTTTGTAGAGTGTGCACAACAAAGTTACTAAATTAAAACTGGTATTGTGGGATTTAAAGCAGTTTTACTGTGCTTAGTAGCTATTTTATCTTTTGGGCCAATTGTCAGATTTTTACTTGTGCCCTCCCACTGTTTAGTTTTGCTTTCCTACCCATCCCATTTCTTCTATCATGCCAAATATATAAACGAGCAAATCCTCAGCCCCTTTTATATTGTGAAGGCCTGCGGCCTTAATGGATTCAACTGCCTCTTCCTCCAGCCAAGCGGGTGCACAGGACTGCATCCCTAGAAATACTTGGTAAGCATGGCAAGCAGCAGCAGCAGCAGCCACCTTCTGCATCCTGTTTGAAGCCTTATGACCCTGAGCATGCTTTCAATGCGGGTGTTCTCAACGATATTTTAAAAATGGAAATACTAACGAGAGGACATTGCTGTGACAAAACCGGGCTCTCTGAAGGAGAAGCGGGGATGGGCAGCGGAGCACGTGGGGCGGCCTCCTCCTCCTCCTCCAGCAGGCGGGGAGGGGGGGAGATCTCAGCACACCCACACACCCCGGGGCTGAAGACAGAGAAGGGCCCAGTACACCCCCCTCCGCCCAAAAAAGAGGGGGGGGAGGTTAATAGAAATTATTACAAACCCAAGGGAACGCCACGTCCCAGCAAACGCGAATCGCGCGCAGCACGTTGCTGCGGCGGCCCTGCCTGCGCGCCTTGGAGGAGGATAGGAGGCCCCAGGCCTTGTTAAGACCGGGGGAGGGGGGGGGCGGGGAGAGAGAAACGGCTGCCAGGCAGCGCTGAGGCAGCCCGTGGAAAGCGGGAGGAGAAATAAGGGGCGTCAACGGATTAATAAACCTGAGGTGGGGGAGGGGGGATGAGTCAAGAGGGCGGCCTAGTCTCAGGCTTTCTCTCTCTCCAACCCCCCCGCCCCCGGGACCTCCTTTGACTGCTCCTCGCTCTCGATTTCGAGGCTCGCCGGCGCTTTTCGTCAACCCTCTCGAGTCTCACCTTCGTCTCGGCCATGGCGGGGGCTGGCGTGGCGTCGTCTCTTTCCTAAGGCTCGAGTGAGGCGCGTCTCTCGTCAAATGTAAGCCGCTGCTTTTCTCTCTCCCGTTTCCCGCCGCGACCTTTCCCTGCCTGGCTTTTCGCCCCGTCCCGTCCGTTCGACCGACCGTGCGCCCGCCTCCCGGCCTACACTTTCTGCCTCGCACGCTCCTTCAGCGCCGCTGCTGCCGCTCCGCCTCCTCCGTCGCTCGCGCTCCCCGCCCCCTCCTTCCGCCCCCCCTTCTTTCCCCTCATTCCCGCAGCCCGCGCCGTTGCCGCAGGGGCTGATGGGAAAACGAGGCTCTTTAGTTCCCTCACGAGGGCTCGTGGCGCCATTGCAATAAGAGAGAGGGAGCGGGTTGGTGTAGCGCGCCAGGCAGGCAAGGGAGGCGCGCGGGCAAATGAGATGACGGACTTTTTTATTGGTTTTCACAACATTATAAACAAACACATAAAACAAACAAACATAAATCATAGCCTTATTAAAAATCACACTTTTTAACATTGTTAAGTGACTTCCTCGCTTCCCCTTGGTTAAATTTCATTGCATGTCCTTTTAGCGGTTTTCCAAATCACAGTTCTTAAAAAAATAACTTAAACATTAACATCCTTAGATCTTCACATTATGAAATTAAACATATTAATTCATCAGTTAACTTAAATAAAATCCTAAGCCAATTAAGTATCTGCAAGCTGTTTTCAGTTAATTTACCTTAATATATTTAACTAAGTGATCACTAAATTTGGAGATGACGGACTCTTTGCTGGGTCAGGCCCATGCCAATGGCCCACCTAAGCCCAGCATGGTATCGGCCAGACGCCTGTTGTCCTCAAGCAGGACACGAGCGCAGCAGCAGCAGCGCTGGTAGAAACAGCCTGCGGGCATCCTGAATGAAATTTCATTTTGTGTAGCCGGAGCCATTACGAAAGATAGAAAATACAAAAACACACACAAAATAAAAACCAGACATTCTGTCAGATAAGAGCTTGGCGGCCGCCCTTCTAAACGCATTAACCATCCCCAGAAGGAGGTAAAAAATTATTGTCGCTCTAAAAGCAAAACAGGCCACTGTTTCTAAGGCAGAGGACCCGTCCCCTAATAAGAGGTGAATCAAATGCCCACTCGATCTCCCAACCAAGAGACCTAAATCTTTGAAAAAAGGCTGGTCAGAAATCCTCGCAGATTGGGCAAAACCAGTAAGTAGTGGGGCAAATCTGCGGGCATGTTTATCTCTACATGAGCAAAGTTCTTTTCAATCCTTGGAGCTGGTGCTGTTAAAAGTACATTAAACCCCACTCCATAATTATATTTATTTTATTTATACCCTGCCCACTCTGGGCGGCTTCCAAAAAATCATAAAACCTCAGGAAAACATCAACAAAGTTATGTAGTTCTCCTTGACATCTGAACGGAGGAGGGTTTTCCACAGGGAGGGCGCCACTACCCAGTGAAGAACGATGCGATTTTCGGTGCCTGCTAAAAACGTTCTTGTTTAGGCAAGTCTGCCCAGATATATAGAAAGTTGACGTGTGTTTAATCAGGTTGTTTTTTTAAAAGCTTATTGTTGGTTTTAACTATTTGTGAATGTTTTATGGAATTGATATCCCGCCCTACACCCGGACGTCTCGGGCCGGCTCACGCCACAGATCCTCGGCGGCTCCCGCCCCCTTTACTTAAAATGGCTGCCGCGCGTGGCGAATCCGAGGGGGGCGGGGGCGGTTGGAGGAGTGAGATGTTGCATGATGGGAAAGAGCGGGAAAAAGACTCTGGCATCTTCGCTTATAACTTTTTTAATTTTAGGTTTTTATTTATTTTATGGGTGGATACAATGTATTGACCACGAAAGTGTTCAGCACATTTATGAGGCTACCCATGGATTCTCTCGGCCCCCTACGATATTTTTTTAAAATAAATAAATAAATAAATAAATAAAATCATGTTTATTTTTTTAAATGTTTTTAAAAAATGTAATAATAAATAATAATGACAAGGTGGAATCGATCCAAAAAGAGGAAGATGGCGTGAAAGGAAATAATATAACCTAAAAACATAAAAACCATAGTTTAATAAACAAAATAAAAAATTCCTTCCAGTAGCACCTTAGAGACCGGCTAAGTTTGTTATTGGTATGAGCTTTCGTGTGCATGCACACTTCTTCAGATAATAAGTTTTGTTTTTAATGTAATGACGACGATAATTAATAAAACAAGTTTTTGTTTGATGTAATAATGACGATAGGGAGAGGGGAAATCGAACCTAAAAAGTGAAAACAAAACAAAACACCAAACAATAAAAATAATACTATTATTATTATTTAAAAATGCAATACAGTACAGCAATAATTAATAACATCGATAACACAGAGAGAGGAGGAACCGAACTTCAAACTGGAGAACCAAAGTATGTTTTTTCAAAGGGATGGTCTCCCCCGCGCGAGCGCGCGGGGCGATGACGTCACCGACACCCTTCGTCGCCCCGCCCCTTTCCTCCCCCCCCTCCCTCCCTGCTTGGCCGAGTCCCGCTGCCTGACGAGAGAGAGCTGCCTCTCCTTCGCGGCGGAGAGATGTGAGAAACGAGGTGGGGTGGGGTGGGGAGGGGAGGGGGATGCGCGGAAGCTCTTACAAAATGGCTTGGCCTCCGCGAGGTTCGCACCTCTGCGGGGGAGGGGGAGAATAAGTGGCCTCGTTGCAAGGAGGGTGGGGGCAGGAGGAAGGAGGTTTTTATTTTATTTTAAGGGTGGTCGCCTGCTGCGTTGCTGCGTCGCCTCAGCGCGTGGCTCCCCCTGTGGTGGTGGTGTGGTTTGGCGGAGGGGCCTCCCCCACAAAAAGCATGGGGTAATTTTCCGTAATCGTCATCATCATAAAAGTCAATGGTGAGCTAGGACTAGGGAGCTGCAATGTTCAAGCACACACACCCCAGCTCACTCGCTCAGGCTGACCCTGCCTTATAGGGTGGTTGTGAGAGGATGAAAGGAGGGACAAGGGTGAGGGAGAACCGTTTATTAGTGCTTGTTGTTTAGACATTTAGTCATGTCCGACTCTTCGTGACCCCCTGGACCAGAGCACGCCAGGCCCTCCTGTCTTCCACTGCCTCCTGCAGTTTGGTCAGACTCATTTTAGTAGCTTCGAGAACACTGTCCAACCATCTCGTCCTCTGTCATCCCCTTCTCCTAGTGCCCTCCATCTTTCCCAGCATCAGGGTCTTTTCCAGGGAGTCTTCTCTTCTCATGAGGTGGCCAAAGTATTGGAGCCTCAGCTTCAGAATCTGTCCTTCCAGTGAGTACTCAGGGCTGATTTCCTTTTTTAAAATTATTATTAAAGATTTTCTTGTTTTACAGAAGTAAGTGTAATGTCTCTCATATTTTTTCCATGTAACATTTTTACAAATCCATTTGTTGAGACATTAGGGGGAGAAAAAAAAGGGATGGAGGGAGGGAAGATGGATGGCGATGTTTCTATTATGCTTAATGTATGTAGGGTTTGGTGTCAGCGTTGCTTGTGCTGTTCACTTGTGTTCCTTTGGTGGTGAGAGAGGTTGGGGTTGGCCTAGGGTGTGGGTGGTTGTTTGTGATTGGCTGTGGTGATCTTTGTTTTCGTGTGTGAGTGGGGTCGGTGGGTGTTTTGGATCAGGTTAGCCATATTGATTCGTATGCTGTTGGGTGGATTATTGTCATTGTCTTGTTGGGCTGTGTATGTGATAAAGGGGAGCGTATAAACTTAACGAAAACAAGCGGTGTATAAATTTAATGGAATGAACAGTGCTATAGACTTGGAAGGGGTCTCTGGCCACTGTCCAGGGCGGGTGCCTAGAGGTTAGTTAAGTTGCCCCCTGCCAAGGGCACAGGTTCTGGGGTGGGGTGGGTGTGGGCGCACAAAAATCGCTCTTCTCCACCATCCAGGCCTCCCTGGACCACTTTTCCGCTGCTCTGGGTGGCCAGGCGAGGTGTGCAGGCTTCACTGGGCGCCTCAACAGAGGACTCTGGTTGCTGGCGTGAGCCATTGCACAGCCCTGCAGGTCTCCTCCCCAGTTGGCCCTAGTGGAAGAGTTGCAGGAAGAAAAAGGAAGGGAAGGAGGAAAGAGGTAGGAGGGAAGGCAGCAAGTGGAGGGAGGGAAGGAGGCAGGCAGGACACCTGCTCTAACCCATCAGGTTCCCTCCAGGTGTTGTTGAACTCGCAGTTCCCATCAAGGCCCAGGCAGTGTAGTCAACAGTGATAATGGAAATTGTAATACAGCACCATGTTGGCCATCTCTTATAATCTCTACTCCACATAGGTAAGCCCTGCTGTGTTCACTTCCAGATGAGTGTGCATAGGATTGCAGCCTGTCGGAGTGGGATGCCTCTTGCTTTTGAGACATTAATTATATTATTAATAGCAACACCCTAGTGGTCCCGGGCCCTAAGGAAGTTAGATTAGCGTCAACCAGAGCCAGGGCCTTTTCAACACTGGCTCCAGCCTGGTGGAACGCTCTGTCTCATGAGAACAGGGCCCTGCAGGATCTGATTTCTTTCCGCAGGGCCTGTAAGACAGAGTTGTTCCGCCTGGCCTTTGGCTTGGAGCCAATTTGATTCCCTCCCCCTCTTTCTTTTTCCTTTTTCCTTTCTCCTCCTGTGATGAGGCTGCATTTTAATATTTTAATGTTTCAATATTTCAGTGTTGTATTTTAATCTTGTTTTTAAGTTGTATTCATTCAACCTGTTTTTATTATTGCTTGTTAGCTGCCCTGAGCCCGTCCTTGGCTGAGGAGGGTGGGGTATAAATAAAAATTATTATTATTATTATTAATAATATGGCAGATACCTCAGTGCTGCTATGTGTGCTATAACGTATTGTAAAACAAACCTTTCCTTAGACAGTCTCCTCCATCATCCAATACACTGCTGGGTTGTTAGTGCTAATTTTGCTAGTGCTGTTCTTATGTTTTAACATGTAACCTGATTATATTTCATCAGTCCAACTTGCCATGAGGCAGCCAAGAGATCTGATCACACTTGGGTATGGCAAGGACTGCTTTTTAACATGTTAAAGGTAAAGGTCCATTAGGTCCAGTCGCGGACGACTCTCACTTTATTGGCCAAGGGAGCTGGCGTACAGCTTCCGGGCCATGTGGCCAGCATGACTAAGCCGCTTCTGGTGAACCAGAGCAGTGCACGGAAACGCCGTTTACCTTCCCGCCAGAGCGGTACCTATTTATCTACTTGCACTTTGACGTGCTTTCGAACTGCTAGGTTGGCAGGAGCTGGAACTGAGCAGCAGGAGCTCACCCTGTCGTGGGGATTCGAACCGCCAACTGTTAGTTTCTGTTTCTCACTGTGCAGCTGTGTGGAGTCACAGGACTATGTTTACATTCCAGAGACCTTGCAGTCTCACGGGAAAGGGAGATGGGATGTGACATTAGTGGTTTCATGTTTCCTTTGTTCCTTTGTTCAGTTGCTCTCTGCTTCCATAGAGAGAGGATGTATATTTCTTAGCTGTCTGTGTAGCTTAGAAATAAACTCTTTAAAAATGTAGCTCATACTGTCTCATCCTTCCCAGTGCTGGGAGGACGTGCCTTGGAGCCTCATCAAAGGCTCGAGGTCGTTAAACACGTCGGGAGGCGATTTCAAAGGCTTGGCCGAACGGAGTTCCGATACTGACCTTCTGATCGGCAAGCCCTAGGCTCTGTGGTTTAACCCACAGCGCCACCCGCGTCCCTCTTTAACATGTTACCTGTGGATTAAAGCTGCCATATGTACATCACCCTTTAGTTTCTTGAAATTTGATTCTTGGCTGTGCAGGTAAGCATGGAGCCAAGCCTAAATGTGCAGCTAAAAGAATAATATTGTTTTTCCCTATGTACCTCTGCCTCCACTTCTCTCCTCTTCCTTTTTTTCTTCTCCAAATTTTAGACTGTAAGATCCCTAAGGGCAGGGACCTGTCCTTATGCACACTGACAGCTTACAGAAGAAATAACTGCTTTGGCCAAACTTAATTCATCTAGAACTTGATAATTTCACCCTTTTGTCAATTCCAACACAGAGGAAAACCTAGTGGGCTTGATTTTTGCAGATGTGGCTTAACTAAACATGATTTGGCTAAGCATTTAACACATTTTGCCCTAGAATAATTAATTCTGTTACTGTTCTCTACAGAATGATGGAAGACATCAGTGGTGCGTGCTTTACTGACACACAAACTGCAGTTCCTCTTGTGGAAACGGAGAGTGCAACTGAAAATCTAACAAATGAAGATGTGGGAGAAGAAAACAACACGGCGAACACTTCAGATACTTCCAGCATATATAGATATATTAAAGATGGCTTGTTTACGTCAGAGATCTATAAAGTAGAAATTCAAAACCTCCCCAAATATATTGGTTTTAACGAAGTAAAGAAGTTCCTTGCCAAATATGGCCTTATCCCTCACAAGATAAAACTGTTTGCGAGACAGACTTTTGCATTTGTCACCTTTAAGAGTGAGGAGGGTAGGGACAGAGCTATGAAGGTCCTTCATGGGGCCCAGTGGAAGAACCGAAACTTAACTGTGAGACTTGCAAAACCAAAGGCTGATCCCATCATAAAGAAGAGGAAAAGAGAAGCGGAGGAGGGAGAGGAGATGAAAGAGCAGACAGCAGCAAAGTGTTTGGCTTCAAATAATGGCAAAGAAGAGCCTCTGAGTAAGCAGATAGCAGATGTGGTGACCCCTTTGTGGAATATCCCATATGAGGAGCAGCTGGCAAGGAAGAAGGAAGAATGTGAGCAAGTGCTGCTGAAACTGACAAGGTAATTTTTCTGTTTGTAATAAATATTATGATTATCTCCATTTCTTCTGTTTAGAATGCCAACACTCGTGTAGCCAAAATGGCACCATCCAGGTACAGGAGGGGGCATATCAGCTCCAAGACTTGCAGAAGTGCAATTGGGGAGGGTGTGAATGGAAATGAAGGGTGCATCTCCAGAAGAGTGCACTGAGAACTGAGCCTGCTCAATAGGCACAGAATGCTGACTGCCTGCCTGTCTTGGGAGAGTGGAAGCAGAAGTGAGTACCCTGAACAGGAACACTCCACACTGCAGCACTTTGTTGCAGGTCTCACTTGCAATGTATTCAGAAAGCATTCTGAGACTGCGCAAGCACAGTCCAAGAAACCAAGCTGGTTTTGGCCTCAGCATTAGTGGGAATGAAGCTGATAAATCTAGGAATTATTCTGCTTCATTGTGCTGAGATGTGGATTTTCTGGCTTCTATTCTCAAACTGCAGTTTGCATATTTGCAATAAATACTTTAGAAATGTGTGAGGGTTTTTTTTGTTTTTGTTTTTATATTTCGTCCCAAAATGCTCTGAGATGCTCTTCTCATCACAGGCTGCCGTACATTGTAAGACCAGGCATCCCCAACCTTCAGCCCTCCAGATGTTTTGGACTACGATTCCCATCATCCATGGTCCTGTTAGCTAGGGATCATGGGAATTGTAGGCCAAAACATCTGGAGGGCCGCAGGTTGGGGATGCCTGCTGTAAGACAAAAGGGCTGAGCCTGTTCCATTTTTAGATCTTCGTGCAGCATCTTAATAATTTTAGGTGCTTTATAAATAAACACCAATGGTCAGATTCATAGGTATTTGTGCAGGGGAGGGGAGGGCATAATGTTCATTGATTATTTTTGCTCTGATTATCATGGACGATCAAATTGTTTTACAGGGACATAGGGAACAACAACCGAGCTCTTCTACCATGGCTTTTCATGCAGAAGGAGAAGTGCGGTGGCCTATGTTGCTCCCTGGAAGGAGTGAAAGCATCACCATTACAGGTCATACATCTCAGGAACTGCTTATGAAGTGTGATACTGTGAGGAAATGAATCATAGGCATGGAAGGACAGGGTTAGCCTTACTACTGCACTGTCCATGGTCCATAACCAAAGCTGTGTAATTTTTGGGTGGGCACCTTTAATCTGGTAGCATGTTGCAGTACTGGGCATAAAATTCTGTAATTCTGGAATGGATAGATTATTACCATATATATTATTTTAGTACTCATTTAGCCTAACCTGTTTTAATACTGTAATTTGCAACAAATGTTTATGGATGGAAGTAGCAAGCATGTCAGATTTTAGAGGAGTCGGATAGGCATTCTAAATTTCCCCTTACTTTACATTTAGACTGAGTACCGCAACAAATGTGAATTTTTGATCGGCATAGGCCCGAATCAAGAAGATAAAACGGTGGGGTTTCGCCTTGGCAAATACAAGGGTGGAACATGTGCTGTAGTGGAACCATTTGACACCATTCACATTCCTGCTGTAACCAAAAAGGTAGCAAAGGCTTTTCAAGATTACATAAGGTGAGTCCTCCGTTGGGCTGGATGACAGACTCCTAAACACCTTGCCTGTATAAAATTTACCTTTTCTGTGAAACCTTTGGCACAACCTACTAGTTCCTGTGCTATACTGGAACTAAGCCTTTAGTATATGTAAATGAAAAAATTGCCTGTTCTTCTCTTGTTTACCCCTGTCTCCATTGCCTTCTCTTCCTGCTGTTGTCTACTCTGTCAGACATCCTTTGAGGCAGGGACCTGCCCTCTTGTGCTTTGCCATATACGTTAATGGCACTATATAGATAAATAAAGCCCAACTTAACCACAAAGCTCAACATTGCCTGTGTGAATTCCTTGAGGGATTGTACCAAAGAAGGCTAAGTGGGAGCCTTTTGATAGACATTAGTTTTTCCAAGGAGAGAAAGAGGGAAACTTCCAGTGTGTGTACATTTGCAGCAGTTAGTACATAGAATCCATTTTTGGTTAAGTGATGTGAACAGATCACTGTGAAAATTGATGCAATGCAGATATTTACATATCATCCAAAAATTATAATGTTCAGGATCAGTCTCCTAGTTTAATGTGACAGTTTCTTAGCAGAAATAATTTTAGCATTATGTGGTTATGCTTTTTTAAATCCAAGTTTAGTAACCAAGAATTTCAAAATTACAGGTCTACATCCTATGGTGTCTACAGCCCAGAAACCTACAAAGGTCACTGGAAACAGCTAACAGTTCGCACTAGTAGAAATGGCCACATCATGGCAATTGCTTATTTTAATCCACAGGTACTGAATATGATTTATGTAATAAGGGGAAACAAGCACATGCTTGTAAAGCAGGCATTTCAGAAACTCTTAATGGTTAAAGTTTTTCCTGATTCTGGAAATGTATTTTGTGAAACTTACAGTGACACAATGTTTTAAAGGGAAACGTGTCCTCAGATGTGTTATGGAGGGTGCACTATTAAAATAAGTACAAGCATACATATGCTGTTATCCCATAGTTCTTCACTACACCTGTAATCTGTAGCAACATTTTTCTTTGAAGTTTGTAAAATTAAGCAACTTAATCATTAATTTTCTTTTTCTTTTTTGAAATGTCTAGAAACTAAATGAAAAAGAGCTTGCAGAACTGCAAACTTCTATGGCTAAGTACTTCACAGAAGGCACTGGAAAGGACAGTGGAATAACTTCTCTCTACTTTGTGCAGGAAGGTCAAAGGTGATTGTTGCATCTCAAAAAAGAAACTTAGTATGACAATGTAATGTATGGTGTAGCAAAGTTTTAGAACTTGAGCTGTAGTCTCGGCCATTAAGGCACTTGAATCGAAGACAACAGTGGGTGACATCCAATACGAATAATTCTCAGAGTAGACCCATTTAAATCAATGGACCTAAGTTACTTAGCTTGATTGATTTAAATGGTCTACCCTGATAATGACTTGCGTTGGATGATACCCAATAAAAACTGCCATAAAATATAGTAAGATTCAAAACACTAAGCAGCCTATAAATCAATATCCCAGGATCCATTAAACACTAATGGTTATGGTCAAACATAATTCAGTAAAAATTAAAGTCACCCATAGTAAGGAGCTGTTGTTCCTGGTGATTATTTTTATGAGCATTATTGTTGGGAGTATTGTCGGGTGATTGCTTTTATGAGCATTAGTGCTGGGAGTCGATATTCCTTGCATGCTGAAATGTAACTATTTGTATTTTTCTCTTACTGTTTTGTGTTTGCCATTCCTTTGAGTAGCTTTCTTGGATAATGACATCACACAGAGAAAGGGCATGCATATCTAAATCCCATTAAGACCAGCATTTTTTGAGCTTGCACAGCTGTGTGTTCCTGCTAAAGAAATACAGAATGAACGCATTCAAAAAAGTCCCTAGATCTTTACAGCTTTTTTGCTTGAATTGGTTATCTGTACTATTGCATCTGAATGCACTTTAGAAGATTAGGATGCAAAGGAAGGATCATGATTTAAACACTGTTTCTTGCTCCCTCCCTCTTCTCCCGCAAGAAAATCACCCAATCGTGAAGATTTGACCTTGGAGCATGTTGCTGGTGACAAGTACATATATGAAGATCTTCTTGGGCTAAAGTTCCGGATTTCTCCCCATGCTTTTTTCCAAGTAAGCATTTAAAGCATTGGGCTTAAGTGTTTTGTAGAAGTTGAGATCTCTTGTTGATTGAGTTTTGCTTATAGTGAGGTACTCCATAAACCGTGGGAGAGAGTGGTAGAACCTCCTCATTGTCCTTCTATAATATCCGAAAAGCCGTTTGTGAAATCTGGAGTTCATTGTAAAAAACTCAGGAATCAAGAAATCAGCAGTGGTGTATTTTTCAAATTACATTTCATCAACTTGCACACTTTTTAAACAGCAGCGTGTTAACAGCAGCACAGTCAGAGGTTTCAAGTGTAATGGCTAAACATGCTCTGACTTTACTTTTTTAAAAAAAAAATAAAAACTTGGGTAGGGAGCAGTATATAGTGTAATGTTGTAGAGTAGATTTTAGCCTTTGACATGCTACCCGCCTGCTGAATACTGACACCCTATACTGATGTTGAAATTCTGTAGGTAAACACACAGGCTGCTGAGGTTCTGTATTCAGTCATCCAGGAATGGACCCAGGTGAACGAGGAGACGACTGTGATGGATATTTGCTGTGGAACTGGATCAATTGGTATTTCACTTGCCAAGGTGAAATAACATCTTTCATGGGACATATGCCCTTTGGTATTGCTTTTGTCTCCTAAAAGTACTAATTCAAAGGACAAAGGTCACCCAACAAGTAGTCTCGCCATGTGGGTAGCTAACTGCATGCCCTGTGTTCTGGAAAACTGAAAACTAACAAAATAAGTAGTGAAATTATGACTACTATTGCAAAATGAATTATCTTAGAGCCAGCATAGATGTTACTTTAAATGTATGGCCTGTATCCAAAGTAGTGCTAAACCACTCATTACATTAGAACAAATTTAGGAACAAATGCCTCCTAAATTTGTTCTGGAGGTTTTAACGAACCTTCTGCAGCAGATTTGGGGAGGGTGTATGTGGCCAGGTGGAGAGAGCGGCAGGTTCTGTTGTGCTAGTATAAATCCTTGCACAATTATAAATGAACCACTCTGTAATTGCACTTAATATATCTCTTTTCTTTAAACGTTGCAGCTGTGGGGGGATCAGGGTCAAGAAGGCACATTAACCCCACCCCCAAAAGGTGTCATTAGTCCCAGGAGGGAAACTGCTGATGGTGTCAGTTGCAGATTTGGAGGGGGGGGGCGTTTGTTGGTATTGGGATATGAGGGGAAAGGTTTTAACTGTGTGTTGTGGTCCTGACAAGGTCACCCAAGTGTATTTTTCCTTTTGGCCCCTAGGCTCACTTATGATATAGTTTGATAGATTTTGGGGTGCAGTTTTCTTTCTGTTGCTGGGGCCAGGGTAAAGGCAGAACAACCAATCCTTTGCTCTTGCTCCTCCTTTTCCTAGCTTCCTTGCAAACCTAATCTTTTCATCAGCCTCTCAGGTTTAAAACTGAGACACTCTCTAAGGTCCCTAAAAGCACTAGCTCTGCTTATTTTTGTAACTATTTTTTTGTTTTGAGAGGTTTAGATTAACTGCAAACAGCCCCTCTGTAAACCTGTTTTCAAGTCTAGTTCAACTCTGGAGTGGGAACACACAAAAAGGTTGAAGCAGCCTAACAAGATAGCTCCTCAAGTTGCAATATCCATATTTATTTTGCTTGGTACTCAACTAAAAATGTAAAACTGTACATTATTGCTTTCGTTCTACAGAAAGTGAAGAAAGTTATTGGAATTGAACTTTGTCAAGAAGCTATTGAAGATGCCAAAGTGAATGCTCAGCTTAATGGTTGGTAAAAGAAAGCATAATATGGGATCTCAGACTTTAAAGACAGCTCTCATTATTAAGCAATTCACTTTCTAGTCTCTTCTGTCCCAATTTTTTTTTCCTTGACTACTTGTCAAGATGTTTTAGACGATTATTATTTGCCAGAACTGAGCTCTGTGTTGACGTTGAATAAATGTCAACTAAGGGATTGGCTCTTCTGGATAAAATTCAGAAGGGACCTGCAACTAATTAGGAGCACCAGGTTTTCTCTTGGTATCTCCTCTTGAGAGCAGAACATTTCTCCTTAAGAAATCTGACCAGCTTCCTTAAAAAAAGCATTATTGAGCTGTGTTTCAAGTGATGCCCACTACAGTCTTGGATGGGCACTACAACATACACAGACAGACTTTGTATTTGTGGTCAACCTCAGATGGAAGACCTCCATCATTATCTGTTAGTCTTCCCCTTATGTAGAGACCCAAGAGATCACTTTCTGAAACCTTTGTTCGCAAAAGCAAGCAGGTACACACCAGCAGAAATGGTCTGGTTTCTGAGCAGGGCCATCTTTTTCCCGGGGGTGCAAGGGGTATGGGGCACCTGGCCGTTGAATTCGGGGGCAGGGCGCCAGGCGCCCACCACAGAAGCCGCCTAAGCGTATTGTATCGAGCTGCTATGCGGCAGCGGGGTCAGTGGCACCTTTGACACGACTGATCTTGTGCCGCCTGCCTGCTAATGTTGCTGCAGGGAGAGTTCTCTGGAAAGTCTCGCTCACCGAAGCTGGGAGGAGGGGGAGTGACAGGAAAGAGGGACAGACAGAAAGAGAATGCGTCTATCTAGCGATGGGAGCACGCCCAGGCTCTGGAAGAACTCGTATACGTGCTCTTGCAAGGGCCCTCCCAGCTCCTCTAGAAATAAGGTTGTTCCCACAATGAAAGGCTGCTTGAGATGGCTCTCCCACACATGCACACAATGCCCACCCGTCTCATTTTCCAGACACCTCCCTACGATTGTAAGCGCGTGTGTGGAGTCTTTACACTGACTTCCAATGTGTTCTTTGTCTTCTTTAGAAAAGTGTGTTAAAAAACACACACAAAAACCTCCCTTTTGGAGCCACGCAAGCATGAGTGCTATTTTATCAAATGGTAATAGTGACGTAAAGGTAAAGGGACCCCTGACCATTAGGTCCAGTCGTGGCCGACTCTGGGGTTGCGGGGCTCATCTCGCTTTACTGGCTGAGGGAGCCAGTGTACAGCTTCCGGGTCACGTGGCCAGCATGACTAAGCCGCTTCTGGCGAACCAGAGCAGCGCACGGAAACGCTGTTTACCTTCCCGCCGGAGCAGTACCTATCTATCTACTTGCACTTTGACGTGCTTTCGAACTGCTAGGTTGGCAGGAGCTGGGACTGAGCAACGGGAGCTCACCCCATCGCGGGGATTCAAACCGCCGACCTTCTGATCGGCAAGTCCTAGGCTCTGTGGTTTAACCCACAGCGCCACCTGCGTGACATGTGACATAAGGCATAATAAAAGTTAATTTGGGGGCTAAACTAAATTTGGGGGCGCTGGGCAGAACTTTGCACCCCAGTGGCACATATGCTAAAGACAGCCCTGTTTCTGAGTGACAATAATACCTTAACACAGAGTGGCCCTGTGTTATGAAGGTATTAAAATCACAATTTTTTTGCAGGGACTGTCTGGTTACTGTACCCAAGCTGCTTGCAGTTATTTAGTGAGAGTATGCAGGCTATAGGTAGCAGTTAATAAAGCAGAAGGATGTGAGTTATGACCTAAAACTTTTACTGTAAAATATATTAAGATTTTTTGGTTACTAAATAAATCAATAGTCTGACCACTGACCCATCTAGCCAGCACTGTAGTTTATTCTGACTAGCAACACTTCTCTAGGACAATGGGCAGAGCTTTCCCAATCCCGTTACTTTGGACTTTCTGTGTATCCTGTTTTGGAACAGTAGATAGTGCCCCTGTAGTTCATGCAGCAATGCATGTAGTTTAAATCAATCACCTGCAATCATGGCCTTAGCCATGTTTCTGATGGAGGTCTCTGTGCCTGAACAAGTTGCCTACCTTAGAGCCTTTATCATGAAACTGCATATTGATCCTGAAGTAGGTTACTTTAAGACTTCTTTTAAAAAAAATTTTTTAATTGAGGAGTGAATGAAAACCTGTATTTTAAGAGACTTGTTTTGCACTAAATTGTGGATGAGGTAAACATTTACTTCAGAGGAACTGTATTAATACTTTTTCAACCAGCATGGACATGGAAAAACTGACAATTGCAAGCATCAGTTATTAAAGGAAATATTGATGGAGCATGTGTAAATAAGCAAATGTGTTACACTGTTTTGGATTTGTTTTCCCTCTCCAGAGCTGAATAATGTTGAATTCCACTGTGGAAAGGCTGAAGATCTTGTTCCTTACCTTGTTAACTTCCTGGACCTGCAGAATTCTATTACAATTGTAGATCCTCCTCGAGCAGGGCTGCGTGAGTTTTGTTTTGTGACCTTCTTTTAGTGGAATAGTTTGAATAGAGATGGAGGTGTGCAACATAGTGAGAGTAGTGACAAAAGTAAATGGGGAGATGTGCTAGTGGGCAGTGAGATCAGCACTGAGAATAAAACAAAGGGAAAGTGTTTCTGGTTCTGCAGATCAGCTGTGGAATTCCTTGGGTGCAGAAATACAGCAATTAGGTCCTTTCAGGCAGGAAAGACTGGTTGATGACTTCAAAGAATATTGTTAGTTAAAAATAAACCTATTTTTTGCTGGCTAGCAGAGAGCACATAACCTCTTCTAATTTCAATGTAGACTTCATATTTTTCTGATGTCAACTATTCGCCACAGTTTAATAATATGGACCACTTGGGTCCATTCCCCGTTCTTTGTTATGATGGATGGGTTCAGGGTGAAGAAATATGGTTTGTATTGTAACGAGGGCTGTGCTATAAATGGATATATTGTCTGGTTTTAGATCAAATCGTGATAACAGTTTTTTAAAAAATGACTTTGCAATTTATTGCATATTGTGTTTGTGGCATTAAAATATCACAATACTGCAAAAACCAGGAAGCCGATGCTTCTTCCTGTGTGTGCAGCCCTTGCTAACTCCACCTCAGACAGCTCTTTCCTGCCTCCTGCAGCAACAAGAAATACCGTACTTTTCCATGTATAACACACCCTCTTGTATAAGACGCCTCCTATTTTAGGGGACTCAAACTTAAGAAAATGGGGGGAAATTGCCCAGAGTTCTGCAAATACAAAAGGCATCTCTATAGCCAGAGAACGCCAAAATGCAAATTTTCCTTGCAAAAGATTAAATTTCATTTAATAATTTTTGTTCTGTAAACTTTTATCCATTCTTTCTGGTTTGGCTTGGTTTATAAAAGAAATGCAGTTTTTCCAGGCAATGAAAATACAAATTTTGTTTATATTTTGTACAGTTAAAATTTATCCATTCCATTCTTTCTGTTTTGGCCTGGTTTAGAAAATAAAATTAACAATCAATTTGGTGTTGTGCGATGTATACATTCAACTAAGACTCAATAGTGAATTATATTTGAACATCTAAAAGTATGACACTGAATTTGTTTTTTTCTTGTTTAGTAATGTAATTAAATTTTTAGGGAATGCTACTAATTACTTCTACAGCTTTAGAGAAAATGTGCTATTGGTAAAGTAATACTATAACATGTTGTAATAAAATGTTAAAGGTAAGTAAAAATCTATCAGTTTTATAGATAGACCCATATTTAGTAGCAGTCGGCAGGACATTATCATGACATAGCTCCAGCCTTATTTCAGATATCATGACATCAAAATATTGCAATGTTTAATTGGTGATACATTGTGATGTAGAAAGCCAGATATTGCCCAGCCCTAATTGTAACAGAGTGGAGCTACTTCATGTCAGGCGGTGCTATCACAGTAAAGAATCTAATTTCAGTTTTTGTCAAAATGTTACCATTGCAGATTCCAAAGTAATTGTTGCAATCCGAAAAGCAGAACACATAAAGAAGCTTATTTATGTAGCCTGCAATCCTCGAGCTGCCATGAACAACTTTCTGGAGTGAGTTTACAATGGTGCTGGTGGGATGGAGTAATTTTTAAAAAGTGTTGATCCCTTCTCTCCCCCCCCCCCCCATCAGCATTGATTTTCAATGTTTCAAACAGATTAATAACCCATGGGATTAGGAGGTTAGTTAAATTTCTAACTTAAGTGAGGTGGGAAAGTTAGCCCTGGCACTTAAAGGGCTTTGAACGGAGCAAATGGGCTTTGCCCTTTTCAGCCACATCATCTTTGGGGCACCTTGGAGGGGTGAGCTTAGTGGATGTGGGTCTAACAGTGGATGGGGCTTCATAGGTTTCTGAACTCATGCATTCCAGGAGGGCTGGCGAGGAATGTGGCCTGGAGTGATATTTGGCCTCCAGACCTGGTACCCCATTCCTGGCCCAATCAATTATAAAGAAATGTGTAAGACTAATACTGGTCTCTTTGGTAGCCTTTGTCGAGCTCCTTCGAATCGTGTCAAAGGAAGCCCTTTTCGTCCTGTTAAAGCAATAGCCGTGGACCTCTTCCCTCACACTATGCATTGCGAGCTGCTGTTCTTCTTCGAAAGAGTTCAGCATTCAAGTGACAAGCCTTCTGAAGCAGTCCAGAACTCAACTGAAATTCCAGAATTGAAACTGGAAACAGCAGGTTCTACAGAAGAAGGCGATGCAAATCTGCCTAAAGAAGAGGAAACCCCTGACTGTTCCAGCAATTGATATTTATGCCAACTGGCTAGGCTGTGCCTATTTTCATTCTTAAAATTCAAAACAGCTGCTGTCCTGTTTAAGAAAATTGGAACATTGGTTGCTGGGACTTCGGAATAGTGGCCAATTATCAAAACTACTTGTACAATGCAATCCTGTACGTGCCTGCTCAGAAGTCCCATTAAGTTTAATAGGACTTACTCCAAGGTTAAGTAGGTAAAGGATTGCATCATCATTGTGTTGCTCTAGAGTTGTCTAAAGCTTATAGGAGGCAGAATGTTGGTATATGTGTGTATATACACACAGAGATGAAATTTGTTTTTATGCCAAACTGATTTGTTTTTAAATCATGGAACAAGAAAGGTGAGGGGTGACTAGGGAAGCTATACTGCTACCTTAGATAGTAAATGATTAACAAAACCAGATATGCCAATGATGTAACAAGCTTTCTCAATAAATGTTCAAAATATTATTTTAAGATTAGGTGAATGCAAAAGCAAATACTGTACCACAATATCCAGTTCACACAGGTCTGAAGAGGAATTATCTGCAATGAGGAGGGAGACAGGGATTTCTAGCACCCCAACTCTGGAGCCTCAGCAATGCTACATTGCTTATGATGTGTCTGTGTGCCTAGGCCACTTCAGCTTTAATGTGGAGTTCTGTCCGCATCAACAAGGACCAGTTTGTATGTGCTTAAAATTGCTACTATATAATAAATGAAATAAGTTATTGATTATTTTTTTACTCATACATTCAATATTAATGGGCTAAAACACAAAGACATTTAGTCAGGTGGCAGTCCTACTATAAAATGTTACATACTGACAATTCCATGACTTCCATCGAGAAAGTTATGATTTATATATATAAGTATTTAATGAAACAATGACCTGCAGCACCAGTTACTCACAGCATCTTATGCAATATCAAACTTTATTGCTCAAAACTAATGTTTGTGGGGGAAACAAGTACTTAAAAGACCTAACACACAGGCTCAACGATAGAGGCTTCATAGTTGTACCAACTGACCACCGGCATTGAGAAACTGCACTCAACATACAATCCATACAGCACCCAATAACATTGAGTTGGTCACATTAACTTTTAAAATACAATATTGTAATTGATCACTGCAAGTTGTTCCAAATGGCTGACTTAATTTGGAACCATTTCTACAACAGCTATTTCCATTTTCTGACCAGAACCAAAGAATTACAGACTAGGGCTAGAAAGGATACTTTTGTTAAGTGTGACAACCATTAGAACAGCATAGATAGATACTTGTTTCCAGCAGCTGGAAAGCCAAGTGCTAAAACAGTTAATAAAGCTTAATTGGATGTTTTAAATGGGTAGTATTTCCCCCCCCCCCCCAGACACACTTATGTTAGTAAATTTCCACTCAGTATCAAACATTCAAATAAGAACCAATTTTTATCTTTTTTAAAAAAAAAACATCTGTGAAGAAGCACATACTAATATGTAATATGGAAAGCAAAAGCTATCCCTAGAGGATGGAACAGCTATTAGTGAAGACCATCCACAATGATATTGATTTACTGAGAGAAAAAGAGGGCTCGAAACAGTTTTTGCTTTAGGCATTGTTAGGACTGAAACCATTACAGCTGACTAACTAGGAGAAAAAAAATCACACAAGTTACAAAACAATTTTGGATGTCAAATCACGCTGCATAAGTACTCATGCAGAAGCTGAAATTAATGTAATGATTAACCCTCTTATCATAGCAGCTTATGCTCATCTGCAAATGCAAGACTGTTACACTTCAAACAAAATAGTAAACATCAGAAATACAATACTTCACAGTGACAACAGTAGTTACATTGTTTGTTCCAGCAGTTATTGCGCTTTGCCTGAACATTTTGCCAAAGAGGCTACAGCACATCAAATACTTTTTTTAAGAAAAATGCATAATTTGTACTAGCCTTTGGTTCACAATGACACATCTGGATGTTTAAGGGCAGTGGTCACCTTTTGCAGGATTCAAATCTTGGCAGACTGAGGTAAGACTAAAGCAAGATGGCCAGCGTGGCAAACACTTAAAAGAATGAGGCATCTATGGATATATATGCTGCAGGTACCCTGCAAAACATTCTGATTTTGGAAAATATATATGCAGAAATTTGTTGAAAAAGTGCAGTCAGAAGTAGGCTTTTTTTTAAAAAAGCAAGGAATGCACAGATGTAAACACCTACGTTAAAAGGCATAGAAGAAAGCCTATTTGACTTTTAACAACTTTTTAAAGTACTACATCAGTGATGGACAAAGATGAAGACTAAAGCTAGATTTTCTGTAGAACAGAGGCAGTGCATTTAGAACTATGTCCTACTCATTAAACAAATTGCGACCATTTTCAGATGTGCTGAATAAAGTTCCAAAATAAATTCATTCTGTAGAGAACACAAGGATTCTTTGCATAAAAACATGAATGAAAACACTTAAGCTTGAATAAAGGCTATATCTCAATGTTAGCATGGGCTCACTACTGCCAAAATTACCAAGGGTAAGCATAGCATACTACAATAAGAGGCTTCCAGCTGGGAGCTTTCAAGTAGTCTGCTTCCTCTAGTTCATAAGACAAAACCCTATCAGCTGGGGCACACAGATGTCCAATAAAAAAGAGGTTTTCAGTATTACCAATTTATGCATCACAGGCTGCCTGCTCTTGGTAACTGGTGGCAAGAAACTGGGTGAATCAAAATGGCTGTGCCAAGCGGTAATGTACAACACAGGGAGCATTTAAGCATTTTGCAAGAGAATTGGATTAGGATCAGAAAGGTAGCTTTGGTGGAACACTACAGATGAGTTAGCATATACTACTAGACACCACCCAATTAAGTTACCACCTGGCAAATCTATGTATACCCAATGTCAAACTGAGCTGTGTAACGAATGTATGGCACTAAGAACTGTAGAAAATTTGCATTCCGAGTGGGAAGCAATGAAACTTGACATATAACTGGGTCAGGCAACTCAATTTCTGGCACTCTAGAATGCCCTTTCATGGAACCTGTACAACCCATCTCAAGTATGAGGTGGGACCCTGGGCCTACTTCCTCCTAAAAGGTCTTGGAACAAACCACTACCACTTCCATTTAATTGTCTCCTGCTGCATTATTTTCTTGTGACTGTTGCAGCAGACATCTAAAAATGAGTATAACTTAACAGATATCCACTGTAACATACACATTACAGTGGTGCCCCGCAAGACGAATGCCTCGCAAGACGGAAAAACCGCTAGACGAAAGGGTTTTCCGTTTTGAAGTTGCTTCGCAGGACGAATTCCCCTATGGGCTTGCTTCGCAAGACGAAAATACCTTGCGAGTCTTGAGATTTTTTTCGCTTCCCCCTTTATCTAATCTGCTAAGCCTTTAATAGCCTTTAATAGCCTTTTAGCAGCTAATCTCTAAGCCTTTAAGCCTTTAATAGCCGCTAAACAGCTGATAGCGCTAATAGCGCTAATCCGTCAATGGGCTTGCTTCGCAAGACGAAAAAACCGCTAGACGAAGACTCTTGCGGAACGGATTAATTTCGTCTTGCGAGGCACCACTGTACTAGGAGATACCTTAGCAAAGGGCCTGAACTGTAGTGTTTCTGGAGTGTAAATCTTAAGTGTAGAAGTATTTCTGGACCACACTGTTATGGTTTTTTTAGGGCCATGTGTTAGCTATTCAGTATCTTGTAGCGGATATTGACAGCTTAAGAAACTATATAAAGACAACAGCTTGCATATTCATATTCTTTATTTCAACTCAATACAACTTATGCAGAAGATCTTATTAAAGTCCTCTGATGTACCCCAATTTACATTCTAATAGTTTCCATGCAGAAACTACTCTGCAAATGCTAAACATTTAATAAAACAAAGCCAGTGACAACTTTTTTTGAAAATGTTAAAACTCTTCCAGTGAAGAATGCTTCCAGTGATTTTCATGACTGCCATTAGTCAATCCACAAAGGAAAGGGTTTTTCACGTTTGTTTAAAGGTAATAGGGTGCATGAGATTGAAGTATCAATTAGATCTAGCTGCATTAAATAAAAATATATATACCATAAAGGGAGATGCAATTAAATCTCCATTTTAATTGTTAGAACTGTCAGTATATTTTCAAACTGTTTTCAAGTGGGGTCTTAAAAATAGAAGGAAATGCAAATTACTGAGCACCATCCCTGCTCACTCTTAGTTCATTCTACTTAACTGTGGAGGACTCTCTCAAGACCAGAATAAGAACAGGCTGCAGAGCACTGGTGCTTAGTCATCCACTCCCAATCACCTGTAATTAATTATGGTAAAAATAATTAGAAGCTATATACTCCTTTCCAGTTGTCTTTTATGTAAACTATTATGGTTTTTCCTATGTTTCCCTATCTTCTTCTTTTTTTTACATTTTAAGTAAATATAGCCAGCAATTTTGAAAACAGAGACACACTGGTGCTCAACACTGCAGGTGCCATTCTTACTGTCTAAAGACCACTGTACCAGGATATTAAAAATATTATGCCTGCCAAAATTCAAAAACAAGCAGCACTGGCCTAATCTTAATGGCATTAAGGAACATTGCTTTCCACTTTTCTTCAATGTAGTTGTCAAAAGTGTCTTATCAGTGCATATTATTTTGTGCTGAAATGCAACAAAGCTCTTTTTGAGAAAACAGTTGTCAGCATGTTCATACGAGAGTGTGTACAGCTGTATTCCTATATTATACATTCACTCCACTCTTTACATAGACATTCTGGATTAATCCTTAAACATATCCATTCAAAGACAGCATAATAGTTTCAAAAGGGGTGGGGGAGTGCTTACTTCAGCTTATCCTGTGTGAACATGCTTTTCTGCCCACTTCTATACATTGACCCACACAGATTTTTGCTGTCTTGTATAAATGTATATCTCAGAGGTTTTAAAAAAAACCCCTCAAAAGTTCAGTACTATTGCCCTGATTATGCAAAAGAATAATGCATATTTGAAGCAGCTTGGATTGTTACATTATTTTGCATTCTGAAGCAAACCAATTATTAATTAAATTGGGTGGGGGGGACTAGCTTTCTTCACATGTTTTATTGCTCCCCAATTATTCTTTCTGATCACACATCAACAGTACACAGAGGCTCACTGCCAGGTTGAGCAGATTCGACAATTGTCATCTTGGGTTTCTTTCGAGTTTCCTCCTTAAAGATATAAGAAGCCAACCATAATTATAAACAAACTTGTACACATAGATGGTGTCAACATTTTGAAAACATTTCAACAGATCAAAAACCAGAATTTTCTACTTTTAGCCCCATGGCACCCTAATTACTAGAAGGAAGAGATTAGTATCTATATTGTGAAAATGCAGGACACAAAGGCTACTTTTTAGTGCAAGTCTCTATGTTCCCTTTTGCAAAGGGAATCTGAAATTGATCACAGATGAAAATGTGGCAACTCCCCTTTCACACTTAACCTCTGATTTGGTGGGGGAAGATTTTCTTTTAGTGCTTAACAGCAATCAACCTATGCCTACAGAATACTTGCTAACAGAGAACTGAATTACAAAGATTAGAAAAAGAAAGAGCAATAGTCTAAGCAAGTTGTTTATACTGATGGGCCGTAAGGGAAAACTGACATGCCAACCCCCTGTGACAGCCCCATTTCCATGCAAGAACAAAGACCAGTCATGAAGAAGAAGAAGCCATCACAGCAAGATTATAAACAGTCACAACACAGGAGATATTTCAAAGTGTTTGCATCCTAGATAACCATAGTGACCTTTGTTTGAACAGTAAGGAATTTGTTAACTGAAAAAAGCATCACAGAAGAATAAAAACTAGTTCTTTCAAAATTTAACTTTAAATTTCTGCAATGCGCATGAAGTCAAACTGTCAAGAAATATAAACACAGCTTTCATGCGTGTTCTCAGAATTGAACAAATTTTAAAATTAGTAATCATGCACTTACCCTTTCTTGTGCCAACTTCTTCATTTCTTCCTGTAACTTGTTAAGAATGTGCAGATTTGGCTTGTTCTTTTTGGCATACTGCTGAAGCTCTATCACACTTTTATCAGACGTCTCCTGTATCACAAAGTATCAGAAAGACTAAAGAAAGAGCTCCCATTTTCATCTTCAAGAGGAAGGTTATTTTTATAATATATGTTTACTACTAAGGCTGAGCAAATTGGCGAGTGCTAGGGACAGGGTTTTTGCAATGATGGCCCCAGTGTCGTGGAATTCCCTCCCCTGGTAACTTCACTTGGGCCCCCTTTCTTGCAACCTCTAATTCTTTGAAGACTTTTTATTCTGGCACACTTATTGCTGATCCCCCCCCCCAGCCCCTGTATATGCTTTTATCTATTGTTAATTATATTATTTCTCAATTGTTTTGTGGTTTTAGCTGTTTTATTGTAAGCCACCTTGTGGTGGTTTGCTTATATATTAAGTAAATAGATAAATATAGGAGAAGAAACCACGCTGGAGATTTTGTACTTTCATTTTGTAGAATGAAAATATTTTCATAAATAAATGGCAACATGATGGAAGTAGGGTATCCCTCAAGTTGCACCAGTTCTCTTACACACAGGTAATGCTGTAAGGGCTCTTCCTCCTGATCTATTCAGCCTGCCAAACTGTGCCTAAAACTTTAAGAATGTCAGGACACTAACTGTTGCAGCCGCTCATGTGAGGAACACTTTCTGGGTTGGTGTATGCATGTGGTCCCAGATTATGGCTCAGTGTAAGCATTTGCACTCCCTCATGGGTTTTTGCTGCATAAACTCAACTTATGGATCACATCAGCGTCTTTGCAACACAGCAGTCTCAATGTTAAGGAGTTTGCAACCATGGCATTTAAACAGCATCATTATGAGGAACTGAATTTAAGTATTGCATAGCTTTAATAAGAAGACAAAAAACGATTCAGAAAGTTTACAGAGCAAAGCATACATAGCTTACCTGCTTAACCATCTTACTGCTCTCTCTCCCATACATGCGCAATAAGGACCCCCAGTTTTTCACATGCGGATGAAGCAGCTGAAGGATTTTCTGAGATGCCAACTGTTTCCCAACTCTCTTGTTTTTGCCTGCATAATCGCCACGAAACAAAGTTTTGGGAGGAAAAACAGGTCCACATCAGAGCTTTTTTAAACCCTTTGTAATAATTGGTTCATAATCATTATGGAAAGTCAAGATTAGGTCCACACTAAGCTGCAATCAGCTCCCATTTAAATAACTGCAACCCAAGACATGACTTTTCATACCAATTTCCACAGAACCTAAGTGTAATTATTTATCTCTCTATTTAAGAAATTTATACTTTTCCGTTATATATCTCAAAGCAGCTCAGTCAGAATGAAATTGAATTTAAAACATCAGAAATAGAAACATGAGAACTGCATTCATAGTGCAAAGATCTCCTGAAATAAAACCATTTTAACCTGGCATTTGAAACCTAATAGGGACTGTGCTTAATGGGAACAAGTTCTATAGAACTTGGCCCACTACATTGAAGGCATGACTCCTCAATAGCAAGAGTCATGCTTCTGGCCCATAGGGGACCACCATTAGCTCTCCAAGCTGATTTAAACTGATCCAACCCAGGAAGATAAAAAATACCAACCCCTTAAAAAGGGGTGTGTGTATGGAAATGTCATCTAATCCTGGCAACATTTCACAACAAGATGCCTTTTCTATTCCTAATATTTGTGTATTTCCAATATACAAGTCCCGTATCTCAGGAAGAGCATTTCAGTCTCACAATGCCATGAAATTCCCAGGTGTAGTTCCTAAATACTTAATATCTAGATCCAAATTCCTATCTTAAGTAACAGTGGTGTCAAGGCCATGAGACTGGTGTATACAAGAACACAGGTAAAGCACAAAGATCAGGAAAATTAGAAACAAATGCTACACAATGAAGCAGAGAATGAAGAGGAATATTCATCTCAAAGGCTTTCAAACCAGCCATCATACTTACACCAGCCACGCACGGTGTGCTTCCCACATGTCATGACATATTCACTCTTCTGATTTTTACCAGGAATCACTTCAAACTTGATGGATGTGTCACCCATTCCATGGTTTCTTACAGAGATGAAATGGTGTTAAGCATACCAAACCACAATCTCTACTTATACCACATGTGGCTAACAAAGTTTCAAAAGTAAGAGATCTGGCTAATGAAAAATTATTTTTATTTCTATCTAACCAACAAATCCTGTTTTCTACCCAACATTCTACACATGCTCCTAATATTGAATATTGCTTTTGTGCAAAACAAACAACCGGTCAAAAATGAATGTTTCTTTAACATCTTAAAAAAACCCACAAAAATATTGCCAAAGTTAAGCACATTTGCATTTCTCAAGATTTCACTGGAGGAATTCACATGCTGAATGCTCTTCCATTTTAATTAATGTGTCTAAAGTGTGTAATTTGGAAGTATCATGCCAAAACAAATAATTTAACATGCCTGCATTTGAGAGGGCAAGCTAAACTGTTTGGTTCAGAGTCAAACTTTACATCTGCTTTGTGAGCACTATTACTGAAAAGTATAGCAAACGTATAGTTGGCATGAGACTTCTAGGCTCATGTTTCCCATCAGATGGTTCCATGGTCCCACTACTGTTGCTGAATAGCTGTCACAGGTTAGGGGACCGTCTGTAAGCATGAATTCAAGCATGAATTGTTTGTGCCATTGTAACATTAACAAAAAACAGAAGAACATATGAACATAATTTTCATTAGTAAAAAGCACCCCCCCACACACAACTGCTCAGGAGATTTGAATGTACACTGGGATATCCGTAATTCTACTGAACACATTAGCAGTACCCAACCTTACCTTTTAAGGCACTCATGAAGGATTTGATATGGAGACAATAGTCCAGCTTTACTGGTCAGTTCGTATACCCGTGAGTCCTCAATACTGATATGGTTAAAATACTGCAACAAAATTGGTAGATCATCATTACTTAAATGGCAAAAAGGAATTCTGAGCCTTGACTTTAAAGTTTATGCCTGAAGGATGGAGCTGCAGTACTAAGCAGAACACTCTGCATAGCATTGTGCCATCAAAATTTATTATTTATTGCCATTTTGTGCAGCCTTAAATGAATTCATTGGGAAATAAATGTTTCACTATATAAGAATACCACTAGTTTATTTTGCTTTGGCTTCACTTTAGTTAGCAAGATAATTATGCTGGCCACATACTCCATTTTAAGGAAGCCTAAAACAAAGATTAATACAGTTTTGGAAGACTATGAGTAAAGGCTGGAAAAAACCCTAAATACATATAAGCCTAGCCTTAAAAGATAGTAATATTTAGAAAGAGGGGGAAATGACTGTCATAATCAGTTTATTACAAGTCACACACAGCTGTCAGACAATCTTATCTCAGATGAATAAGCCAAGAAAATGCCCAAGTCTTCTGTCAACCTGCTGCCTCAGCCCAGCACAATAAGCCAGGAACTCTTCAATTAACCATAATCTCCCATTTCATCTGAACCAGAAAACTATTGCTACCAGATTTGGAAAACATCAGCTCATAAACTAGCTCCAAAAAGCTGCTAAGATCCAGCCTTGTTCTAAAATTGGTAACTGTAGATTCCCATTTAATCGGAATGGTAAATGTTCAACTGAAGACTTCCATGCATAACTGCAATTTGCTAAGAAAGAAGGAAATAAGCAGTGATGTGCAAGACTCACACCTATTTCAGCTCATTAAGCAGATCATTTCAGCTTCAAAATTTTGACAAGTTCAATGAAATTTCATATTACCCACTTTCCCCCCTATTCTAGATAGTCCAGGAAAATATCTAGGTTCATTGTTGAGTATTTCTGGAAGACTTTCAGTCTGAACATTTCCCACTGTCCAAAGGTTGATGTAGATCTGATTTAGCATTTATATCTGGCTTACATTTAATAAGACTAAAAATGTTGTATTAATATTATATGCTGCACAAACATCTTAACTCTTCTGAAGAGCAAAGAACGACTGGAGCAAAAATTCAATAAAACGTATTCAGTGTGATTTAAATATTATATTTAAAACAAATTCTAAGCTTTATTTAGAAATAATTTTATTGGACTGGTTGTAAATATTCCAAACCATGACAATTCAACAGCAGACACATACTGTTACATTTTAAGACACTGGAAATAGGTTATCATATGACCTGTGTATGTCTACTCCAAAGTTAAGCCCTTACTGAAATCAATTGAACTTGCCCTCAGGTGTGTATAGGATTGCAATCTGATTTTAGCATGTCTGAACAGCTATACTCATGAATCTATGAACTTATGTGTTGGAAAATGTTAATCACCAGTTTAAAAAAATATTTGACTACTAGTGAAAATGGGATATTTCCAACTAAGTCATACCCATTTAAATAAACTTTGAGTAACTTGATTTCAATAGGTCTACTCTTAAATGATGAGCACTTGGATATAATCCACTATTTCAAAAGTGTCAGTGTAAAACTTTTTGAAACTTTATCCTCAAAGCACTTTCATACAGTCTACAATGTAATATAATGCAACTAATTATTAAAAGAACTGCAAAATGCTACTGTGTGGGTTAAGCTAAAAATAAAAAGGTAAAGGTAAAGGACCCGTGACAGTTAAGTCCAGTTGTGAACGACTCTGGGGATGCGGCGGGTTTGTCCGGGTCATGTGGCCAGCAACACTAAACCGCCTCTGGCGAACCAGAGCAGCTCACGGAAACGGCGTTTACCTTCCCGCTGGAGTGTTACCTATTTATCTACTTGCACTGGCGTGCTTTCAAACTGCTAGGTTGGCAGGAGCTGGAACCGAGCAACGGGAGCTCACCCCGTTGCGGGGATTCAAATCGCCGACCTTCCGATCAGCAAGCCCTAGGCTCAGTGGTTTAGACCACAGCACCACCGACGTCCCTCAAGATAAAAATACACCACCACAAAAAACAACAATAATGTATCACATTCCATTAAAGTTGCAATCCTACACACACTGGGAAGCAATTCCCACTGAATTCAATGGGATTTACTTCCGTGTTAAGATGCACAGGATTGCATTGTAAAGTCCATACCTCTAGTTCCTCACTATCTTTGGGCTTTTCCTCAGAGGTCTGTTTAACAAAATCAGGAATGAGGATTTCCAGTGTAGCTCGGGCTATGGAAGATAATGAAAGGGTTAGGGTCTTGCCATAATCGCGTATTGCACAAAATTACATTTCTGACAAATGTCGATGAACCAAAAACAAAAATTTCCAACTGTTTTTACAGTAGAAAAAAGACTTCTATTTTACAATCAACTTGTGTGATAAGCACAGGATGTGTTTATACAGCATTTACAGAATCAATATTAAATACCACAGGCTCAATCCACCAAGTTCCGAGGCTATGAACTCTCCATACATTACATCAGGGCTCCAAGACTGCAGTCCTGCTCATTGTTAGAGACTGCTTGAATCCCACCAACTTAAAAATATGAGAAGTAATACTGTACTGCAGCCCCAAGGCTGCATCTTTCCTCATGAGCCACCATCCTTTGCTTCACCTGTTTAAAAGGTTAAAGGAGTTCTTCTAAATCTATTTAATCCATACATTGTAGAACTAGTACTATAATTGTTTCTTAAATCGTTCAAGAACGTTGTACTCAATATTATCCATTAATGAAGGGATTGCTAACCCATGACTCGCATATCCTCTCCAACCTGTCATTTTTTTTAAATAGTAATTTTATTTTTTTTAAAAAAAACTGGCTCCCCACTGTGATGTATGAAGCCCAAAGCTTTTTTGGTCCCCCTTCCCGACTGCATTTTTAAAAAACAAAACTAATCATGCCCACTTATATGCCCATTACAACATGCGGCCCCTGGATGCCTGAAAAGGTTAGCTACCCCTGTATTAAAAGGTACATACACCCTAAACCTGCATGTATTTATTACGGAGTAAAGCCCATTTTGCGACAGTAGAGCTGAAATGCATAGACTCTTTGGATTGCAACCTTATTGGTACTGGCTATCAAGCACACATTCAATACACGATATTTAAATATGTTTACATTACCAGCTTTATTCTTCGCAAGTTTCTTGCTGCTTGCTGTACCTGCCCCATAAGTCACTCCATCAATAATAACCGAGGCTCCAAAAGGCTCACTTGGGTTCTCTTTAAAAAGGAGAGAAAATGGGAAGCCACCATATTCTAAACAAATCCTAAACCTGCATGATTTAGGATGTCTGAGAACTACCAATTCTCTTTGTGTAAGATAAACAAAAGTGATTTTGACCAAATAATGCAAACAGGCTGCTTTCATCACAGGTTTACAGAATAAAAACGACAATTTCCTTATGTCATCTGTTTGTGACATAACTACTAAAAAAGAAGTTTTTGAAATGCTAACACAGTCCTCAGATGCTATGTTAAAGTTCTAAGATGTAATCTAAAAAGGTTGTACAAGTGCTATCAATATGCAACGCTTAATTTAGTAGTTCTCAGATTCCACATTAGCTGGTCAATGACCTGCTATCTTAAGACTTTGATTTCCATCTGTTGGTGATTGACATTTTGAATGAACAAAACTAGGAATCTGCACATTACAATGAGTCAGTTTTTCCTTCAAAACCAACAAGGGACACTTCTTAATTTACGTTATTCTAGATGCAGTGCGCATCCTGTCAATGCCTATACTGTTTATTTTCCTGGAATACTTGGCTCAAGCTTAGATCATGTACAGCCCAGACACTGCAAGTAACTGTTGTCCTACAAAAAAATACTATAGTGAAGACTTACCACATTCAAAGAAATTGTAAACAGGTCGAACCTTTAGGACTCGTTGCATATATTCATGAAGGATGCAAACTTCAGACTTCCCATTGGGATTAATAACAAACTCTATTAAGAAAAACATTTTACAAATGCCTTTAAGGATTTTACTACCAACAGCATAACATATAGATTAGGAGCTCCTGATCATAAAGCAAAAAGTAAAATCAGTATTCTAATTCAGCTTAGACAAGTTCACATACTACTTAGTTTGCCTGAAAGAGGGGCAGGTACATACCCTCTTCTACTCCTCCCCAACGTAACATTTCTCAAAGTGCAAGAATCACTTGGATATGCCTCTATAACTGAAACACCCACATTACACAATACTTTATGTGTGAGGGGGAAAAGGAGACACATGTCTATCACATGCAGAGTCATTGGCTGGGTATGTGGGCACTCGCTCCTTAATTTCAGAGTGTTCATTTTGGAGAAGATATATAGAATATCTCCAATAACCAATCCCAATGACAATAACTGGACATATTCTATTTCACGTTCAATGATCTGCTTATAGGAAGCTGCTTATAAAGTCAGAGCTCAGTACTGTCTATACCAGCATTTCCCAAACTTGGGTCTCCAGTTGTTTTTGGACTACAGGTCCCAACATCCCTAGCTAGCAAGACCAGTGGTCAGGGATGATGGGAACTGTGATCTGGAAACCCATGGTTGGGAAACACTGGCCTACACTGACTGATAGCAGCTTGACAAGGTTTCAGACATGCCTCTACCACCCCTTCCTGGAGATGCTCAAGATTGAACCAGAGACCTTATGCATACAAAGCAGATGTTCTGCAATAGAGCTCTGGCCCTTCCCATTCAGTTTCCATCACTTCCTGCTCCACAAAGCAAAGTATTTCAGGTAGACCATTCTACACTTGCCAAGTACAGAATTAGGTTCAAGCTACAGAAGTACTTGGGAAAGCTTCCATAAAGTGTAAGTCAGATAGCATGGCTTCACTACTTCTGTACCTCTCCTCACATGGTCTTACAACAAATTGGTCGCTGCACAATCAAACAAGGAAAGTATTATGTCCCAAGTCCTTCTAAGACAAAACATTACCATATCCAAAAGCAATTATCTGTAATGAAGACAAGCAGCTTTAATACTGTCATAGCTTGAAATCAAGACAAGACTTCTATAAGCATTCAAAAAAAGTTTTTTGGCAAGAAAGTCAGTTTTATGAAAGGCAGGGAAATCATCAATTGAGCCCTATTAGAACCTGGTGCCCTGACCATTTTGGGGTATGCAAACCCAAATTTTCATATTTAAAGAGGAACCAGGTGATTGCAAGCATCCTGTTTTGCAGGGAAGCTAGGATCATTTTTACACATGCATTTTGTTACTTCCAGTACTAATCCAACTCAGACAAAAACTAAGCACTCGTCTAATGAAAAAAGTTAACATACATAAAACGGCTTACCTTTTTTTGTGGGTGCATCTTGCACAGACAAAGTAATAAGTTTTTGATTGGCTGGTAAAATGGGTCGCTCAGATTCTGCTTGTTTCCTCTTCATCTCACGATTGAACTGTCGTCTCTCTGCCCAGGTTCTGAATTTCTTTACAGTTACTTGTTCAAAATCAAAACGCTTTTCAAGATAGTGTCTAAAATCTTCAAGATCTAGGAAAAATATTCAATCCCCATGGTCAATTAAAACTACCACTTTTACATTACAAAGACAGTGACAAAATGGTTAGGCTCAAAAGAAGCATTCTGCTGCTGTGTGCAAGCGTGCCCACTCAAATGTCCCCAGTTTGCAAGTGTGCCCACAGGCCTCAAAAGGTTAGCAATCCCTAGTTTTGATGGCTGGCACGTCCCAGCTATGCTACAATTCTAGCATTTCACTATGCATGATGATGGAATATTTGAAGTAAAGATTTATACATTGGTTTTACTGCACATCCAAATTATTTTAACATGTGCTTCCATCGGAGAACTGAAAAAGGGCTGCAGCATACAACAAACCAACTAAATGCTTATAACTACAACTAAATACAATGGAATTGTATTTAAAACACACAAGCAGCAGCAGCATTTCATTAAAAATTGAAGGAGAAATGGAATACCGAATTAGCATTTACTGTACTGCAAGCTGGATTTCGAAGGGGCAGAGGAACCAGAGACCAAATTGCAAACATGCGCTGGATTATGGAGAAAGCTAGAGAGTTCCAGAAAGACATCTACTTCTGCTTCATTGACTATGCAAAAGCCTTTGACTGTGTCGACCACAGCAAACTATGGCAAGTTCTTAAAGAAATGGGAGTGACTGATCACCTCATCCGTCTCCTGAGAAATCTCTATGTGGGACAAGAAGCTACAGTTAGAACTGGATATGGAACAACTGATTGGTTCAAAATTGGGAAAGGAGTACGGCAAGGCTGTATATTGTCTCCCTGCTTATTTAACTTATATGCAGAATTCATCATGTGAAAGGCTGGGCTGGATGAATCCCAAGCCGGAATTAAGATTGCTGGAAGAAATATCAACAACCTCAGATATGCAGATGACACAACCTTGATGGTAGAAAGTGAGGAGGAATTAAAGAACCTTTTATTGAGGGTGAAAGAGGAGAGTGCAAAATATGGTCTGAAGCTCAACATCAAAAAAACTAAGATCATGGCCACTGGTCCCATCACCTTCTGGCAAATAGAAGGGGAAGAAATGGAGGCAGTGAGAGATTTTACTTTCCTGGGCTCCATGATTACTGCAGATGGTAACAGCAGTCACGAAATTAAAAGACGCCTGCTCCTTGGGAGAAAAACAATGACAAACCTAGACAGCATCTTAAAAAGCAGAGACATCACCTTGCCAACAAAGGTCCGTATAGTTAAAGCCATGGTATTCCCAGTAGTGATGTATGGAAGTGAGAGATGGACCATAAAGAAGGCTGATCGCTGAAGAATGGATGCTTTTGAATTATAGTGGTGGAGGAGACTCTTGAGAGTCCCATGGACTGCAAGAAGATCAAACGCATCCATTCTTCAGGAAATCAGCCCTGAGTGCTCACTGGAAGGCCAGATCCTGAAGCTGAGGCTCCAATACTTTGGCCACCTCATGAGAAGAGAAGACTCCCTGGAAAAGACCCTGATGTTGGGAAAGATGGAGGGCACAAGGAGAAGGGGACAGAGGACGAGATGGTTGGACAGTGTTCTCGAAGCTACCAGCATGAGTTTGACCAAACTGCGGGAGGCAGTGGAAGACAGGAGTGCCTGGCGTGCTCTGGTCCATGGGGTCACGAAGAGTCAGACACAACTAAACGACTAAACAACAACAACAACAATGGGTTTAGTATAGAAATCTCCTAGGCTTGCAGCCCTCTGCGTTCGCAAGTTCTACATCTGTAAGCCAAGTGCCATTGTATCCACAAGGAAGCCTACATGCTTGAGTTAGATTCTTATCACTCAAGAAATCAACATTTTTGACACTTACCTACTGATTCATCTTTGCACACCTCAACCTTGGCCTTAACTTGACCTAAGGCTCCTTGTGCTGCATCTCCCCCGGGTGGGTCTTTCTCATCTAAAGTCCCAGAATCAGCAGCAGTGGAGTCCGGCTCCTCTGTTTGGCAGTCAAATTCTAAAGACTTATCCATGAGTTTTATAGGCGATACTTCCCCATTTGGGGTGATGTCATTACTTTGTTCCCTTTCCTCATTTTCCTTCATTTTCTTATAATGCAAACATGGAATGCTACTCAACGGGGGATCATGTTTCTGCAAATATAAAATTTTAAAGTTAAAATTATGAGAACAAATCTAAAAACCCAGATCTAACATCTTCCAGTAGTGTTCAAAGTTTGCTATATGCCTCCCCTATCATACACCAGCAAAGCCTGAGATCCTGAGAACTTTGTAGAGATTTGCTAGGGGAGCATTTTCAAGAAAATGGACTATGTTGTCGAAAAGCTATTTTATGCTTTATATAGCCAGCCACAGCATGTCAACCATTTATAACCTTCAACATATGAATGGAAGTTGTATGCAGGTGAACAAAAGGGAATTGCACTTTGGAACTATGCAAAGTCATGCTGAATTTATTATTTTATTTGTTAATGCAGTTATTCAATTATTACCAGAATACCATGTGGACGTAAGTGCAATCCACTGGAACTGCAGTGCTCCTATAAAATGCCCAGTTTAATAAATGAAGATAATGAAGCAACAGCACGATATGATTGTGAAAATACAAAATTTTATAACATTGTTGAATTTGCTGTATGTTTCCAATTATGACTTAGATACAGCCTAGTAAAATTCTAAAATATATTTATACAAATGGCATTAAAAGAGGCAATATTTCCCCATACAATCGACATGATATTATTCAGATACCTTCATATTTAACTTGGTTTCCCAAGGTGCTGTGGAAACTAATTCTTAGAAACACAGCACATTTTTAGAAACATAAACTGAACCAGCAAGTAAAACCAAAGTACAGTGGTGCCTCGCAAGACGAAAAGAATCCGTTCTGGGAGTCTCTTCGTCTAGCGGTTTTTTTGTCTTGCGAAGCAAGCCCATTGACGGGATTAGCGGATTAGCGCTATTAGCGGCTTTTAGCGGCTTTTAGCAGCTTATCAGCTTATCAGATAAGCAGATAAGCGGCTTAGCGACTTAGAAAAAGAGGGGGAAAAGGAAAAAAACAAACCAGGAACTCGCAAGACATTTTCGTCTTGCGAAGTAAGCCCATTGCAGATTCGTTTTGCGAGGCACCTCCAAAACGGAAAACTCTTTCGTCTAGCGAGTTTTCCGTCTTGCGAGGCATTCGTCTTGCGGGGCACCACTGTAGGTCTTTAGGCAACTATATTCAGTGACATTTTTGTCAACAATACAATAATCACAACAAAAGGCTACAGATATATTCAAAATCTAATTTCTCTAAATGACCAAATTTATTGAAGTCTGTCCCATACCCTTATGCTTCCTGTTCCTAAGAAGTAAGGTCTGGACCAGGTGACAACTCTGGATTCTCGGTGCAGATATACAGGAATGCCAGAGTTATGGAATGTCATGATCCATCCATCAGGCAAGGGCTCTGTAGGTGGACGGCCACGACCTTCAGAAAAAAGGAGAAACTGCTCAATGCACAAGATGTCTTATCACAACAAAAGTGGTTGGAAGGATACACAAGTAGTCTGAAGTTATATATCAAAGAAATATATCAGTGTAAATGATCAACCAAGAGGAGAGTAAAAGCTGCTGCCACCTCTCCCAACCCCTAGTTAATAGCAAGGCTGTGAAGGGGCTCCCTGTTTTTGAAGGCCCACAATGACATTCAATCGATGCCCCATACGTCCCCGTAATATTTTGAAGTGGTCAGATTGCATTTACTTCCAACCTGTACACAAAGTTAGCAATTTGCTTTCCAGGGTGAAACAGTATTTTGAACAGCAAGTTGCACATGAAAGCAAAATGGAAGTAAATATGAATATATTGTTTTCTCTCTCTCTCTCATCCTCAGTATTATTCAAGCTGCAACTTGTTTGCTGCACCATATCAACTTTTTAAAACCCTTACAAGCTGTTTACAAAAAGAACAAAATGATTAAATTATCAGTAAAAAACAGCAAAACAACTACTTAAAGCAGAGTTTTCCCAACTTTTCGTGTTGGTGACACATTTTTTAGACATGCATCATTTCATGACAAGTAATTCAGATTTACTAGCAAACTGGAGGTTAAACTAACCCCTCAGCAGCACAGGGAGCATTCATGTAACACACCTACACACTGCAGCCGACACACTAACATGTTGTCACACAATTTGGAAAGCTGACTTAAAACCTTCCAAAAAATAATTAAAATTGATGATGAACTGAAAGCCAGATTTAAACATGGGTAGACTTCCCTAAAGTATGGCAGTGGGTGCTATCACACTGAAAGATTGATTTCTTACAAATACTGACCGCTGTTCAATATATTTATTGCAGGCCTCTTTTTGTACCTCTCCTTTTTCATCAGAAAAAGAGCAGGGAATGCAAATCCCTAGGAATATGCACTTGCCCCCTTTTTGTGGCATCAGAAAGGACTGAAAACATTCCATCTTTATTGTAATTTATTAACTTCAAGAGAAGCCATGTGCATTTTTTTAAAAAAATCAAGCAAAAGGCAAAATATTTAATACTCTTTTCCACATCACAACCAGCTTGATTTAGGCTGCAATCCTGAGCACACTTATTTGACAGAAACTACCACTGAACAAAGCAAGACTTATTTCCAAGTATACATGCAATGAATTGGGCTGCCAAGTACCACCAGCCTGCAAAACCTATGTGTGGCATTTTAATGAGATGTTATTTTTCCTCTGAGATACTGGTCCTACCGAGAATAAAAACTGCATATTCTCCACAAGTCTAGTACCCCTCGAAGATTTCTAATGAAGGTGTTCAGAGTTTACCTTCACAAACCTCACATTCAACATCTATCTAAAATATTCTCCTTTAGGATTCCACAACACTAATATACAATAAATGTCTATGACAGGGTAGAGCAGACTTAAGGCTTGCGGGATCTACTTTGGATTTTAATAGAGCCTCAAGATCAAAGAAGAGCTAGATCCAAAAGACGCACACTTAGATTTAAGAGTGTGTGATGTCAGAAACCCTTGCCAATCTACTGCTGATCATCCAGAGATCCCAATCTACCTGGGTTACGCAGCCTGTGTGAGCCTCGGGGCCAGCCCACCCATGAGGCAAAATGAAGTGACTGCCTCAGGGGGCAGGATCCATAGGGGCAGTAGATCCAACCCCCAAGGAATGCATTGCCCACTGCTGCCACTGCACCAATGGCAGTGACAGCTGTAGTACACTCTTTGGAAGCCAGATCTGTTACCTCCTCAGCAGCTACAGTAGCCACTGGGCAAATAGGTGCTGCTACTAGTTTCCTTCCACCCTTGCTCCCGATACAGATCCTTATTCTCCCCTTATTCCTGACGTAGCTCTTCACACCCCTTCTTCCCTGGTTGGGGGGGGGGCATTTTGTGGTTTGCCTCAGGTGCCAAAATGTATTGGGCTGGCCCAGAGGAGCCTACAACTCAGTATTTCTTATCATCTATGGTGGCCAACCAGGAACTTCCTGGTTTTGCTACCTGCTTCAGAAAGAAAAAAGAAGGCTGATATCAAGGAGGCCACAAGACCTGGCCGATGGACTGCTTTTGGACTAATATAACTAATATATAGTGGGTATGTTCAGACCATTACCTCAAAAATATTACTGCAAAAAAGAGTACATAGTAAACATATCTATAGTTATACATAATGTAAATAGCTTACTTTTAAGAACTGTTTTTATTTTGGTCATCATTGGCTGCACAGTTGTCTCTCCATCAGATTGATGGTCACTCTCCCCTGCATATTTCTCATCAATTCTCCTTTTCTTAGGAACAGAAAGGCCTTCTTCCAGCAAAGCATCCACATCATTATCAAATTCATCCTGAAAAACACATTGTGATATACCATGCCCCTATACCTATTCTCCTCCTCAGACAATACTGAAGTCAAAGCAAGAATGATTTGTACAGGGATCCACAAAATCCCATCCCCATCATAAGCCAACTAAGAATTTAAGTGTCATGTTTTAAGTAAATTATTAATAACTTGACGCTTTCTTAGCATTCTCTAGAATAACAAATCTCACAGCCTTCATACTGAAACGAAAAAACAAATCACAACATATCCATTCTCAGTACTGTCTAAATGTATATTTCATACAGTTAAGCAGCTCTTAACACCACTCCTAAATTTAAGCATTTGTTATAAGCTGAATATTACTTGGTACAGAGACCTTTTAGTTAATATATAAAACCTGGAGAAATGTTTGAAATTAGAAACAGAATTTACTTACCTCGTAAGAATAGCTTAAGGTTTCTTCATCCACTTTGTCTCTCTGAATGATTGCTTTAGACGTAAACCCTCCTTCTTCATCTATTTCCATCAAATTTTCTGTAAAATCTTCTAAATCATCCAGAACTGCATACTCAACTCGCTTTTCCTGATCTACATCATTTTCATCCTCCTTTTTGTCATCATTTTCACCAGCTACTCGTGTAGCTTGACCATTACTACCCCCACCCAGAGGACAAGCATGCATACCCCCATTAACATTATTAATACCTAAATCTGTATCTGCTTCATAACCATGCTCAGCTCCAGTGTACAGAACTTTTCTGTCTTTACTTTTGCAGCTCTCTGTAAAGCTAACACTAATCTTTACATCTTTAAGCAACTTAAGATCAGGGGTGAACTTTCTAACTGACGGCGCATGACGAGCAGTTCTTGGGCTTTGGTCACTATTAGGATCTACGATAAGACGACTTTTGTAGCATGACGATCCCTTTGTGAGAAGTTGTATTCTGCCGACAGTGTGTGCGTCCCCAGCAGGGGTATCTGACTGTCCATCACCACCAGAGCCAACGTCCATTACCTCTGCGTCACTGGACGTTTGCAGGGGAGGTGGTGGAGGCTGTTCATTAGGCGGCAGTGGTGGGGGACAAGAATGGTTCTCCACATTCGCTTCTGTTGCTGGCTCTTTTGGAAGGGGAGGTGCATTTTCATAATTCTCCATAATTAAAACTTACAAAAAACAAGGCTTTAAATAAAAGGTATATTGATCTATACTCCTAATATGAAGAAGTCCATCAAGATCGGATTTGTCATGCTCTATTCAATATGCAACACTGATGATTCAATTAAGCTGACTACATTGTTCTTTTCATTAATGTAGACAGCTTTCAGAACCACTGTCTCAATTACTGGAAATCACAATGCATTCAGCTTAAATAGCTGATGTCGAAGTAAAGAGCATCTTCACTGGCCGCATGCAGGTGTCCTTTTCTTTTTTCAACCTACAAAGAGAAAAAAAAGAATAATCAGAGAAGCTTTCTTTCTATTGCTCTCTACAGTGGTGCCCCGCAAGACGAATGCCCCGCAAGACGAAAAACTCGCTAGACGAAAGGGTTTTGTGGTTTTTGAGCTGCTTCGCAAGACGAATTTCCCTATGGGCTTGCTTCGCAAGACGAAAACGTCTTGCAAGTTTGTTTCCTTTTTCTTAACACCGTTAATACAGTTGCGACTTGACTTCGAGGAGCAACTCATAGAACACGGTGTGGTAGCCTTTTTTGAGGTTTTTGGTGATTTTTGAAGCTTTTCCAAAACTTTTCCGACACTGTGCTTCGCAAGACGAAAAATTCGCTAGACGAAAAAACTCGCGGAACGAATTAATTTCGTCTTGCGAGGCACCACTGTAATTCTAAAGGACAATTCTGCTACACAAAATTCAGAATGACATGTTTTAACTACATGCTGTTAAACAGCAACACAAACAGCAGTTTAATCTAAAAAATAATGCTTATGGTGACTGAACAAGCAGGTGGACTTGAACAAACAGTTGAAGCATTAAAATGGGGCTATGCAAAAGTACCTATTCTTCTTTAAGTCAACGAACTGCTGAACAGACTACAACACAGTTACTGCTCACATGCTATTGAAAGCTAATATTGGCACACAGAAAATACAGTTTTATTTTTAATTCCAAGTTTTTAAAAAAGCAAGCTCCTTTCATATGAAACATTTGACTACCTATTATTAATTAAACGCTAATTCTAGTAAGACAGTAATACCTCATAAATATTAGAGTATTATTATTATTAGGTTTATTGTCTTTATCTTAATTAACAAAATCTGAAACCCAGAGACAACATAAAGGAGAACTACAAGGATACTGGAATGATTCCAGTGATGTACACACAGTTACACCAATATGAGCAGTCACAGAATCTTAAGAATGACTTTACACAAGATGGTTCTCATACATGAACATCACTTCTGTGTAGCAATCTGCATGTTATTTTTCTCACACATTTTGACGCAACAAATGCATTCATCTGTGCTGCAAGACTAGATAATGACAAGTGCAGGCTAAAAGGAAGATGATGCAGGGTTCAAATCAGCTGAGACAGGTACTCACTGGATATCTTTAGAGAAGCTTAAGACCACCATAAATAACATATCTGAGGTTGGCATATTTTAGGGACTGCTTCCTTAATAAAATCCTAAATAAGGTTACCTATAAATGATATGTTATTTTAGCTGCACATACACACTTTTAATCTGGGCTTCATATATATCTCTATATCCCTATCTAATATACCTCCATTTAATATTATATATAAATATATAAAATAGTTTGTGTGAGAGAGCAATTTGCACAGCTGGTAGTAATTAAACCTGTGAATAAAATTCTTATTGCACTGTGGTCTTCTCTTGCACTCGTAGGGTGAAATTCAGAAAACACAATTATCTCTATGTGCCCTACTCACAAGACAGGAGATATTAATCCTGAAGAGCCTCTCCCAAAATATTTTTTACAGCAAACCACCCTTTTACTGCCCATTTTAAAAACCTACATTAAAATCAAAGGTTTTCAAGTACATTATATTTTAAAGACATATATACCATATTTTTCTGTGTATAACACCCCCCGTGTATAAGACACCCCCTATTTTGGGGGACTCAACCAATCACCCAGCCCCACAATGCACGAGCCCCCCCCAACATTATTTTTGAGCAAAAAACCCTAGTCTTATACACAGAAAAGTACGGTACTTATTTTCACTGCAGTGACCATGGAGAGATAAGATGGGAAATTCTTACCTGTTGCTAATTGATTTCTCCAAGTCCCTCCATATAACCCCCCAAAAAATCCTACCAGCAGGGAATAAAGGAATTACTCCCACATCCTACAAAACCCAGCTGTTTGGATCAGCTCAATTCAAACTTCAAAGAAAACTAAATACTTCTATGCACTAAGGCTGGGTGATATATCAATATACTGTCCAGAACTGGTTTGATGTCCATATTGTGATATCAGTTTCATAATTTTTGACCTGGCAATATATCACCAATCATAAGGAGTGTGCGGGCACGCTATGCAGAAATATGGGAAAAACCGTGAAGCTAGCCAATGCCTCTGCATAGCTTCATCCTTATTTCAAACATTGTGATATATCACAATGTTTAGCAGGTGATATATTGCAATGGCAAAAAACTGGTATCATCCAGCCCTACCATACACAGTACTTTCAAACATTCACACCCCCCAACACACTACATAGGAGATGCAATTTCAACACAACTCCCTCTCCCCATTGCTCCTTCCATGAATTAATAGATTTGCAGGGGAAAAGGGGGGGGTGCAAGAGTTTAACTTTCCACATTAAGTTTATCTGAGAGGAGGAAGAGTACATAAATGCAGATGGATGGAAGTCTGGAAGAATACTTCTATTTCTTCTTTAAAAAGTGAGAATAGGAGAACCTACTGGTTTGTATAAAATGGAAGGAAGACCCAGCTTACATAAACTTAAAAGGAGCAATGCTGTTTTGATGTGCAGATGTCACAATTCCATAAATGAGTGGTAGATGGTTATAACACAATGACTGTTTCCATGAATACTAAACTTGTCTTCTTCTAAACATCAGGAAGAACAGTAAGAGCTGTTCAACAGTAGAACAGACTCCTTTAGGAGGCTGTGGACCCTCCTTCCGAGGAGGCTTTAAAGCAGAGGTTGGGTGGCAATTTGTCATGGATGCTTTAGCTGAGATACCTGCATTGTGGGGGATTGGACTAGATTACCCTTGGGGTACTTTCTAATTCTACAGTTCTATCATTCCATTCTTCTAGGGTACACATACGATACAGGCAAAGTACACGTTATGATTGTACCAGCAATGTTTCCTGCAGCAAACATATACAGTGCCGAAATTACAAAATACAGTCGTGCATCAGAAGTCGAACGAAATCCGTTTCAGAAGTCCATTTAACTTCTAAAATGTTTGGAAACCGCGGAAGCAGCACCAGGCATTCAGATTCCAAATAACATTCACACACCGGAACACTGACTTCCGGGTTTGCGGCGTTCAGGAGCCAAAACATTTGACTTGCAAGGCATTCGGGATCCAAGGTACGACTGTACAGAAATATCTGTCAAAAATGTATTATCTGGGGAGGAATCTAGACTCATACAAATAACCCTGTTAAAATGCTTTTAAAAAAAGTTTGAAAAATATATTGAATATATTGAATTTGCCATAGTTCACCATCGCCATCTAGTGTCACAATTGTATAATGCACTTTACAACACACTTAAAACGTTTTATTTGCAGCTGTATAGCTGAGTCCAAATACACCAGGTTAACATGCAAGTACCATTTACCTATTCAGAAACAAGTCCCTCTGATTTTAGGCTCACAATCATAGTGTAAGTGGGTTTCAACCAGTGTGCCATAGTACCCTGGAGTGCCTTGAATGATGGTCAGGGGTACCACAAGCAACACTACCTCTGTTCCTCTTCCCTTCCTCCTCTGATGCCCTCCTGCATCTTTGCCTCCCAAAGGCTTGCACAGCTGTTTATTGCAGCAGCCCTGGCTATAAGCTCCACAGTCGAATGGTTTCACTTGGAGGCACCTCTCTTTGGGGTGGGGGGGCAGTTCAGAGACCAGGGAGGACAGCAGCAGCTGCCCAAAGGACTCCCAAGGAGAGGGGAAAGGAGGCTGAGGGAATACTCCACAAGGGAGGGTGAGAGGCAAGAGGTGACATAACTAGGCTCCTGAGCCCCACAGGGGTGCTGCAGAAAGAGTGTAGTTGGTCAAGGGAGCCGTGGTCTCAAAAAGGTTGAAAACCTCTGGTCTAACTGACTGGAATGTGTTAATGTTAGAATGCTGAAATTAATGACCGAATTATTATTGACCAAAGACAGAGAAAATTACCAAAAACTGCAGACAGACCCACTATTCAAACTCTGACAAAGCAAACAGCATAGAGTAGTAACAGATTTTGTAGCTTAGTATGTTATCATTAAAACTTTATTGCGGTCGAAAGACCAACAAAACAATTTCAAATTAGTATGTTTTTGTACTTATCTCCAATATTTAATTAAGTTTCTGAAAATCCACTAAAGTTCATAGTGTGAAAGTGATACCAGAAAATTACAAAATACAACTGGTTCACAGACCCAGGCAAGCTGTCATCACCCCATAACTATGTCTGAAAGAGAAAGTCCCTAGACTTCATAATTTCTTTAGTAGCAAAAGAAGAGACCAAACAACTTCAAGCCTCTCTCAGCTGTCACATGGATATTCCCAATGAGTTTTCCAGTATCCACTCAGGCAATCCCTGAATGTACAAAAATAGCTTATAAAAATCAAAGTTCTATATTATATACTAAAGCAGCTAAGCCAAATGTATTTTCTGTGCCTACTGGCCTCCCATTTGCAAGAACATGCTCCACTAAGTGACTTTGGCATATATGTTTTGCAGTGGAGAAACTAAGCAACTAATTGGCTGATACATACTCCAAACTCCTTTGGGATTCAGAGGTGACAAGTTTTCCCAGCCCAGAGTGGTTCTCAGCCAAGTTGAGCCATGTAACCTTAGGCAGCCACGCTTCCCCCCTCCCCAACATGAAACATGACCCTAATACCAGCCTACCATGCAAAGCTGTTGTAGAAATCAGAGCTTTGAACACCCATAAAACACTATATACCATGTTTATTATTTTCAATTACTATCCAGTTATGAGGCATCAGTGTGCTAGGTGCTGTACACAACAAATAAATAAATCTCTGCCCAGTAGAACACACACACTATGATGCAGAAACTGCAGAATCACTTATGTGATGCTGAGCCACACCTCACCTAAATAAACACTGTCATTTAAATGCTAAGCCAAGTTTTAACAATGGTTAACATGTGGCAACACTTGTTCTAGGATGGTGCGCTTAATAAAAACAAAGAATTGGTCCTGCTACCATACTTTCAAAAGTCCAACAAACCAAAATCAAGTTGATTAAAGTTTCCCCCCTTCCTTTTATTTATTGGGGGCATGAAAGCAGGTAACCCTACTGGAATTAAACAAGCCTGAGTTAAACAATTTCTTCCCTTCCAAACACAACAGCACGTAAGATTACGTAAGATGTTCTGTATAGACCATGCAGGGTGCAAACATAAGGTGGGGGCTAGATCACAACCACCACACACTGTTTTCTGTGTAGGGGCTGTCTAGTGTTACAGAATAAGACACAAATCCTTTCAAAATGTAGCAAAAAAGGGGCTAAGAACAAGCTCCTCACCACCATCCTTTAAGAGAAGGCTGACCCTTCTTCAAAATCCAGTAGGTAACAAATGATAGAATAATGAATGTGGGGTGGGTGGGAGAGAGGATGATCAAACTGGAAGCAGGATGCTGGACTAGAGGAAACTATGGACTGCAGTCTTTGAAGAAACAGGAAACTGCTTCATACAAAGTCAGAGCAACCATTCTTCAGGATCTTACAAGGATCTTTCTCAGTCCAGCTACTAGAGATAAGTTTCAAAAACACAACGAAACCTGATTCTAGGGTGGTAGCAGTGTTAGTCTGTTAAACAATTTTTTTTTAAAAAATGAGACTGTCTTGGGCCATGATAAACACTGCTATATCTCCTAATCTTTCCTCTTAATATTGTTGTCTTGATAAATTTTAGAAAGTAGAATATATGCATTACTTAAATAAATAAATAAATAAATAAAGCAAATAGATTATGGCACTGCTTTTTGTTCTCTATGGTGTGGCAAAAGCTTTCCTCAATCAAACTCGACTTATCAAAGGCATAATAAAGCCTCCTTGATCACTTTCTTTGAAGACCAAACTGGCTCTAACCAAGGAAAGCACCTGCAAGTTTTTCAAAGGCCACAAGACCAGGGCATTCTTTTTGGTGCTTTTAAAAAAGGCCGAAGAAATTAAACCTCTTACCTCCTACCTGCACAACAAGTCATCAAGCCAGTACGCTACAGCCCCCAAACTACTACCATAAACAACTGTTTTTAGAAGGCTGGGTGTATCCGTCCCATAATTTCACGACGGTGGTAAGTAATAGTAGAGCCATCTTCGGCCTCACTTTTGTATCCCGCCCTGCTATCCAATATATTTATTTATTAAATAAAAAAACCAAATCTTGAGGGATCGGGGGTAGCACGCGCTGCTCTTACTAAGGTTTCCCTCCCCGCCATCCCCCAAAAAAACCCATTTCGCACCCACTTCCATATAATTCCATTCAACGTGGGGTTTTTTTTGTTTTGTTTAAAGGCGGGTGAGAGAGAAAAAGTAATTCGCCTCAGCCGCATCAACAAGGTTCCGCCACCAACCACGGAGCTTCAGCCTCCTCCGGGAACCGCGAGGCCCAAGCCGAATAAAAAGAAGGCCCGGGGGCTCCGCAGGGATGATTCCCCGTTATCATTCCGCATCTCCACCACCCGCTCCCTACACACAAGACCGCTCCCCCCCCAGTAGCTGCGCAGGGCCTAGGCCCGGGAATGGGCTCTCTCGCACGCGTGCCGCTACCGTCCAAGGACGGCGGAGCTGAGGCGGCCAGGCCGCGCCAAGGCCCCGTTCTCTCCTCGCCGCGCCCTGCCGGAGCCCACAGGCCCGGCACCCACCTGGGCCATGCCCGGAGTAGTCCCTGCCGCTCCTCGCTCGAGGGCTCGCGTTTGTGCTTTCTCCTCGCCCCACCTCCAAAGCCAAAGTGAGGGGGGAGAAACCAGCCGGGGTAGGAGGAAGGGGCCGCGCCGGCGTCGTTATCTTTTTTTTTCTTCTCCTCCTCCGTCGCGGGAGCTTCTTTTATTTCCCTTCCCTCCCGCCCCCTCTCAGGGAAACCGCCTTCTCGTTGCCACGGCCGCCATCTTTAAACGTTCTCTCCCTCCCCTCCTCTCGAGGCTTTTTCCTTTTTTTTTTTTTTTTGGCTGGGTCCTCTCCCAGCCAATCGCCGTCGAGGGCTGGACGCGTTCTGGCTCCCGCCTTTTCTGCCCATTGGCTGAATGCCGGCTTTTTGCGCGCGGCGGCCGTCGGCGTAAGAAACAACAGGCGCGAGAAGGGAGGAGGGGCGGGAGCAAGGAGGCGAAAGGCGGTTAGGTTTTAAAAACAACACCGTCGAAACGGCTCGGTCGAGTGAGGTGTGAGGGAGGAGCCAAAGAAGCTTCCATGAGGCAGGCGGGAAAAGATGGTGGATGCGACGGAGCTTTCTGGACAGAATCCTAGAGTTGGAAGGGATTCCCCAGGGATCATCTAGTCCAGGCACCCCCAAACTGTTTTGGGACTACAATTCCCATCATCCCTGACCACTGGTCCTGTTAGCTAGGGATGATGGGAGTTGTAGTCCCAAAACAGCTGGAGGGCCAAGTTTGGGGATACTTGATTTAGTCCAACCCCCTGTAATCCAGAATGCATCCCACAGCCATCCCTTGAAAAGCCTTAGTGAAATCAGTATACACTATACCTACATTCCACAAAGCCTGCAATTTTACCACATAAAGAAATAAGATTTGGCAGACATGACTCATTTTTGGAGAAACCCATGCTGAGTCTTAGTCATCGCAGCATCCTTTTCTAAGTGCTCACAGGCGGACCATTGAATCGGTTCCTAGGACCTTTCCTGGTATCAGTCTTCCATTTGCCTGCCTCCAACTGCAGGGATCTTACCTGTTTTCCAAGAATGCTCAAATATAATAAACAAAGATCACATCTGCAAGCTCCTTTAGTACCATTGGGTGCAGCTCATCAGGCCCTGGATATTTGAATTTATTTAAAGTACCTAGGTGTTTCCCTAACCACCTCTTTTCCTATCTACGGCTGCAGTTCTGCAATTGCAACATTTATTCTGTGTTCATACTGCTTTCCTTTTTGGTGAAGACAGGCGAAGTAGGTGTTGAGTAGTTCTGCCTTCTCAATGTCACCCAAGAGCAGGCACCCCCAAAGTTGGCCCTTCAGCTGTTTTGGGACTACAATTCCCACCATCCCTAGCTAACAGGACCAGTGGTCAGGGATGATGGGAATTGTAGTCCCAAAACAGCTGGAGGGCCGAGTTTGGGGGTGCCTGCCCAAGAGCATTTCTGCACTGCTTTCCTTTTGGGTAAAGACAGAGGCAAAGTAGTTGTTGAGTAGTTCTGCCTTCTCAATGTCACCCAAGAACATTTCTCCATCTTCTCCATCCAGAGGACCTACTACTTGCTTGTGACGTAAGAAAGTATGGCAGTTAGCTTTGGTGGAAAAACTGACGAACAAATTACGTAAAGCTTGTGAGGGGTTTGCAGAGAAAGGACACGTTTACAACAGTTTGGTATACCTTCTTCTTTGGTGATCACTCGTAACCGAGTAAGATTGTCTTCCATGAGCACGGTCTTAACAGTGAGTCCATAAGTGACTGTGGAGGCCAATTCTGGATCCTTCCACAGTTGGGACATAGGTTTCTGGGCAGGAGTTGATCATGGTTTGCCAAACATTCCTTACTCATAGCTCGTTTCTCCTTTTTGCCCTGAGTTCGTGCCTCTTCAAAGTCCATGACATCTTTGGTAAAGGCTGTTCTCCAACTGGAGTGCTCACAGGCCAGTGTTTCCCAGTTATTGGTGCTTATACCATATTTTCCTTGAGAGCATCTTAAACCTCTTTTGTTGTCCACTAGTATTTCACTTTCCATTCTTAAGTTGGGAATAGAGTAGCTGCTTTGGAAGACGATAAACAGGCAATAAAAAATATCAACAGTTATTAAGCTGTAAAATCAGCCTCACTAGCTAACAGAGGAGCCTGTACATACTAGTTTCAGATTTTTACTGCCTCTGAGAGGAATTTTGCTACAACTAGTGTAATAGTATCAAACTTATCCTTGACATGAAATAAGTCAGCAATTGCAGGTTGTCCCGTGAGTATTGGATTGATTAGATGCTGTCAAACCTGTTTGTACAGATTACAATGCAGTAAAATGTGTTCCATACATTCAACATCCTGGGAACAGCCTATCTTGGTATATCTGTATTATTTGTACAACTAAAGAAGAAACGGTGGCTCGTATAACCTGTGACTGCTGTATAACCTGTCAATCATCTGATGCCATCGATTGACAGGTGGATTGTCCTGCCCAGCTGTCAAACGTAGCTCTCAGCAAGGAATACAGGAAGCTACCTTAGATCAAATCAGACCCATCTAGTTCAGTATTGTCTACACTGACTGGCAGAGGGTTTCAGACTGGGGACATTCCCAGCCCTATCTGGTAAAGCAGACATGGGGGTAGCTGGGAGGTGAGGCAGCAAGGCAGCTACCTTCCAGTAAATCAATACAAATCTGAGGTTCTGGCCCCCACAACAAAAATCCGGGCTACAACATGAAAGCAGATGCTCTACAGCACACCAATCTTTCATCCCTGACTGCCTCACATTGCAACTCGTCTTAAAACTATTATAAACTGTAATCCTAGGTTCTTGATCTTTCCTGGGAACTATTCTGTATTTTAAACTCAGGTGATAAAGAGTCAGAATAATTTTACCAGGCTTTTTTTCCAAACCCAAAAGGGATATATTCCCCCGAACTGGCTAATGCAATTTCTTTTTCCTTTATTACCTTTTCTCCCCAACAACTACTCAGAGATTTTAAACAATGAGCCTATCATGTGGCAATGGAAATATCAGATTCAATATCCTTGCCCACTTGATTGACTGAGGTACTTTGTATAGGGAAAAATAAAGCCAAAATTTGTATGGATGATCCAGCTAGGTTTTTATATTTAATCTCCTCTATAGATTGCATTCTTTTAAAAATTGGTTCTCTCTTGTATGAACCCTTACAAGATATCTTGCCTTCCCATGATAAAACCAACTCCAAAGCCTGGGCTCAATGTAACACATTTAGCAAAGGAGACAGAAGTGAACCCACTCATTCGTCTCCTAAAAGATCCAATGTGGCCCACTTTGTATTTGTCTTCTAGGAAGACAGAATCAATAAGCTATCAGTGGACTGAATTACATGCCAACATCCATGTGGTTTACCCCCAGATAGTCCCAACCCTTGAAGTGACATTCTATTAACTCTCCTCCAGTCCTTTTCAAGACTGCACAATTCCTTTTTCTCCCACTCCTGTTGAGGCAGAAGAGAGTCTCTGAAAAATGAAGGAACCGTTGGGAGTAACGCAGCAACACTTGCAATAAGTTACCTGAACTAGGTGTGTGTGTTTGTTTGTTTGTGTGTGAGAGATAGACAGGAAGGTGAAATATTCTCCCCTTAATTATTCCTTTTTGACTAGAACTTCCTGTAGATTATTTTTCCTCTCAGTGCTAAAAGACAACTGAAGTATGGAGCATCCTCAAACAGCACATAATATCCAAGACAAAAGTAAGGCCAAGAAAGTCCAGATAGATACGCCCCCCTCCAACATGCAAACAGCAAACAAGAGACAGAAACTCAGAACCACCTAATCAGTTTGATTTTGAAGAGTAGCCAGTTTTCTCCAGAGGCAGTAGTTATTTTTCCTTCTTATTCTCAGAACCTTTGCCCAAGCAGATTAATAACAGAGCCTAATACTCTGCTGTACTGGATGCAAAGGACACTAGATCCATCATGTCCTATAGGCCAGCTGTATGTTGAACAGCAGTAAACAATCACTCGGTAGCAGCTATGTTCACAGGCGCAATCAGGCTTTGTAACTGCATTACAAAGCCAAGGGCAGGCTGTTTATTTTGTTGCATTAAAAAATGGCTCCGGCAATGGAAGGACACATATAACACCTCTTGCTGCAATGGTCTGTTTAGCACCCACTTAGGCAGAGGAATCAAAAACAAAGCCAAATAATCTCTAATTGTTAATAAGGTAGCAGAGGACAACACTCAGATTACAGGGGAAGAGGTAAGTGGCTCCTTAATAAAATCTACAAACCTACATAGTTCTGAAAATGTATAAAACTTGCAATGGGACAGTTTCTCCCCTTGAAGGGCTAAATTCCCAGCATTTGTAGAACCAGAATATAAGGATTATATTATTATTAATATTAACAATAATTTATGAATCACTTCCCATGAGGCTTCCTGAAGTAATTTCCAATACATCAGCAGATATAAAACTGTCAAAACAAATCCATATTAAAAACAATTAGAAACATTATAAATATAAAACCAGTTTAAAAGAACAACAGGACCAACTGTACTAGATATTATAAGCAGCATCAACCGCCTTTAAGCAGTTGTGGCTTCCCCAAAGAATCCTACGAACTGTAGTTTGTTAAAGGTGCCGAGAATTGTTAGAAGAGCCCTTTCCCCTTCACAGAGTTGTGGTTCTCAAAGTGGTTTAAAAATCAATCCTGCTACCCGGGGAGCTCTCAGAATTGTAGCTCTGTGAGAGGAGTAAAGGCCTCCCATCCTAACAACTCGCAGCCCCCTTAAACTACACTTCCCAGTATACACTGGGGGAAGCCACAGTTCTTTAAAGTGGTATGATGCCACTTAAAATATATAGTGCAGATTTTGGGCCTGAGTAGCTGCGTCTCGTTCAGTCCATGATGATAATAGTAATAATAATAATAATAATAATAATAATAATAATAATAATATTTTATTTACATCCCGCCCTCCCCAGCAGAAGCTGGGCTCAGAGCGGCTAACAACAGTAAAAATAACACAGTTTACATAAA